TGATGATGATGATGATGATGATGATGATGATGATGATGATGATGATGATGATGATGATGAAGATGATGTCTTGACGATTGGCACACTGCGATGTCAGAAGGAAACCTGCGACAAGGCTGCCGGTATGGGAATGGTGGATCACCAACGGAGTTTTGGGCGTGTATGTACATACATATCTTGCCTGCTGGGATGAGATCGGTTGGGCTGGCGTTTATCAGGATGCCATACTTTTGCTTGGTGTTGCAAGTTCGCACGTGTCAGGTGTGCTCAAGCAGTCACAGCTTGTGCTATCTTTCTTCCATCACACAAGCTTCTCAGGATCTTTTCCTCCCCCCGAATTCAGTGTGATCCGTCACTGGTTCATCGTCTCTCTGATGATGCAAAAAAAAAAAATCAGGCGCTAAAGATATGAACTGCTCAGGCAAAGTAGCACGACTGCGGTCAACTGCGCCGCTCACCTGGGGGCTACTACTGACCACCTCGCCACCTACTAGACAAGTCGTAGACTTTACCGAATTCCGCAACAAATCCGACGCGCTTGCGCCTCAGCCAGTCCTCATTCTTGTCTCTGAGAGATCATGGAAATTCCTGCCACTTATCACTTCCGATGCCATGAAGGCCCAGAGGCGTAATCATAATCTACACTAGTCCAGCACGGCCTGTGCATCCCACAGAGCAACGCTCGTCACCTTTTTCTAACCCGGGGAAACCTGCAAAAGTCGTGGGAAAGTCGGATCTGGAGCGATGGGCACATTCGGCGCATTATTGTGCTGCCTAGCCCTATTCCTTGCAGGGGCTGCGATCGAACGGTGGAAAAGGTGCAAGGTAGGTACAACAAACCCCAGTGCTCGTTCCCAATTCATTTTTATATGGGACGATATGGTTGCCCATCTGGGCTGATTTGGCCCCGTCAGGAACTTTCGGCCTTTGCCTCTTCCAACGGCTGCAAACCAGCGCAGAAGCATTTACATAACCCATGGTGGATGCCTTTTGGGCTAGACAAGTATTGCCTACCCGAACCCTGTCTTTGAGCCTGATCCTAACATCCCCTAGAATGTTTCCGACTCTGAGAGCAGAGCGAGCAGGCAGACTGCCAGCATTCATGCTGCAGGAATTCGAGAAACATGGCCACACCTATACACAACGAGTCACCGGCCAGCTAGTGGTCTTGACCAGATCACCAGCCAACGTACAAACCATCTGCAAAACCCGCTTCAAAGGTCCGTGTGCGTCAACCTCGCACAGCACAGCATATTGTACTAACCCTGCTCTCCAGATTATGAGATCGGATCGGATCGTGCCGGAAACTTTCGCGCCCTCATCGGCCACGGTATTCTGGCCTTGGACGGTCGGGAGTGGACTAGATCTCGTGCCATGTTGAGGTTTGTGGGCTTTTGGGCATTTCCAGATCATGTGGCAATACTGATGGCAGGATTGATACAGACCACATTTCACGAGAAACTTTGACCAAGACTTTGTACAACTAGAGACACACATCCAGCGTCTTCTGCGGCGGCTTAATGGCGCTGCCTCCAAGAACAGTCCCGTTGACGTGGGCGACTTGCTCCTGAAACTGAGCACCGACTTTGCAACCGAGGCAGTCTTCGGGCACAGCACTAATTCCTTGCTCTCTGACCTGAAGCACTGGTCAGGTGAGCAGGACAAAGGGAGTGCTGGGGAATTTTCTACTGCCGTCGACTATGCTCTTCAAATGCTAGGCCAGAGAGGTCAGCTGATTAACTTTTATTGGGTTCGCGATTCACCTCGATTCCGACAGTCATGTCGGACTTGTCAAGCATTTGTCAACCGATACTTGACAGATGTGCTGCATTCTCAGGCAGAGAAGCGCATTACAGACCTTGGAGAAGGCGGTAGCACGTCATTCATGCATTCACTGGTGGCCAGAGACAATATTCCGGCCGATGTGATAAGGGATCAACTTTTGGCTTTGCTGCTGGCAAGTAGAGATACCTCGGCCTCATTCGCCTCTTGGGTGATCTTTGCCTTGGCCAGACATGGCCAAGTCATGGCAAAGCTGCGGAGTTTGATCGACACCCATTTCCCGAGGGGAAAGCTGCCAACGGGGGCAGATGTCACAGCTCTCCCGTATCTCCGCCACGTCTTGAACGAAACACTTCGGGTCTTTCCTGTGGTACCGCTGGATGGGCGCACTGCCAAGGTCGATACTGTACTCCCAGAAGGGGGTGGTCCCGATGGGAACAGCCCACTGTTGATACCAGCAGGCACCAAGGTGGCCTTCAACATTTATTCTTTGCACCATCGACGAGATATCTTTGGGAAAGATGCTGACGCGTTCCGACCGGAAAGATGGGAAGAAGTTAGCGCTGGCACACTGAGTGATTTCGAAGGAGCATTCATGCCCTTTATCCTCGGGCCGCGCGTCTGTCTGGGCAGTAAGTCCTTGGTGATTGGCGGTGTTGAGTTCAGCCTGGTCCGGACTGACAAAGTGTCCCAGAGAACATGGCGATGATGAACGTCTCTTACGTTATTGTCCGCATCTTGCAGACGTTTCAATACCTCGAGGCTGTTAACGCTCCCGCGTCAAGAACCCTGCCGCGAGATCCGCGCGATTGGCCGAGTGAAGAAAGTCGATATGATATGGAGGACGGGGAAACGACCTTCAGCATCGGTGTGACAATGTCTCCCCGTGATGGTGTGTGGGTGAAACTGCGTTCAACTAGAGGAGCGACATAGGGGACAATGATTCGATCACGGGGAATGCGGACGGTTCAGTTCGCAGAAACCCTTCACACGAGGAACAAAGGGAGTGTTTAGCTGCCTCCAGTTCCGCTGACATGCTAGCCACCCGAACGGCATCATGCCAGGTACTCCGTACGTGTCGCCCGCGGCTCGACGGTGTCCACGCAAGAATGAGGAATTTTAGCCGCAGATGTTGTCATTTTTACAACATGGGGGTCGTAGACCAGAGCCTAGGCCCGTCCAGGTCAAGCCATCGCCAGTTTCGGGCATTGTTGGCTCTGCAATGGGGTTAAGGCTCCTTGTGGGTCGCTCCCTTGGCAGCTGCGCCCCGAGGGCCACCAAATGTTTCGACTATTACCCACAAGCCGTACCAAAAACAAAGGTCAACGTCATGCAATCAACCCTGAGCACCCACGGCGAGCTCCCAAAATGGATCTCATCCCTTTCCCAGCCAAGGCGAGAACGTACGAGAGTACCCAGTACTGGGCACAACAAGGCTGGCTGGAGGCAATAAACAATTTGAAATGGGCAAAATGGGCTTCCCCCTGGATGGAGTACCGTGGAGCTCTCAATCGACGACGGCAGATTGGTGCAGTACCCAGTACTCGACTCACCATCTCCCAGGAAGCAGGATCGAGTCTCTCCAGGCTTTACCCAGTAATCCCATTGTACCTCGTACTAGCACCCTGCCGCACGGGCACCGACTCAGCATTCTCGCTTGACACTGCGTCGGGAAAGAAGAACAGGAACAGCTAGCCGTTCTGGCCGGAGCCTCTCCTTCCATGCGGAGAATAACACTGACCAGGTGAGACACCATGGGCTCTGGACAAAGAAGGGGTCTGAGGTGCTCGCGGGATGGTGCCCGGGGCGCTTCGAGTGGCTGCCTGTGATACGATGGTACTTAAGCTGGATCAAGATGGATCTGCCATCAGCCTCGATCGCTGTTCGCACAAGGCCGTTTCCCAAAGCCATACCCGGTACTCCGTGCTCACTGCTGCATACCGCGCAAACAAACATACATATATACCTACACGTGGTCCTCCTATAAGTTGCACAGATGTCTACCCAGTACCTCGTACCCTGTACTTGGTCCGACCACCCACAGCATATCCATACAAGCATCCCAGCCACCAGCATTTCCCCCTTTCAGCCAACCCACTGAACTGTCACCCTGCGAGCCCAGGCCGCGTCACACTCGGAAGCAAGGGGCATCATTCGATCCGCAGGTCATTCCACTGGTCATTAGACCCCGCATTGCTCGCTACCCAGTTTTCTGGTAGCAGCTGGTGCAAACGACGACGTCGACATTCCACCCCACTTGCTCAAACCACTCCCAACATCAACCGATAGCTATATCAATGGCAGCATATCTACTCGGCATGGTCTTGTAGGTGCTTTTTTTCCTCTCCGCTTCTCCCCCCCCCCCCCGGATCCAGCCTCCCTTGTTCTCTGCACTTTGGCGACCATGATCAAGAATCTAATGCGACTACTCTTCAGTACTGGGTTCTCGTTTGAGAGCCACCAAGACGACGATTTCTTCAACGAACCCTCGACCATGCGGCCTCGACTGACTGCTGCAGCCGCCAAGGAGGATGGTTCTACAGAGCACCTTGCGCCACTATCCACATCCTCGACATATCAGGTTGTCGCCAGAGGTCTTCCCGGCGCAAAAATCCATTATGCGGCACCTAGTGCCTGAAGGGTTTCGAGTATTATCGGCACATTTTTGGAGCAGGAGCAAGCACGCATGAGCGCCGTTTTTTGACCTTTTCTCTCGGTGGCATTGGATCCAGAGCTTGCCCAGCCGAGGCAACAACATCCTCTGCCATTCGGGAGGGTTACCGTCCATGTGCGACATGCAAAAGCTTCTTACTTTAGCGTGACGACCACAATTCTGGGAGTTTTTGGACACGGGCTCGGATACGGACGAGCGTCACCATACCCGGTACCCATCTGCACTTTTCAGGATCCCCGCCTTTTTGGCGCTCCAAAGGCAACAGTTGGCCATCCATATCTTTGGCCTCTTCGAGCATGGCACCACACCGGACGCCACCAACGCGAATGTCTCACCAAGAGACTCGCTTTCGCCAAACTTGCTCGCAACAACAGAACTCACACCGTATTGCAGAGCGGTCGGCGCCGCGCGGAACATTTATCGGCTACATTCACGAATTTCCTTTTGGTTGCTGATTACGCAAAGGCATAGAGGCTGGCTTCACAGCACGACCACTTGACGACTACACACAACCACGATGACATGAAACCACACGATATGAGGCTGCCATTGAGATGGCCAACCATTTGCATCCACAGCTAGCATCCAAGTCTGAATTAGAGGGTAGACAGCTGAGCAGAAGGCTTTGCTATGAAAGTTGCTACTGTAGAGAAAGAATGATGATAATGACATTAATATCCACCCATCTTCTCTTGTCGTCTCGTATGATAACGAATCGAAGTGTCTGGCGCCCAGTGTTGCGGCTGCTGCAAACCAGTCCTTGACACTCCTTGCTCCCCACTCCTTACTGCTGTTTTTGGTAATCTCGATTATCGTATAAGCGGCTGCCCTATTGTTTTTCTTGTGGTTGTCGGTCTTGTTTCTGTCGTAGTTTTCCTCCTCTTGGTCTTCTTCCCTTCTCCAGAATACCAAGGTATGTAATCACAAACCCTAGTTAGCTGCTCTCGGCTGGCTTCCCACCCAGCCTCCCTCCCGAGTTACAGGGTACATACATACAGTACTCCGTATCTCAATCTCAGCCCCCAACTTTACCCTTGACAGCTGCTCCGACCTCCGTTTCCATTCGTCGCATCATTTTGTTCGCTTCATCCTCATTTCAGGCACCCATGCATTCTATCTCGAATTCCCTTTTGAGGTGTTTGTGCCCCTTGGATTTCCTCTTTTGTCTCTGCACACCAGCAACAAGGAATCCCAACACAATACCGGAACCTGCGTGAACATAAAACTTAGCCTCGTCGCTCGGCCCAACATGCCCTTCACCTTCGCTGGCGCCCACTTCATTCTGCATCCCATCCACCTTTGGCGGTCTCCATAGGACATTGACACAGGTCTTCCCTTGAATATCATGCAGCTCAGCCATCAACACAGCTGCTCGATACGCCCTCGATCTGGTCTGCTCGACCACTTAGCAGGAACAAATGGCTGATAGGCAACACCAGCCACCCAACGCATTGAGGCTAACAAGCACTTCCAGAGAAATACAGCGACGACCAGAGTGGACGAAACCGCCCATGTTTCCTGGGTATCAGCATACCTTGGACTCGAACCACGACATGCAGACTGTGCCATTCGCAAAGCAGAAGCGAAGTCCGCGATCCACGATCAACGCTGTCTTGGGACCGGCATAGCCCAGTCCCCGAAGTCCGAATTGTTAATTCGAAATTCACCGCGCTGGATCACCGGGCCTCGTTTAGTTTGTATGGACCCCATTTCTCTCGTCACTTTTCTGTCGTTTTTCAACACTGGAGAGGACTTACCGAGTCGGTTCCGGGACTTGCGTAGACCCTTCACCGTTTATCAGGATTGGTCTCGATTAAAACCAAAGGAATATCCTGGTTATTGCCACAGGAATGACCGGGAAATAAGCCAGGAAATCACCCGGAATACGACCAGGGAATGTTTTATTTACTCCAGTCGTGCTATTCTCCGGAAATCTCCTGCCCCGTGTGGACAGAATGGAATTTTCCGAAGGATTCTCACCACAATCCCCCCAGGACAGCTTTTGTCTATAGCAGGATGGACTCTCCCTCCGGGGGGAATATGGCTGGATGCTCCATGCATCCAATCGTTTGTTGAACAAAATCCTCGGATTGACCCCTTGACATTCAACGTAAACAGAGCGTCAGGTCTTCGTAACGTGTCTGCAAACACACCTCAAGCATTTACAGAGTGCCTGAATGTCTAACTCCTCATTTCTATGCGCTCCATGTTGTTACGCAGAGCAAGCTAGGTTGTGCGTGTTCTCTTCTGATGAGTCGATTGACTACCATGGCTTGACAAAATGATTCGCAAGTCATAGTAGGCAAGATGAGCCATCAATTCATGTTTTCTTGGTCTCGCTTGATGCAATTTGTGCATTACCTCCGCCTGTAGCCCTTGCGGAAAGGATTCTAATGGATGTATTGTCTACAGCAGGAAACTCATTTTGGACCGTGGGAACCTACCATGGCGACACCACCTCTATCGCCACCTGTGAGTGCACCTTCTCCTTTCTGCTCACTTCGCGTGCTTAGGATTCTTGCTGTAGTTGTTGTATAACTAAGCTTCAATATTAGACGTGGAAAATCTCGCATCATCTCCCAGCGACACCAATATCGCCGGACACCTTCAACGCTTCATTCTCTGTTCAGACTAGCCAAAGTGGACAAGACGATCTGAAGTCTAAAGCTCGTAACCTATACACATGGCTTGTTTTATTCGACACCAGCCTCTGTGATCCGCCACACCGATCTCCAGACCACTGTTTCAGCGTTCTGACAGCTGCTCTTCCCTTGGAAAAGGCCATCGTTTATCCCCAATATGACTCTGGTTCCGCCTTTGAGAGTGCTTCTGGAAATGCCGCTCTTCACGAGCTTGAAATGAAATATAGGATGCCGGAAAATCAACTTGATGCCGAGTTCAACCAATTTCTTCAATCCCTTAGGCAGCAGAGCTTGGGGTTCTTGGGGCAGGTATCACATCTTATTAGCACCGCATGTAACGCTTTTGATCGGCTTCGCAAGGACGTGCCGGGCATGGCCTCAGAATGGAGAGGATGCTGTGCCGGCCTCTACACTTATCTTGCCAAAGTTGAAGAATTGCCGCTTCGACTGATTGGACCAAACCGCATGTCCACGAAAACTCTACCACAGTCTCCCGAGGAAGGTTCAGCACCGCTCGCTTCATCCTTATTTGGGTCGTTCTCCGATAATACTGCTGGGGAGGAAGGCCTCCAGCAGCACGACGAGATCGTCGGGGAAGAGAAATACCGACAGAAAGCAGCCAACTGCTTCTTTAACGGCCAGCCTCTCCCTCGTGGGCCGTGGGACATTGTCCGGCCAAAGCCATTCCAAGCCACTGCCGCTTCCCTAGCCTTGTGCGGGTCGGTATATTGTGGGCAGGTGATGGCTCCGAGCTTCAGCATCTACATTCGAGTGTTCATCAAGCTTGTGCGGCTGGGAGGGGGAGAGCAAATGTTCTGAACCAGGGAAAGAATGTTCTTTCATTCATTTTGTTGTGATTTCTACTGTAGACGATACAACTCTCGGTGCGTGACTCTTTGCACTTGCGCTGTTGGGAAGCACTGGACGCGAGTAAATGTTTCGCGGGGTTATCTTCTGACAGACAGGCGGCACCATCCTTATCACAGAACGTGGCGAGGGGCAAGGTGCCTTCTACTATAGGAGTGGGATCCTGTTGCAGAGGGATGATTGAACCTGTTGAGTCCGTCAACTGTGAAGTCATGCGCCTTGACAGACGCCGCATCTCGAGATCTTTGCCAGAGAGGCAGCTCTCCGAACTTGGCTCATCCGGGCGTTTTCTTAACGACACGAAGGCTTCTTTACAGGACATTGCTCAGCTCTCGCTTTACAGAATAGTCTGATGTTTTCAATGCCCTCCCCCAATAATGCTTGACGCGAAGTTGACTCTCAAAGTACTGTATGGCGAAGTATCTATTATGGCCTCGGGCTATATACATATTTACATACCAGGATGGAGGACATTCATCCATCCTACTTCCTACTCGACAGGGCCGAGCATACCTAGGTTCTAAGCATTGGAAATACCCCCTCTGGAGACTCGTGACGGCAAGGGTCTTCAACTGATAGTATCTCGCACATACTCTCACATCTCCGCCTTGGCTGCCGCCATCATCTGGGCACCATTGGTGGATACAAATGTAATTCGTACTAGCATTTGCCCAACGCCGGCCACAGTTAGAGTTTTGGTTGTGATTCAATATTTCTCGGGTTCACGCCCGACCCCGACGACCAGCTCCCCTACATTTTGCCAACTAGATCCTGTACTATGCAAGTGCCCTGGATCAACCCTACGAGTTAGCAAGGCATATTCCGTGCCTCATGCAAGCCCCATCTCACCCCCTGCAGGCGCCATTATTCAGCCACTAGCCTGCCGCCATGTGCGGTAAAGGGTCCGCTGTTGGGGCCTGGACGTTTTTCTTTTTTCTGATGGCCAATATTTAGGCTTTTTGTGGCTATGGGAGGGTGAGGAAGAGAGAGCACCTCTTCTACGTCGACGACATAACTGGCATGCAATTTGGATGGAGAAGAGAGTGGCAGGGGAAATTCCATGAAGCAGAGGCTGCGATTTGTCCTATCTACACTGCCAAAGCCGTGTCAAAACACCAAAGGAGCCATCAGAGCCAGCAGGACTCGTACGACCGTCGTAGGGGGTAACCGGCGCGTCACGTCGTCGATGATATATCGCGCCCTTCAGCGTATAAGCGATTAATTGACCCGTTCAATGACTGCACCCAAAGCTTTCCTGTTCGTGGACTCGTTTCCCGCCCGCACAGACATAAGGGACAAGGAACTTCTTCGAGCTGAGGCCCTCTCTCATGCAGCCAAAGCCTCCCATCGCACAGACCGGCAAGTCGATTCCACTGATTTCGCCAGGCGGAAAAAAGCTTTCAATGTGCAGATATCCAAGAAACCGCCATTGCAACAGCAAGAACAACAAGAAGCAGTACCAACACCATGGACCAAAGACCCCGAGGGCGGCGAAAATGAACCTAGCCCTCATCCGAGTCGCAAAGGGGGAGGCAGATCTGACGCTGTGCAAAGGTGGCGTCTTCAATCTGAGAAGCCATTAAGGCAGCATAGTGTTCGCGGCACTGGGAAGGGATCCTCGCCCAGCAAATGGTCGAACACCCACTGTCCAGCGAGCATGGAGATGACCATCCCGATGCACAAGGGCAACTCAGATCCTTTTAATTCTACTTCTATCCCCTTTGCTGCTTTCGATCTTTCTCTGGTCAGGGACGATCGGCGGTGTCTTGTTGACATTGTTTGGCCTGCAGAAATCTGCATGCGCAAGAACCACCTAGCACTGCTGGATCGGTTGTGGACTGTCATGCCCAGTATCCTCGACTCTCCAGCCGTTGTCCACGCCGTCATCAGCCACGCACACTACAGCAAGGCTATGCGCTATCTTACCTCTGGTCGACGCGACCAGAATGCTCTCATCCTGGCTGAGCACCATAAGCTCCGAGCCGTGAGGAATTTGCAGCATCTGCTTGAGGCATATCGCCAATTGGGCGGCCTCGATTTGCTGAACAGATCAGAGGTGCTTCACAGCTCGCCGCCTGTGGTGTCATATCTGGAGATACTGGCTCTGCTCAGATCCATTTCGCCGGCGTGAAGATGGCAATCGGTCTCATGGGAGGTTTGGAGAATATGGGCCCCATGCAGTCGGAGTGCTTAGTGTTTTCGCAGGTGGCTAGTGCCTGGTTCGACCGCTCATGCCCAGTATTCCACCCTAACAAGTGGGATCCTGGGCTGTGGTCTTAACAGAGACTGGCTTTCTGCGTAGCCGCGCTCTTCGATGTCCGAAATTAGTTCTGATTCCCTCTGCTGTCCGTCTTCTCGACCTTCGGCCATATCTCCCGCGATGAGAGCCATCATCGATCAAATCAGGGAACTTTTGCATGTTGAGAACATCAAGCTTGCCCTGGCATCCTCTAGGGACGAGAGCGCCGCGCAGGTGTTCTGTTGGTCTGGTCTGCGCAAGCTTGCCGTTCGAGCGCGCGACCTTTGCTTCTGGTGCAACATCAAGGAAGCTATGAAGCCAGCAGGAGCGGGCACAGATCCCGCTCGTGGCTTCAGCGTTAATATGGGTTGGACGCCTCCAGTCCCCTTCGACATGGTCGTTTGCTTGACCGCGCGCTGCTTCGATAGAGCCATTTTCGAAGAGTATTATTACGTTGGCGACTCGCCATTTCGGCTGAGTAAAATATTCCTCGCCGAAGTGGCTGCCAATCTTCAGCGCCTCAGTCCGCCATTCCCTTATATCGACGGACTGCACAACGAAGACACGAAACAGCTCCGGTTCCTAGAAGATGAAAGAAGGCATGACGTTCTCTGGATATATTCTGTCGGCGCCCACATTGAAGAATATCACCTGGGCCTATCCAGGCGCTCCTCACCTGCCTTACCATCCTCGCCATGGTCATCCGCCTCCACTGGACAAAGAACGCAGGACATGATTGCTGGGAGACACCTCTTCGCTACCTGATTCGTGAAGCTGGTGAAGGCGCTGGGCTTTGAGGCGTTTGATGATGTGGCGGCTTTTTTAGGTAAGAGATATTTCTACTGTCCGCGACTTCAGGACGCGACCTTGAGAAAGCTAGTTTGACTTTTGACTTGAAGTGTTGTGGCCGCTGTCAACCACTGTACCTGACTTCTTCTCCTTCCCCTTTTTTGCTCTTGACTTTTTTCAATTGAACGCCGTGCTACTCCTTTTCACTTTCATCTCTGTAATTTTACATCTCATTCAGCACATGACGCTTGGACAAATCCTCCAGTGTCCGCTCCGGGCCACTCTGGCCAGTATACTCCGGTCACCTGTAGAACTTCTTGAATTCTCCAATAGTGTTTCCCACAAACAAAACCGGCACCGCGCCGTGGTGATGTCCTCCCGTGCACAATACACTGGGTCCATAGTGTTATCCCGTAGGGTTCCCTTCAAGCTCACTATGCCCAATACGAGTTTATCAGCGGCGCGGAGTGGCAACGTAGGACGTGTAGCAGAAGGTAGGGCGATGTGGTTAAGCCTGGGTTTGTGAGACTGATCTTTGCGCTCCCTGATTTGAAGAAAAAGGCGAAAGAGAATGTGCTGTCGGTGCCGTTCGGGGCATGGGAGAATCGTGTCCTCCTTGAATCCTCCTTAATGTCCTCCTGTAGGTCACTGGTGAGCATTGACTTGGTGGGTCGCTTAGCACTCGGGTAATTCGACCGGCCATGCCGCCTAAGGGATGCTCTCTCCCCTAGAAATGGCCCCGTTACAAATTATGGTCGAATAGATTTCTCAACAAAATCCGCGCGTTTGAAGATCGCATTTTCAGAGCAAATATTGGAGGGGCTGCCAAGAACTCCTATACTAGGCGATTGAGTGTCGTATCGGCTTTTGATATTAGAGCGGATTGATTGCGCGTGAAATGTAGGGAATTCACGGTGATGTAGTTGTCCATAAAACTGATGTCGGTAGATGTGCAAAACGGTCACCCCGGAGGCACGTGCAGAATCATGGTGCTGCTTTGAAATTAGTGATTCGCTGAATCTCGTGTTACCCTGGAGACCACAACGTTCTCCATGCGAAATGTTGTATGTTCGTCTCGCTCGTACTTTGCAGGTCAGGTAGCTAAAACAACACTTGTTGGCTTGCAAAGCTCCGTCGGGAAATAGCAGAATGGTCCAACGGGTCCGTTCTCCTCATGGTCGCATTGCGTCCACAACCCAAACACTCCTCCTGATCTGATGCCTCCTGGCTGGACACCTTCCAACTGCCACTGATCTTGGCCGCCGTAGTAGATGATGAATCTCCATCTTACCTCTCGTCCACCTGGTACAAGGCTGGCGCAACCTCTTACTCCTATAACCGGCCGGTGCATACCGGCGTGACCACGGGAAAGTCCAGAGAAATAAAGCACAGGTAGGTCAGTACAGACAGGAAGGGTTGTGGTCAAGCGTGGATCAGAAGCAACGACATCATCGAGCTTGAGCTCGAGCCTCATCAGATCTCCGGAGTCTTCAGGCTCGTCGTCCAAGGTCGGATGAGCGCCAGAATCATGGCTCAAATTGTTGAAGGCGAAGAGGTCGAGGTAGTCGAGCCAAGAGTAAGTTCCTAACCAAGTTCCAGTAACCCGGGCCCAGTCATGGGGAATGGTTGGATCAGCCAAAGTGCGGTGAGGGAGAGCATAGCAGAAACCTTGTGGCATAGCAATGCGGCCCTCGGCACATATGGAAAAATTTCGGCTCATGACGCTGAAGACAGCCTCGAGGAGCGGCCAGTCGACCTTCCCAGTGCCGTCCCGGCGAAAAGGCCCGTAATCGTTGTCTTGTCCACTCAAACTCCAATTGTAGACTTTTCGCCTGGCAGCTCCTCGGGCTTTGTGCTCGATGCGCTCACGAGTTGTTAGACCATAAAGCACGTGAAGCCTGGAGGCGGACTCGGGTCGATTCTGGTCATTTTCGCTCAGCGCCATGCTTCTTGTGAAACGCAGCGTAGAGCCCAACATACGCTCATCGGATCGGGTGTGTGACAGCACACTTTGAGTTCCTGAATCGTGGATGAGACTCTCGATGCCATTTTGATATGGAGTCAGGCCTGCGAGGATTTGGAGGTTCAACGAGGTCGTCCGGTCGTCCTCCTTTGGCATTTTGCCATTAGCAATATCACGAGCATTGGGTGCAAATTTTGCCGTGTCGAGGATGTCGAGTAAAGCACTGAGGTGGGCTTCAGCACAACTGTCGGAGCCACATCGCTTTGACTGGACACCTCGCAAAGCCATCAATCTCACGCACAGTTCGTGATGCCAATCCCATGTGCGGTCTGGGACCAATGGCGGGTGGCCGGGCATCATCGACCAAGCATCATTAGGGTCATCGAAGATATACAAGAAAGCAGTTCTCCAGAGAATCTGGTGCTGGGGACGGACAAAATCATGAGCAGCCTTGCAAGTTTGGCCAAAGCAGGCGATGGCCGCAGGGTGCAGACATGCCAGGATGTGGGCCAGGATCTCTCTGGGCAGATCTAGGACCTGCATGGTTGAAGGTGATAGGGACCCGATGAAATGGAGAGAGAGAGAGGGAGAGAGAGGGGGGGAGAGGGAGATGCTCGGCAGGGATGGGAGGGGAGTTGAATGGAGAAGAATGAAGTGGAAAGTAGGTTCCTGGATCGACAGCAGTCGAATTCGGCAATCTACAGCATCAGCATGCTGGCACTCACCGAGTACCTACTGGTAGTCATTGCCTGCTGCCCCTCACTTGGCTCCCGTTGAGCCCACTAGCCACTTATTTCATCCCTACGACGAACCAGAGTTATTGGTGTCACAAACAATATTGCTCTGTGCATGCAAGGGATCATTGACGGATGAGCAGCAGGCCGCGCCATCAGAGAATTGACGGGAGCTACGATTTCACACCAGTAAACGATGCCAACTATTAGTCGAGTGCACAGTACTGAGCACGAGGTACTCGGTAAAGAGTGCTCGTCGCTGTCAACGCTGTTGGGCGGCTACGTTTAGGCCCCCGTGCACTGCCTTCCCCCCTAAACACTGTCAATCTCCCCCTCCAACCTTCCAAGACACCAACCGCTCGGCGTTCAGCTGCAATCTCACTGCAGATCAGGCTCGCCAGTAGTACCCAGTAACCACTCGAAGCTCGCACAGCCGCAACACACTCGCATCCAACTCATGTCGCATTCCTGCCTCTGCATGCATATTAAGAGGTACTGCCAGTATCGCAGCATCTCCTGACCACACTCGCACTCCCTCGAGAAAACCACCACCGCCACCATCAACCCCCGCAATCTGTGTCAATTCCACTCTTGAACCCATCACCATTACCACAACCTCCCCCCTCCTGCTGCAAGGCTGCCACCCACAATGCCAATTAGAGACTTGCTCAAGAAGAAGGAGAAGATCGATAGTGATGTCGCACTCCAACCTCCTCCCCTGCCTCAGGCAACTCCGTTCACATTTGTCCGGACCGACACACATACTGAAGAATACATCAATCCTCCTGGATTTGACGACGATCGAGAGCTCGCTACCCCGATCGAACCCAAGAGTCCTTCTCCTTCGAGACGCTCGTTTGGCCGCTTTCGAAAGAGCCAGAGTCCCGGTGCGGCGGAGCTGTCCTCTCCAGAGAAAGAAAAGAAGGAGCATCGACGGCTGTCTGAGCGGCTACATCTCAATAGAGATCGTTCTGCTAGCACCAGCTCGGTCAATCTCCCTGCTGACCTCCCTGAAATCGCTGATGCATATACCGAATCTGGGGATCGCCAAGAGACAGAAGCGAAGTGGGAAGAGCGTGCTACCATTTTGGCCAGCAAAAGTCCCGCCATGTCCGCCCAATCTTTGCCTGGCGATATGGACACTCTCAACTTGGGCCTGCCCGGGCAACCTCCGTCCAGGCCTCGAAGTATCAACGACCCAGAGAGCGACATTGACATCCAGAAAGCTATTCAGCTTCACGAGTCTGGCGACCTCAAGGAGGCAACCGAGATGTTCCGCCAACTCGCAGAGTATGGGAATGTCTTATCCCAGGTCCTCTACGGGCTGTCTCTTCGGCATGGCTGGGGCTGCGAGCCAGATCCTGCAAAAGCAGTCACCTATCTGTCGGCTGCAGCATCCAACTCTGCCACCATTGAATCCGATGCCCTGAAAGCTGGAATGAAAAAGGGAGGCGCCGCCAAAGGAGAGCTTGTGCTTGCAATCTTCGAACTGGCAAACTGCTTCAGACACGGCTGGGGGGTTCCGGTTGACAAAGTTGCAGCGAGGCAATATTATGAGACGGCGGCAAATCTAGGAGATACGGACGCCATGAATGAAGCCGCCTGGTGCTACCTCGAAGGATTTGGAGGCAAAAAGGACAAGGTGAGTTTCCGCGCCTTCTTTCATCCTGTGAGCTTTGCTTGGGAATCCAAACATCACATGTGGCCTTGTATACGTCCATCTCCCGACCAGCAAATACCCCTTTGTTCCTCTTGACACGTGATGGACAGCAGCAGCAGGCGGCCAGCTGAGCCTCATGCCCCGAAGGGGCCTGACTGAGATTCGAGTGTAACACAGTCTGACCCATATCGGGAGTGGCACTACGTGGAATGGGCCCTTTGACACGAACTTGGGCGTCCTGCGGCCCCCAAATACGCGAATTACCCAAATACAGCACCTTCTCAGTGGCAGCTTCACTTTGGGCAGCAATGCAGAAGCCCCTCCACCACTCAGCGGCCAGCCTGAAGCCTCTTGATCCCCGTACCTTGCATTAGTCTCGAGTCATGTTGAACTCCGCGAATCACCAACATGTTTCTCTCGGAGAATTAAATGGCTACTGACACATGGGGCTTGCGACATAGTTTAAAGCGGCGCAACTTCTAAGATTGGCCGAAAAGAACGGTGCAAAGACGCTGGGAAATTCCTGGTAAGTCATGGTCTCATGTCATTTTGTCCCAGAACTGCCTATCACCCGACCACCTCTTCCCTCACCTGGCCCTTAATCACATTTGCTCTGAGTATTTTCACACGAATCGGGTCGAAAATCGGGCGGTGTCCTTGACCTCGATGCCAAGACAAGTCTGATTGGCCTTAAAACTTGGAGACACTTATGCGACCTGTGCGGCGACCCGGCCTCCTCCACCAACCCTGAGAACTGGTTCGTGCCGGACGCTTCAAACCTCGAGGGCGAGGTGGCTGGGCCGCAGTCCTCGATGAGGCGCAAGAAACCAAGGCATTGAACCGGCCGGCTTGACCTCACTGAGAACTGTGAATGTCTCATTAGTGACTCGGAAAAAGAGTGGTGATGCGTGACTATGTGCTGACGTCTTGGTGTTTGTGATTATCAGGATTTGGAAGGAGAAATATGATCCACCAAAATGAGACCGCGGCCTTCACCGTCCACAGTAGCATGCCGAAGTCACCTTGACGACGGCCTAATGATCTCTCGGGCCAAAAACCAGGAAACTCTACCATATGACTCAAAGCGAGACAAGGGAGCCGATGAGCCCGACAACAGATAAGCAAAACCGAACAATGAGCTTACCTACGACTGGGGCCCTTCGGGCCTATCTGCCCTATTCTTGCGGCCTTTGCGCACGGCCTACCCAGGCAACCCAGATTGGGCGACATTTCTCCAGAGCTCTGCTATTCCCACTTGTTGATATCTACTTTCAGAAAGGGTTCAACCCGTGAAAAGACCAGGCGCAAGGGCGGACCGCGGCAACGCCACGGCCCATCCCTGGAATCTTGATCACGTTGGTCAGCAGTTGCGGAGGTGGATGAGGCCGTGCCTGCATGACGCAGGGGACTTCGAGGGAACTGTGTCTTCTCGTCCCTTACTCCTGGGTTGAACCATCTGATCACGACTGTTGGTTTTGGCCGCGCGGTTCAGAATACGAAAGGTCCCATCAATATTGCCTCTCCTTGGTCAGACAGTGGACCATTGACGTTAATGACGGCTATCACCGAAGGGTGGTGCCCGTCGACTTGGTTAAACCTGGGTGGTCAAGCTCGAAGCGAGCGAACTCGCTGAAACAAGGGACTTGAAAGCAAGGCAAAGCACATGCCCGTGACAGCCTGTCCACACTGATGGCTGTCCGACAGACTCGGGCCCTGGAACCTTCGAGCCCGTTTGGCCTCCTCGATGCTGATGGACAAATTCCAAGAGCGATGGCCTGATTCTAGGGATACAAAGAAGAATGTTGAAACCGAGAATCGGCATGGATAGAGCTCGGAAGTTGGATCGTTCCCCATTTCAACGATCCTATCTGCTGTGCTCGAGACATTATGCTCCGTGCTATCCTTCAGTCTGTCTTTTTCTTCCCGAGGCATCTTTATACGGTGCTATATGAGAAGGCGTTAATAAAACTGTACGTCGGTTGTTTTGGTCGTAACATCATGGCGGGGCCGCTTGATTTGCCCTGAGTCCCTCCCATCCATGTCTCTGTCCATTGTCCCTATGCTTAGTCCCTGTCCTTTCATTTGCTCTCTTGAAGAGAACCTGGTCCAATAAAACACTTCACCGCCGGGTGACTTCTTGATACCCGGTCTCGCTTCTTCTCGCTGGCCTCCGTCTTCCCGCTCCACCAACTTCCGTGACATGTCATTGTATGTGCATTCCGCCTGTTCATCCAAATTCCAGCCCGAAACAATGAAACGCAGAAAAGAAGAATTTTCATATCATAGGTCGTTAAAGTTCTGGGTCATCATAATCAATCATGTCGTATCCTATCGTATCAACTGATTTCAAATCCTGATCAAAGTGCAGGAGTCCCTAAGTGTGAAGAGATAAGGAAATTGTGCCCTGAAGCATATGAGTCTTTCGCTTTCGTATAGGTTGGTTAACCAGACCTATTCGTCTGAGTGGAGAATGTAGCTCAGAAAGGAAAGCAGAACAAAAGGAATTTTCCACCGCTTCCAAAAAAAGCCTGTGATAAAAGGTTGTTGTCGGACCTGAGGTCTTTCTGTGCCGTCAAAAATCCACGAGTCATTGGAAGACAAGCCTTACTCGACTCTGGCAATCATTTCTCGGAAATCTCGTAGGACCTTCTCCGGGACTCGGTCGAGGAGCACGCTCCGTTCTCGGGCTTTCCCGCCTAAGCCGCTCATTTTCTCGAGTCCGTCCCTTTCAGCTTGCATATCTGCAAACAATTGTTGCAGTCGAGTTGGTTTCACTTCGACCACCTCGTCGTCGTCGTCGTCGTCGTCGTCGAAAGCGCAGTCAGGACTACTGATGTGATTGTAGGAGGCAGCAGAAAGGGAGAATGCGGCAGCAGCTTGCTGTTGGCGAGACGGTGTAGCGAGTGACGCATGGAGGTTGCCGAGTGGAGTGTCGGAAGACTGAGGGGTCATCCCAGACACATGGGAAAGTGCGTGGGGGAAGCTGTTGCTGTCCAACGACTGTGCAGGCCGGCTAGGAAGGACCTCATGTGGTACCTCTGGACCGGAAGCAAGAACCGCCTGGAGAACGTTGCCAGCCTCAGCACGATATTCGTCGGATAGGGTGGGCATGCTCGGTGCGACGACCGCAACAGAAGATGCTGCACTTGCTGCTCTCGAACCGGCTTGGGACATGATAAAGGCGCCGGATAACAAGCACATGTAAAACGTCTCCCAGCTAAAAGTAGCATCGACCTTGACACCACACTTCGTGGGTGTGTTTGACTGGGTTGAGGAAGTGGTAGGTCTTGGAGTGGCTTGTCGCTGCAGTGACTCCGGTTCTTCCATCTTCAAGTCTTCGCTGTTGATCAGGGCGAATTCATCATTCCACTGGTCCTCCAGACCGAGATCCTTGAAATTTGAAAAGTCATTGGAGAAGGCATCTGAGGCGTTAACGGAGAAGGCACGAGAATGTTGATTCCGTTCAAGCTCGCCAACGGTTTCCCTCAATATAGTGTTCATCCGTCGAAGCTCGCCGGTCTCCCGAGTCGAGGTCCGAATGAGCTCCTCATTCTGATACTCCAGATCGGCAATGCACTTCTCGAGCCGCTGACGTTCAAGTATCCAGTCCCGTCTTTCACTGTGGAGTTGGTGGAGTTGGTTCTCGTATTGGCCGAGGGCTTCCTCGAGTGCGTTCTTCTGATCGATCAAAAGCTTCTTGTCTGCCTCCAACTTCTCGGCATTTTGCTTCTTGCGCATACGAGAATCGAGTCTGTGGGAAGAGAGTTAGTAGTCAACAACAAGCGAGGAGATTGTGTGATGCTTACGCTGCTTGGCGATTCCGTAGCAAACGTTTCTGCTGTTTGAGCTCCTTTTTCTCGTCCTCATTTGTGGCCTGATTAATCAGGGCATCGATGGTGTTGATATTTCGTTCTGGAGGGATTTCGAATTTGGCATTCTTCTTCCTGATTCCATCGGATCTTAATACCAGCAATGGGGACGCAGGTCTGTATCTGTGTCTCAGAATGTTGCGATTCGTCTCGGCAGCATCTGACGAAGTAGTCGAAGCCCATCCGCCTTGACTCGACTGCGGCGACATGGACACGGCAGAGGCAGGATCTTGTTGCGAGAAACCCGAAAAGGTGACGGGGCCCCCGCTGTATTGAACCTGCTGCTCGAAAGGCTCTTGCACCGGGCCGAAGAAGGGGGTGGGAGTGCTCGCTTCGGACCGCCCAGACATAGTCCACGGTTGGTTTGGCATGAACCCAGGACCGCAGTTTGCAGCGTTCATCTGACTGAAGAATTGGCCGTTTGGGGTTGCCATTGGCATCGAGGGCTGCGAGTAATGGCGGACGGGTCCCATGACCCCTTGGGGCCTCTCCTGCCAGACATGGGCTGATGCAGCGTAATCATCCTCCAACTTTGTGATTGAAGCACGTCGATGGTCGGAGGCATCAGCAGCTGTCATATCGGCGGGGGTGGAGGATTCAAAGACCTTGTCGTCGAGGATGGAGGAGGAATCGTCTTCGGTGAGAGGGGGCTTGACGTCCTCGGGCCACTGAGGCTGCGGATAGGGGAAGTAAGTCTGGGGCGAATATTGCATGGCCATAGGTGCGACAGAGAAGGGAGTTGACGATGATTGTTTCTTGTTGTGCCGATAAACTGGAGGAATGGTCAAGTGGCGGTGAGCGAAAAGGTGGGGAAGGGTTGTTGGTGGGAGGGCTGAGGGCTGTTGGTCTTTTATCTCACAACAGAGAATGAAGTCTTTAGCAGTGCGTGAGATAGCCAGCTGCAAGGAGCATCTTGGTTGAAGAGTCAAAGAGTATGTCAGATGTTCAGAGGTGAGAGGAGAGGAGGGAGATGCAGCGGGTTTAGTACTATGTAGGTATTGCAGGACGGCAAGCATCAACGGTTCTGGTACGATACAGTACCAGCGAGAGAAAAGCGCGGAGGGGCAGGGGATCCAAGATCAGAAACATGGAGCCTGACGAGGAACGGTCAATGCCCCATTCTGCGGTCTCTGGACGGGTCTGGGACGGGGGTGTGTGTGTGAGAGGGCGAGAGGGTGAGAGGTCAGAGGAGGGAGGAGATGGGACTGGACCGAGGCCGAATCCACGAAGAGGGAAGAGGGAAGAGGGAAGAGGACGAGGACGAGGACGAGGACAGCAGAACGGTCCCCAGTCTGACTGAGTGGACGTTGCAAGGGGACCTTTTCTGTTCATCGCAAAAAGCAGCAAGGAGAAGGAGTCGAAGGCATAAACAAGACACGAGGAGAGAGGCGGGCGAGAGCAAGCCAGGGTGCGGATTGGATGCTCTGCGAAATCCCAAGCACTTTTTTCCCGTTTCCTTTTTCTTCCTTGACCTGCCGTTTGGTCTGCTTTGTTTTTTGGGCAGCGATTGACCCCCAGTGCCAGTAGCAGTGGCCGGAATCGCGGTGCGTGCAGCATGCACCAAGTTTGCCTGCTCTCGCGCCACCAGACTGGCTGCGCGCGACTCCGCTCAACGGCCACCTTTTATGCGACCACCTTTTAGGTCGCTTCAGCGTTTTGGCTCTTTGCTTTCTGCTCGGCTTCTCCTGATTAGGCACGAATTGCATCTGTTCCGCCTGGAAATGTGAGCACCCAGTGGTCTCCCTCTTCGCCGAATCGAGACCGCGGGAGTGGCCCTCAACAGTGGTTCTTTGGTGGCTGGCTCCTCGACCCTCGACCACCAGGGCAAGAAGAGCAAGCACGGAGGCCAGAGGTCAGAAGACAAAGGGACGGGACCAGTGACCCAAGAGGAGACGGAATTAGTCTTACCAAGAAACCAAATCGCGTCCTGTTCCGATTGTGACAATGGCAGTGACAATGCTCTCAGGCGTTGGTCCCAGATGTACGCGACAGGAGCTGCTCAGCCGATGGTTTGAATTGGGGGACAAACAAACAAAAGAAGGCGGCAGGGCCCTGGACTTCGCCGGGCTTAACTGTTTGCTCTCTAGGCTCGGTTCGCTTCCCCCCTGGTGGTTCTCGTAGCGATGCATGATGGGCCGTGGGTGATGGGCCATGGGCGCCGCTGCAAAGGAAGCATTCTGCTCGGCCGGCACGGGCCTTGACTCGGGGCTGCACATCACATCACGTTATTACCCTTTCACACTGGGAACATTGTCCTTGTGAATCGCCCTCCTGACCTTTCCTATCCAAACTGCTGTGTGGTGTGCGAAATCGATCTCATCCATCCATCCTGCTCACCTCGCCAACAGAGAAACATCCCTTCTGTCCATCTCTCAGGGCCCATCGGTGTCTGCTTCTGCCACTACTTCCGCTTCCCAACTGCGTCATGGCTGGGTCGTCTGGCCTGCTTCCAACGGACCAAGATGTTGACCGCCCACAGTCCGGTGATCCTCATCTCATGATTTGCTTCTATTGTGTGTGCTCGAAACTGACCGCCCTCGTCCCTGACTCGCGCTAGAAAGAAAAGCTCTCACTGGAGACTCTAGATAGAATGTTTGCGGGTCCGTACCCCTGCATGTTGGACGCTGGATGCTGGACGCCAAATGAAGACGAAGCCCAACTCATATCAGCATGACATGACCCGATACCCAAGTTTCCTTCCTACGTACCCACTCACGTGATGCCCACGGGCAGGCGTTCAAGCTGCCGCGTCAAGCCCACCGCCTTGGAGACCCTCTACGAGAGGAGACGCGCCCGTTGGATTACCAATGTCATCTTGCGCTTCGACCATGCCAGTCGACATGAGTGTTGAGGACGAGGCGAAAGCACGCGCTACCACTGATATGGGTCATGGTCGCCAATCCACAATGGACGTGAGAAGAAACCCTGCTGAGCTCTCTGTCTCCAGGGCTGTCTGACCTCTTTCGAGAGGATTGGCGGGAGTGGAATGGTCATGGCCAATACACACATATCATTTTGTGAGTCATATTAGCACCCATTCGACACCTCCAGCCACGTCGTCGATGGCAGCGCAATATTGACAGGGCTGTGGAAAAGCCACGTTGCTAGCCATCGGCTTTCTGCGACGGCTGCGATGCCAGTACGGAGCAGGTGAGGATTGCCCTCTTTGATGGCGATCTACGTACAGCTCATGGCGCAGTGTCGCTCTGCTTCCCCGTCTACTCCGCTATGCACCTCGCTATGCTGTGAACAGGAACAAATTCATGCCTATCACACAGAGGCTGAGGCGGCTTTGGATTTCCCTGCGTCCCTGTGCGCTGTTCCTTGCTCGAAGGAAATCTCTTGGGAGTGAATTTGGCTATTCGTCATTGGTCGAGCATCCCTCCAGGGTTTCTTTGCTCTGTATTGTGCTCTCTTTCCTCTGCCGAAACCATCCTGCAACTTTGTAGCAATTAATCCATTGATGTCGAAGAGCAAAGAACCCGGTCCACTGAACTATGAAGGATCTTGCGGACAGCCTGCCTCCTTTGAACGCGCCCAGACCTCTCTGATGTCCCACCGTCAGAGTCGCGCAAAGGGGAAGATCGCCAAGCAATAGCAAGGGGGCATGTTCGATAAAGTTGCAATGGTGACCTGAAGATCTATCAAGAAAATATTACATCCGCTGCTACGGGGGAAGAGAGTGATCGACACCTTGCATCCTAAATTCGGCATCCAGAGACACTCCCCTAACCAAAGCGATCAGACGCAGACACAGACGCTCAGCGCCTACAATTTCAGGGCAGCAATGATCGGGCCTCCAATGCCTCCCTGTACGAGGGCAACTCTTTCATATCCGTCCTTCTTCGTGTTCGGGAGGGCAACTCTCGAAATTCCGCCGCTCCACTCTCCAATCTTCATCAATTCCTTGACCACGTTGCGATGAGGGATCTTCTTTGACTTATTTGGGCCAGTGCGAGGCTTAACGGTCTGAAGCATGGGATCATACGTGACTATCAGCACGTCATACACCATATCCGCTTCTGGTGCCTCAGCCGCAAGCCTGAGGTCGTTCCCAACTCGATCAATGCCAAGGGCCCAAGCCATTCCATTTCGTAAATCCATTGCTTTCATGATGACCTGGTTGACATCCTCCTTTGTTGCACCAATTCCGTCAGAGACACCATCAATGACGACTTGCGGTGTGAAGAGACTATTCCTTCCCCATTTAGTTATGTATTGGCGCTGTCGTGAGTCCCATTGTGTCGAGCCGAAGGTGTCTTCCCACCCACTGGACGGATTCCAGTATGTTACATCGTACGTGAGAAGCAGGAGGTTTGGGTTGTTTGTCGCGTCTTGGATGAGCGGGAGAGCCGGTGGGCAGGACGCACACCCCTGAGACTGAAAGAGCTCCACGACCGAGAGGGGCATGATGTCCACGAAGCAAGCCTGGGTATGCGTGTGGCCCTGGTCGAGGGACATCATGCAAGCGAGCGGGGCATTCCTCTTCTTGAAGAGGTTGAAGAAGGAAGACATGATTGAAGTGTTGGATTTAGAACGATGGCTTTCAGTGGTGAGCAGAGGTCAACGGTGAAGTCAGTCAAGATGATTCAAAGCACAGATGTTGATAGATCTGAGAAGGGATTCGCGCAACCTCGACATTTTATAAGTCAACGACCCTCACTCCTCTGCCTGCCACAACTCAAAACACACCAGTCGATACCTTGCCTTCAAGGATCCAATTCCAAAGGATTCAGTAAGAATTTCTGCCCTGCAGACGATACGACCAAGTCCAATTGCCGTTCTCAATCTCACTAGGCTGGGCTGAATCTCGGCCCAGTCGACTGAGCTAGAGTGTCAGTACCTGGATGGATCAGGACAAACCAGGGGCTCGCACTATCCAGACACAGTCTACGACTTGTTGTAATCAGAGGTTCGGCTCGAGAAGAAGTACGTAGGATATGGCCTGGAACACCCAAACAGGCAAGATCCACCCAGGCACTAGGCTTGGTCGGGTTATATTCCTCGATACGCGAGATGAGCCTTGATAGCATGCTGGATAGGAGCGCCAATTACATATGGTTCATGTGTCTGTATATTGGGAGACAGCCTCGCCTATTTAGGAGAGGTTGGCCCCCCAGTTTGCCGACCGCTTTCAGGATGAAATTTGAAGTTCTGGGCTCAGCAGGAAATCAGGCGCGATGTGGCTTTGACCAGGAGCGTCCTGGTTGTACAAATTTCAAAAGTACTCAAAGTGGGGGTATCATCTGTTATTCACAATAGTTATCTCATCCACTACAGATAACAAAAAGGCCCGTCAATACTCCAAAAGGACTCGAGACCACCATCTCCTCGGAAATCATCATAGCCATTGGCATATCGTATATCCTACCTCATTTTATCCCCCCTTGCTTTCCCAGCGCCCATAAGTGCCCAGCTCAGGCTTCAGCTTCGTTCACAAGACCTCCCCTTTCGGGAACGTGTCCGTACAACTTCCCTGCCTGTGGCAGCGGGTGCCTGTCCTTTTCGTCGGGTCCGACAACCATCTCCAAATGACCTGAATATGTTTCCCTCACGGCCACGACCTGCCTCCACGTTTTCGCCGCCGTGACACCAGCACAAGTGTCCTGCAACCTTGCCGAAGGGCTCGAATTCATTGCGAGCGTGATCAACTCTGCCACTGTTGTCCAGGAGGCCACGAGCCCTTCTTTTTTGACGATAACCTTATAGACGAGGAATAGGGAATGGGCTGCGGCAATAGTGACATGAATGAGAAGGACAATTATTCCAAACTGTACGGTCTTGGAGCCTTCCCAGCGATAGCCGTACCCGTAGCGGTCAAAGACAGGATCAATTCGAAGCCAATTGCGGACATCGGTGGCAGTGGAGTTCAAAACGGTGTCTTCACCGCCTTGTGCGGTGCTGACTAGGAACCTGCCGACGAGACTTCCATTGTCGGTTTCGTTGGTCAGGAACATCGAAGCTGAGAAAGGGTAGAGTCCATTGCCGGCAATGCGGGCAAGGCCATCGGTAACGACACCAGCTAGGATGGTTGATATCATCGTGGCACGACTCTGCCGGACCTGGTCACCTGTGAGGTTTGCATTTACACCTGTCTGAGCACTTCCCACAAATGGCGACTTGAAAGCGTTGAGCACTTTGTCCGTGACCCGATCGTCCTGAAACACGGCTTCTTGAAGCATGGCTATGATGGCCGGAGTGTCCCCTGAAACAAAGGAAATGTTCTGATTAATTGCGTTGGCATAGTCCATGTCGATGGTCATGTTCTTAACTGGTTGATCGACCGCGGCATTCTCATGAGGCAGTGTCAGGCAAGAGTTGGACAATTTTCCTCTAACGTTGAATGCAACCTGATCACTGGTCCTTGGTTCATAGAAAACATTGACAGGGACCCATTGGGCATAGATGCTACAGGCATGTATCTCTGTTGCTTGCCTTAGGTGACTGGGGTTGTCCACGTTTGTGTATTCAAAAGGAACTCTAACGGCCGCGCCGATCGCTGGATTTTCGCCTCCCGCTGGCATTTGGACCCAGTCAAACGTCGTATCGTTGAGGGTACCATGGTATGGCAAGATGTAGTCCTGGTTTGGGAGTTGCTTGTCCGGCGTGAAGCTGGGAAAGTTGATATGGGTCCGAGCTTCGACGTCCGAAACATTGTAGAAGTCAAACCCACTGCACATAACTTCAACCCGAGGCGCGTAGATGGCGCCCGCAAGACTGAGCCTAGGCTGTGAGGTAGTGAGAGCGAGACCATGCCAGTTGTTCTGCGCGAACGTCCAATATGCTGTCAGGGCTCCGCTGATAAATGTGTTCAATGACATGCCAGATGCCCTGCCGTCAAAGTCGCTGGCGCAACTCTGCGTCGACAGCACTCGCCGCGTGTCTCCGCGAGCATCAGGAAAGCTGCAATTAGAACCAGCGCTGGAATTGGCAAATAACAGGTTGCCCGCCCAGTTATAGGTGTCTCTGAAGCCGCCTGCCGGACATGCATCTTGTTCGGTCGTTGATAGTGTAGCAGCAACACAGTCGATGCCTGAATTTGCAGCGTTGGTGCTGGCGCCTGTCACATCGCCCGGCCAGAGGACAGTACTCTGATTGAAGACATAGAATGGCAGCACATCGTTGTCGAATGGCTTGTCGACACTGAACCAGTTGAGAGATGGGATGACTGCAATAGCAGAAGACGGGCCGGCTAATGTCGCTAGTATCGTGGCAAGCAGGGAGAGCAGCCAAAACCGCCAGTAGTGCGCCTTGCCAGTCCAGATCGAAGACCAATATCCTTTTGTCCGCAGATAGTCTCCCGAACCGATTGCGAAACTGTTAGCGAGCATTCCCAAGGGCAGTCCATGATTGCCAACTAGGTGCGCCTGGGCAACATGCATGATAATCGTCCCCAATGAAGCGACTAGGATCAATTCATGGAGCTTCGCTGCCAGCTGGAGAGCGTTCATTGCGCCCCCCTGAGTGATTCCCGGTAGGATTTCGACACTTGGATCTAGCAAATCCATCCAGTATCGGTTACGGAAACTCAACTGGACAACAGCTGCCGTGACCGCACTGGCCGCTAAGTGAGGAAGCAACTTGTAAGAATTTGGCCAAAATCCTGTGCGGATTGCTTCTTTGGGCGCCTCGAGTGATCGACCGAATATCGGGGCAGGATGAGGGGTCGATAGATCGGTCAATTCAACTTTCTCATACTCGATAAACCTCTCGTGAGGACTAGACAAACTCTGAACAGTGTAACTCCGCTTCGCGGCCGGAATGATATGATCGAGGGATTGTTGGGAATCAAGCGCAGCTTGTTCTGGAACGATGTTGAAGAGTTTTCCATACAAAGAACGAGAGGCACGGCGACCAGCGCCGACGTGATTCATCTCGAAGAAAGGAGTGGCCTGGTAAAGATTATGCTGACGAACAATCGCACCCTGCAGATCTAAGCAGGAAGGCTCAGGGTATATATATGCTTCTGCCACCACAACGAAGATATGCTTTGGAAGTAAGCCATGAGCGTCTGAGGCAGGGATCGTCGCAAAATAAAGTGGCTATCGGTAACTAGAGCGTGCGCGAGTAACTCATCATACCTGGGAAATCAGTCAGCAAGACGCTCACCTTGTAGAGGATCAGCCCAATGAATGGCCCGTTCTATTGCGACATTGTATGCTGAAAGCGCCACGACGAGCCCCATCCTAGGGGGCCATCAGCCTCACCAGGCGAGAAGCTCTCACGACGCTCTTTACAAATCCATCGGCGTGCCACGAAGTGGGAGAAGAGCGCCAGGACCGCACAGATCGGACGAGACTTGAAACTTAGCGAGCGAACATAGGAGGTCGAGGTAAGCACTAAGGCTTGTGAGGCTGTTTACCGACGTTGACCCACGTTTCAAACTGTGGCCTTGTCCATGGCACCGTCCTCTTGAGAGAATCGCGCCGACCAAAAAAAGCATGAGTCTCTGTCACCAGAAAATGCCAGGGATGATGTACCTAGACGAAGGTAAGGTCAAGAGGCGCGGCGGAATGTTAATTTCTCAATGGTGAAGCTTTCAAGCGGCGCGGAGCGAGACAGAAGTAAGTTGGAGGTTATTTCGTGTACTCCGTTAGGTACTGGGTACATATGTATGACTGATCGATCAAAAGAACCTTAACACCATAATCCATCAGGGGCCCAAAAAAATACTGCGGCTTCTACAATCATCCAAGGTACATACCTCGGGACCTCCACCACCAGCGCGAATCACCATGTCTCGTGGCGCGCTCTCTTGGATCCTTCACTTACTGGATCAGTGCAGGTTTGCCAGCCTGATATGAGACGAATCGCCCTGCTCTTTCGTGTCATCCGTTTCCTTTGAAGCTGACCTGAGGCAGATGGGGGCCGAGTCGAGTTCACCTTATGGACGAATACGGATTGCAGCAAACAATCGCACCAGAGCATCCCTGTTCTCTCTGCCGATTACCGATTATCTGAGTACATACAATGGATTCTGGTTATGTACGGCCACCAGCCACACTGCTCCTTCGATCACTATTACATTCTCCTGGGTTGCTGGCGGAGGAAGGATTCGAAAATCCCCCCCATCATTGTGGAACTGTTTCTCCGTTTCCGTTTGACCCGGCGCCAGGGCTACTGGTAATATGCACCACCCGACTTCGAACCGAAACCAGCTTCTTTTTTGCTCCAAGCCGTTTGTTCCCCTACTTATTAGGCCGCCGTGCTCGTCTGCTGCTTCCCATATTATCCCGAGGATTGTTCGGATTTAGCAGACTACCTACTTAGGTAGATTATTGCTCCTACATGGCACTCCTTTTCAACCACCACATCTCCCCAAAGCGATCTGACGAGAGACTGTCATTGCAACGAGCCACAAAGGCAAGCCAAATCTCCCTGAGGTGAGAATCGAAATTCTCACCTCCAACAGGTCTGTGAACACTGTCCGTCAGACATATGCCGTTGATTTACAAATATGCGCTGAAAAGACAAGCATTCGACTGAGTTCGGGAAAACCTGAGGTTGGCAATCTTCTGAAATCTCGCTGGGCATGCTTGAACACAAAATGACGCTGCAATCAAGGGCGGTTTCCCCGATTCTTTTGACTTACCCGGAGCCGTCGGTGATCAAACCGGTCTTGGACAACGCTTCTCAAGGGCTGTTATCGACGACTCAGACCACTGCCGAGCGACACGTATCCGATTTTGTACCACCTACTTCTTCGCGAATGCGTCTTCCCCCCCCCCCCGCCGTAACAACACGGGGGATCTGCGCTGTAACTTCGAATGCGGAGCGTCTCCGTTTAATGGTTGCTGAAAACATGCCGAGGATGCTATGTAATAGCTTGGTAGCATTGGCTGCAGTTCTTGAGCGACAATCCTCCTTGGCTTTAATCGGTGGCGTCGAAAGCCAAGATGGAAGCACCACCCGGCAGTTGTGGTTGGCATAAACAATTTTGGATCGACCAGACCGTTGTAAACGTCGCCAAAGAGACAAGCATGATGAACTGGTCCTTCGACTTCTGAAAAAAGGGCTTGAAACCCCTGCAGGGCAGATACCGGTCGAAGCTGAGCATCTATTGGCTATCACGCTGCAAGCGACCTTTTGACGATCAGCTTGGCAATGCAAGCGCGAGACTTCCAAGGAAAGGGTCCTTTCTATTATGAATGGATAGAACGGACAAAAGTGACTATGGCATTATCATCAAGTCGGGGCTTGAGAAAGGTATTTCAGCTCGAAGTCTCCGAGTGGGACGTTGTAATTCTCTGTCTCTCCTCGTATCACTTCTGTCCTATTCAGTCGTGGTTTGACTCGTGACGTTCAACATGTACAATCACATGGCAGCAGGGTGGTTTTACTCACCCAAGCAGATTAGGCGCTATTTCCTGACTCGACCAACAAGTCTCAAGCCTCCTCGGACTCGACTGCGCAATCCATATCGTATCCTTAAAGAACTCGACAGGCATCAATGGCTTATGTTTTTAGCAGGCTTCCTCGGCTGGACCTGGGATGCATTCGATTTCTTCACTGTTTCTCTAACCATTACTGAAATCGCGAAGGACTTTGGCGTAGAGAACTCGGCCGTCTCATGGGTGCGTCAGTCTTGATCTTTGAATGCTGAGCTTTCCTGAAAATTCCGCAGGGTCTAACGACGACGTTAATGCTCCGTTCCGTTGGAGCGTTGACATTCGGAACCATATCTGACCGGTATGGCCGCAAATGGCCCATGATCATTAACCTGGCCCTTTTGATTATTTTGGAACTTGCCTCTGGGTTTTGCAACACCCTCCCTCAGTTCCTTGGAGTCCGGTCGTTGTATGGTATTGCCATGGGTGGTAGGACTGCTGTGCCGTTTGTCAACCTATGCACTCTAACTCGTGTTAGGTCTTTTTGGTCCTGCCGCAGCAACAGCTCTCGAGGACTTGCCATACGATGCTCGTGGGCTCCTCTCGGGTTTGTTTGAGCAGGGTTATGCGACAGGATACCTGCTAGCCTCCGTCTTTTATCGTGCTGTGAGTTCGACGTGGTCTCCATTCACTAGCTGTTACTCATCAGTCCCAGCTTGTACCCACCACATCCCATGGCTGGCGATCGCTGTTCTGGTTTGGAGCTGGGCCTCCAGTCCTCATCATCGCATTCCGTTGGTCGCTTCCAGAGACAAACGCGTTCCAAGTCATGGCGGCCGAGCGAGAAGCACAGATCATCGCAGACAAGCAGGCAGGCAATCATTCCCGCATCGAGGCCGCAGCTTTCAAAGCGTGGACTAGAGACTCCTGGGTGGCTATCAAGCAGAACTGGGTCCTTTTTGTAAGCCCTTGCCCAGCTCTTGCGGCGGGAGCCGAGTATGAATTTTCCCCAGAGTGAATGTGCTGACAGACTGAAATGAAGGTATACCTGGTCATTTTGATGACTGGTTTCAACTCGTGCAGCCACGGAAGGTGAGTTTTCTACCCTGGACCGAACGACGAATGGTGCAATGCTCATGGTTCATAATAGCCAGGATTTCTACCCGACCTTCCTCAAGAACCAAGTCCTCCTAGGCCCGACCGATGTGACTATTATTAGCTGCGTCGGCCAACTGGGAGCCCTTCTCGGCGGTACTATGCTCGGCTATCTGAGCACCTTTTTTGGCAGGAGATTGACAATGCTCGTGGCTTGTGTGTGTGGAGGAGCACTCGTACCGGCCTACATTATCCCACGCAATATGAGTCTGGTCGCCTCAGCATTCGCCTTGCAATTCTTCGTAGGAGGATGTTGGGGAGTTATACCGATCCATCTGATGGAGGTTGTCCCGGAGGCCCTTCGAACTACAGCAGTTGGACTCACTTATCAACTGGGCAACCTGGCCTCCTCGGCGTCCGCGACCATCCAGGCAGTTATAGGGGAACGCTACCCACTTCCACAGCATAATGGAGAAAAGCGCTTTGAATATGGAAAGGTGATTGGCATCTTCATGGGTGCGGTGTGGGTATACCAGATCCTCTTCTTGTTCTTGGGTCCCGAAGTGAGCGAGGCCGAAAGAGCGGAGTATGCGTACCAAGCTAATGAGCTTGAGAGGCTTCGACAAGCAGGGCAGAGCTTGAAGGATATTGGGGTAGAAAGAGTCAAGTCCAGGCAGGCAGAGAAAGGAACGAATCTTGAGACTATTGACAAGGCGCCTGAGGGCGAACATCTGGAGGTGGCATAAATTCGGTGTTGTCAAGTTGCAGGGCAGTTTCATGCAATCCTGTCGCCAAGATAGAAGCCATACCAGATCATAGCCACCCATGACATCAGGTTCACCAACGAGGATGTGCCATGCAGCATCTCAAATCTCTTGTTGAGTGCTTGCATCTCTTTGCTGTATGGTGGAGGATCATAGCTCTTTTTCCCATCCCTGGTCTCCTGGTGTTTCCTGTCAAGCATGCACTTGGTTGTTGCAGGGCCGAGGTACGCCATGTTCAACAGACCCGATATAAGCATTGTCACCAGGGGAGTGAACACATGCAATCTGTTTTCTGGATGTAGAACACCCGCTATGCCGGCAGGTCGCGTTCCGATCGCAGTCCTCTCAGCAGGGAATGTCAGTGCGAGAACCATAGGCAAGCCGGACTGCATGGCAAAGTATATTGGGAACGTCGCCTGCTGAAGGGTTGCAAACTGAGGTCGAGGAAGCGATTTAAAGGCTACGATTCCCCCGACGAAAGATTGGAATGTTGTCGTACCCAGGAGGATACCATAGCTGAAGTATGCATCATTAGATACCGACTAGGAAATTGATGTTAAGTGCCTGAGGCTCACCTAATGATATGGTAGGGTGCTGCTGAGTAGAAGAATGATGATTCTGGCATGTCGAGTTAATGTGCAGGTGTCTGGACAAATATGAGAAGTTCTTTGCTCCTGAGCTCTAACTGACGGAACGAAATCTTTCTCGACAAGTCAGTCTTGGTATTCCACCTCGATGAATGCAATATCGGAGAACAATACCGCGGTTTCGTCATGGACACGTGAAGACGCGAGACGTTCGTGACTATTGCCTGATCCCCGCTTTGGAATAATTCTACCCCGTATTGCCCATACATATGTACCATCATGCACCATCCCAACCGCGATCGATCACGCGTTTCCCTGACATATCCTCTCGTCGTCGGCTTGTACGATCTCCCTTCTCTCTTTAGCCCATCTAAATACCCTTGCACGTCCGCCCTGTTGCCTTGCTACAACTCCAAAATTAATCATTCGATGGAACGTCAGCCCGCGTCAATGATAGTCTAGCCACCATGGAAAAGGAGGCAACAATATACATCATTGACGTGGCCCGGTCGATGGGCAGAAAGCACAACGGCAGAAACCAGAGTGATCTGGAATGGGCTTTGCAATGGGTCTACGACAAAATCACCAACGTGGTCTTCACTGGTCGTAAGACGCTTCAAGTCGGGGTTGTTGGCCTGGGCACCGATGACACCAACAACGAAATGCAAGGAGACACTAGTTACAGACACATCTGCGTGCTGCAGCCGGTAGCTCAGATCCTCCTACCTGAATTACAGAACTTGCCTCAGGCTCTGAAACCCAGCAACACAGACGATCGGGATGTTCTCTCGGCAATCATCATCGCTGTCGATATGATGATGAGACACTGCAAACACCTCAAGTACAAAAAGAAGATTGTCGTGGTCACTAATGCGACAGGAAGTCATATTGACGACGATGACATTGAAAGCACAGCGGAGCAATTTAAGACCAACAATATCGAATTGGTGGTGTTGGGGATAGACTTCGATGATCCAGAGTATGGATTCAAAGAGGAAGAGAAGCCGCAGCTCAAGGAGGAGAATGAGAAGATCCTGAAGAAACTAGTTGACCTCAGCGGTGGTGTGCTGGGGACGATGCAAGAAGCCATCGACGAGCTTTCTCGACCGCAAATTAAACCGGTCCGGCCGACGCCCACATACAGAGGCCAACTGAAGCTTGGAGATCCAGCGCAGTACGACACAGCCTTGTGCATTGATGTCGAGCGATACTTCAAGACGTCTGTCAGGAGACCTCCCACGGCCAGTGCATATGTCGTGAAGCCCAATGGTGCAGCTCAAGAGCAAGCAGAGAATCTCACCAACGTGCACAACCTGTACAAATACAAAGTCAAGGGCGAAGAATACGAAGGCGGTGTCAAAACTCTCGATCGCGAAGAACTGGCGAGAGGATATGAATACGGGCGGACAGCGGTCCCGATCTCGGAGTCGGAACAGAATATCACCAAATTAGAGACAGAAATGTCATACGACATTCTTGGTTTCGTTCCCATGGACAACGTGGAGCGATACATGCTAATGGACAACACCAACATGATCGTCCCTCAAAGGGGCAACGACGAAGCCGCGCTTGCGCTCTCCTCCTTGATCCACTCGCTCTACGAACTCGGATCTGTAGCCATCGGCCGCCTGGTCAAGAAAGACATGGCCGAACCAATTCTGACGCTCTTGTCACCTCTGGTCGAAACAGGGTTGGAGTGTCTTATCGAGAACGTTCTCCCCTTCGCAGAGGATATTCGATCCTACCGCTTCCCGCCCCTAGATAAAGTCCTCACCGTCTCCGGAAAGGCACTAACCGAACATCGCAACCTTCCGTCCGAAGGACTCCTACAAAGCATGAGTGAATTCGTCAACAGTATGAGTCTAATTCATGGGGGTGACGTGGAAATGATGGCCATTGATGACACATTCTCCCCTCTCCTACACACTATCGAAGGCGCGATAAAATACCGGGCCGTTCACAGCATCGATCCTGAACATAAAAATGAACTCCCGAAAAGATCAGAAGCGTTCGACTCACTTCAAGAACAACCCCTGGAGCTGCGGGAGCGAAGCAAAGTAGCGCTCCAACGCTTGATCGAGGCTGCGGATGTGAAGAAAGTCCCCAACAAAGTAAAAGGGAGAAGAAGATATCGCGATAGAGAGGCGGAAAAGCCATTGTCGGGACTGAACGTGGAGGAGTTATTCCGCAAGACACGACCACCAACCGAGCGCGGTAAGGCCCATATTTCGCCAGACAACGCGATTCCAGAGTTTAAACAGCTGATGAGTTCGACGGACAATATGGAAATTATAAAGGATGCGGTGAGACAGATGCAGGAGATTCTGCAAGACTTGGTGAGGAGCGATTTCGGGGGCCAGAATTACTCGCGTGTGGTGGCGGGATTGGGTGAGATGAGAGAGGAAATAATCGGACTAGAGGAGCCGACATTATACAACGCCGTTGTGCGCGAGCTCAAGGAGAAGATCTTTAGCGAACAGCTGGGTGGGAACAGACGCGAGTTGTGGTGGGCGATCCGAAAGAGCAAGCTCGGATTGATTAGCCAGGACGAGGATGAGCGGTCGGATATTGATGGGATGGAGGCAGAGCAGTTTCTAAACAAAGTCCCCAAGCCGCAAGGATGAGCCAGGGTATCCGGGAAATGAGTTGGGCACATGGATTGATGACATGAGGGCGGTTCCGGAAAAGCATTGTTTTGAGCAACAGATACTGTACCACGAGGAATTCATGCTACCATGAGCTCATCTCTAGAAGAACGATAATGGTGATGATGATGATGATGACGATGATGATTGTCATGATATCTTCCCAATCCTTCGCTTGGCAATCTGGATCTTCCCGTGTATGCGATCGACGTCCTCGTCTACCATCCTTAACATCTCATTCTGTACCTCCAACTCCTGATTGATGGCAATTCCCAACTCCTTTTGCCGCTGCACAACCTTCCGAATTTCTTCCACGTCAAGGTCTTGTTCGGCCATCTTCTGTTTTTGGAGTTGGAGGACGCCTTGATTGTCGAGCTCACGCGTTTCAGCAGTTTCTCTTCCAAGGACTCTCCCCCCGCCGACTTTGGGTTTGTTGTTCCCGTTGCCTATGAGATTTTGGGTTTCTTGTATGGAGGCGACTGCACTGTCCAGTTTGGATTTTGTGGCCATGGCGTTGAGCAGATTCTCAAGGCCGTCTTTGTCCTTCTTCGCTGACGCGATCAAATCTTTTCTCCTGCGTACTTCGCCTTCTCCGAGCTTCTGTCCACCCCATCCTCCTTCGGTAACCTTTTGTATGTTCGTCAACCCTTCCTCTAATGCTGCTATCAATGATCCTGCTTTTACAAGGTGACTCTTTGCAGCGGCACTAGCTTCATATTGTTTTTGCGGTGTGGATGCTTGGTCGCGATTCGTCAAGTTCAGACGTGCGTCTTGTAACTGAGCCTTCAGATCGCGATGGACATCGAGCCAGATAACCGGGTCTGTGATCGGCGCGCCTCCTCCGCCTGGACCTGATATGATAGAGTGGAGTCCGCCGGCCTTACTGGATGTCTGATTCGCGAAGGAGGACGGCAGGTTGAGAAAGGCTCTCCATACACTTGTCGAACGCCACCTTGAGTCGTCAATCTCGTTGATAGTCTTGAGATATGTCTCTAGCCCCCTCCGTCGTTCTTCCGTCAGCTGTGGATTAGAGATAGTGCGCTGAAACCATGATTTTGCAGGCAGTGTGCAAGGTGGCAGAGAACCGGCTTGATCCGTCAGCCCGTTGTGCAGGACGAGGAAGTCTGAGTAGCGCTTCTGCACGACGAAGGATCGTAGGGGTAAGCGGAGCGTGACGTTGTAAATGGTGTAGGGTTTTGAGGTTCCGGATATCGTGGTGTTCGGGATGGAGATTTCGACTTGTGGAGCCATAGTCTGCACATATTCTTAATTAAGCTGGACCCGTTGTGGGATTGTCGAAATAGAGCTTGTTTATTGACGCTGGTGTTTTGGTTGCTTGAGAGTTGAGACTCAGGCGAAGCGGGCGAAGTGAAGGCGCATGCAGCATGACGTCGTCTTCATCCAGACCGAGACCCGCAAGACCGCAACACGACGCTTGAAGGCTGAAGCCCGCCAGCCTGAAGGACACTTACGACATACGAGGTACAGCTAAGGGCGATTATCACAGCCACATCGCAAATCACTCTTGTGCAAAGATCCTATCTCCCCCGTCAAACAGCCAGCCATTTCTTCCCATCTCCGTCATGGTGACTCTTTCTCTTGAGACTTCCTGCCGCCATGGCAGCACAGTCGAAGCCCCCGCTTCCTCCCAGAACCTCTTTAAGGGCTTCCAACGGCGATGACGACTATCTCTTGCCCACAATCTCTCCAAATCCCAACTCATCTGTGTATCTCGGCGGGTTACATGATCCACGAGCCTCATCCACTCAGTCGCTCCAAGCCGTCACCTCGCCTGGCGACAACCGGCGTACCTTGCTTGTTGTCTATATCCATGGCTTTCTCGGCACAGAATCCAGCTTCAAGAGCTTCCCGGCTCATGTTCATAGCCTCTTGACTCCAGCCGTGGCAGAAACGCATGTCGTCTATACGAAGATCTACCCTCGATACAAGTCACGCAGGAATATTTCATTTGTGCGAGATGATTTCAGCAATTGGTTAGCTCCTCGCGAATCGAGCACCACGGACGTGATATTGGTCGGCCACAGCTTGGGAGGTATCCTTGCTGCTGAAGTGGTCTTGATACCTTCCCATTTCCCTCCAGGAAACAGCAACCTGTTCCAACATCGTATCCTTGGACTCATGGCCTTTGATACACCATTCCTTGGTATGCACCCCGGCGTAGTGGGTACCGGTATTGCCAATTTGTTTCGGACTCCTCCCCAAACCCCAGAATCTCCATTATCACAGCCAAGCCCCTTTTCAGATGTCATACCTACCTCTCAAGATCCAACATACAACCCGGCATATTCAAATGACATCCATCTGGCTAATAGGAAAGGCAAACTACGAAGAGCGTGGTACTTTTGGAACAAACATTGTGGAGAAGTGACAAAAGCGGCCCGGGATTATGTTTCCTCCCACCTCGAATTCGGTGGCTGCCTTGCAGACTACTCAGGTTTAAAGAGGCGATACAATGCAATTCGCGCTCTAGAAGACGTCGACGAGACGTTGGAGCCAAGAACACCTGACGGGAAGTTGATGAAGCGGGTAAGGTTTGTCAATTACTATTCTGCAAGCACTGGCCAAATCAGGGAGAGGTCGCCTTCTCCAAGCAAACAGCAGTCATTACTCGAGCCTCCAACAACGGAGCCTCAGGATATGTCCACGCGACGATCGTCTGGAGAAAGTCTTCATCCCTCGACCCTCTCAAGCCCTCGACTGTCTCTCGAGGAGCATCATGATGGCGAGGTCATTACGAGAGATGTCGCTGAGCTCAAGATCGATCCAGATCCACCAGCTCGTGCTCCTGTCTCAAAAACAAGCGAGCACAGTTCAATTTCGGGTGCTCAGGGCGATATTCCGGGCTCGGTGGAAGCCCTATCAATTGAATTAGGTTTGCCGCCACTTCCAGCATTGCCTGAGCGACCGGCAGAATTTGATGCTAGTCAACATCAAGATGAAGACACCATCAAATTGCTTCAAAGAGAGCATGAGCGGCAAGTCCAGGCATATGAAAGGGCTGTGAAAGACTGGGACAAATCCGTCAAAGAACGCGAAAGGCTGCTGCGAAAACGCCAGCGAAAGCAGCAGGAGCAGGCGGGGAAGGACACCAAAGAGCAAGAGATCCGACAGCAAAAGGAACAGCTAAAAGCTTCCTCCACGTTGAACCCAGAAGAATATGGGAGACATCTGCGGCAGGAAGCAAACGGCTCCGGAGCTACCTCGCAAAACAGAAAAATTCAGAAAGACCACAAGTTCTGTGCTCTCCCGGCGAAAGATCCAAAGACCCGCAAGCGAGATCCGACATGGGTTAGGTTGTACATGGGAGGCACTGATGAGGTGACTGCACATACTTCGATGTTTAATGAATCGGAAACTTATGCTAAGTTGGTGGGAGATGTGGTTGAGAGAATGGAGACCTGGGTCGCTCAAGGTGCATCCATACAGGCCGTTCTTGCGGAGATGGAGCGATGATTTCCGATCGAAAAGTATCGTCTTGATGACTTATGAGCATATACTATACCCCGTCCATTTGGGCCAAACGATTTAGCGTTATGAATTTCGTAATGTCCCACTCAGTACCTACTACAATTACAGTGCAGCGTGCTCGTCTGTATCATCCCGGCGAGGCTGCCAATCCTCGCAAGGCTGACCATCTCCAACACCAACCCCCCCAACATGATTTTGGACAGCCCACTTTTCCTCTCATGACTCAATCGAGCCTTTCTGTCACCTCTAAGATTGTGCCGCAATTACCTTTGCTGCATTTTCCTCTCGTCATCGTGTTCACCGTGCACCAAAATGGAGAATAAGGAAGCCGCATTGCCGACGCATGCAAAAGACAATCCTAATGTCTCAGCCGACGGCGCACCCTCGAAGAATGCATTGAAGAAAGCGCAAAAAGAAGCGGAAAAAGCTGCAAAGAAGGCCGCGGCAAAGGCAAAAGAGGCGGAGCAGAAAGCAGCTCAACAAATGCAGGCATCTGAGGACACGGCAAAGGACAATTATGGCAAATTGCCGCAAGACGACCCCGAGATTACGCATCTCAAGAAGCTCGGGGAGGAGCACGTCGACAAAGAAGTTACCGTGATTGTCAGAATTCACAACAACAGAAGTCAGAGTGCAAAACTTGCGTTTCTCATGTTGCGTCAGCAAGGCAAAACTATTCAGGCTGTTGTTGCAGCCACAGGGGAGGCTGTGTCTAGGCAAATGGTGAAATGGGCTGTGGGCGTTAACGTTAACTCCTTCGTTCGCATCTCAGGCATTGTCAAAAAGCCCGATCCTCCCGTCGCTTCGGCATCGATCAGCAGCCTCGAACTGCATGTCACGAAGATCTACCTTATCGCCTCCGCCGCCGAGCAGATCCCGATGCAGGTCAAAGATGCGGAACGACCACCACCACCATCCATCACCGGCGAGGAAGAAGGACCAGCAGTTGATGCCGAGGGAGCTCCTATTGTCACGTTAAAGACCCGCCTCGACAACCGCGTGATTGATCTACAAACGGAGTGCAATCAAGCCATCTTCACCATCTCCTCAGCCGTCGAGGGCCTGTTTGAAGAATACATGCGCAAATCTGGTTCCCGCAAGTTCAACACACCCAAGATTCTTGGTGCGGCTACTGAGGGTGGCTCTGGGGTTTTCGAAGTGAACAATTACTTTGGAAAGAGTGGGTATCTTGCCCAATCCCCACAACTGTACAAACAGATGCTCATTGCTGGGGATTGCGAGAGTGTCTTTGAAATTGGCCCGGTCTTTCGCGCGGAGAATAGCAACACACATCGACATTTGACGGAGGTATGGCTTCTAAATCACCACTTAGAATCAGGGATTAATCATACTCCAGTTCACCGGTCTCGACTTTGAAATGGTGTTCAACCACCACTATCACGAAGTATTAGAATTTGCCGAGAACCTAATCGTGTTCATTGTCCACGAGCTCCAGACTCGCTACAAGGATGAAATCGCGGTCGTGCAAAGGTACTTCCCCCGCGCAGGAGATTTCCGAATCAAGGACGGCAAAGCCTTGCGATTGAAATATTTCGATGGGATTAAGATTCTGAAAGACGCGGGCATGGATACCACAGAACAAGACAACTATGTCACAGACTTGACGACAGCTCAAGAGAAGAGATTGGGACAGTTGATAAGAGAAAAACACGACACGGATTTCTACGTGCTGGATGAATTCCCCATGGTGGTAAGGCCATTCTACACGAAACCACACCCGACGGACCCGAAGTTGTCCAATTCATATGACTTCTTCATGCGTGGTGAAGAAATCATGTCTGGCGCTCAACGTATCAATGATGCCGCAGAGCTAGAAGCATCAATGAGGAGCAAAGGAGTTGACCCGGATGCAGAGGGGTTTCAAGACTATGTCAATGCATTCAGACAGGGGTGTCGGCCACATGCTGGCGGTGGGCTAGGTCTGAATCGAATCGTCATGTTCTTCCTGGGGTTGGACAATGTGAGGCAGGCGACACCCTTCCCTAGAGATCCCCAGAGGTTGAGGCCTTAACTTTCTTCATTCTACGCGAGGGTTCGATGGTTGATCAGTGGGTTTTCAGGGTCGAAAGCACCAGAAGGTGTGATTTACAAATTCATCTGACGGGAGAAACCCATGTCAGAGTCCGAGGAAGTTGGGAAATAGAGACGGGCAAGCACATGGGCCGGAATGACAGAGGCAACGAAGATAAGAGATTTAGAGTCCTTAGATACTGGAGATAACGATGAGAAGTGAGACCTTCATGACCCCGTACTCAGTCTCTGCTCCATTACCCGTGAGAACTACAGGCCTCAGCCCTGCCATGACACAGGACACTAGCCCTGGGCACCCTGGGGCATTATCCGATCCGGCGCAACCATGCCGGTGCGGGGATGTCGAACAGCTTCACTTCGACGAAATACCTCGTATAGTCCGTGGAATTGCTCTTTAAGTCTCTGATTCTCACCTGTTGCTTGACTTTTTCTTCTGAGCTTATCGTTCTCTGAAACTGTCGCAGTATCCTCTCCAGGCTCGATTTTGAATCCCTGCTCAACATGACGTACACGGGCCAGGTGCCCTCTTCCCTCGCCAACAAAATCGACGCCCGCATCGTCCCCTTCTTCGAGCACTTCTACCATGTCTCTGACACCCCGAGTGCGCACGACGACTACGCCGCTTCGTTCCTCCCGGATGCCGACTTTGTCATGGGCTCGAAGTCCGTCAAGGGCTATGACCAGGTGCTAGAGCTCCGCAAGGGACTTTGGACGGGTCCGATCCAGAGCAGGAAGCATAAGCTGGAGAAGATTTTCCCGTTTGGTGAAGGCAGCCTAGAGTGTATGTTATATGGCAGTGTAGATTATGGATTGAAGAATGGCAAGCAGTTGACAGTGGAGTGGTCTGCGAGGGCGGTATTGGCCGAGTACGAGGGCAAAGAGTTGAGGTTTAAGTTGTATCAGGTCTATCTGGTGAGTATAGCTCTTCAAGGAGGGAAGATTGGGACGGGAGATTGAAGCTAACGGAGGCATGCAGGATTCAGCTCCTGTTGCAAACGCCGCAAAAGAGTAGGACAGGGTAAAATGGGACAGCGCGAAGTATCATCATATGAGCATCTTTGCAAAGCTCCTTTGGAACACTGCCTTGATCACCTCCATGTGGTTCGAGCGAGGTACCATACTCAACTTGGTCTGAGAATTATCCGGCCATCTCGTAGTATGTTCCCTTGCGACCAGGCACCCTCAACCCACCATCTTGCGTAGGTCTCGTGGGGGACATCCTGACCGGGCTACCCTCCACTTCCGCACTCTGCGGTCTCGCAAAGTCCTGATATCGCGGCACTGGCGAGGCACTCGTCACATTTTCGTCCGCGGGAAGTTCCGACTTATGACCTGACCATGCTGGACTCCTCATCTCTGGGTTGGTCGGTCTCCGCTCCGCTTGCGGTAGCGTGGGTTCCCGCATCGACGCTGGCTCGTTCTGCTCCTGTCTGCCCCCTGCTCTTCGACGGAAACATGTACACAATAACCAAGCAAACAGCACCATCGCCGCTGCTCCACCCGCTGCTCCAAACGCCACTCCTATCTTTTGCCCCGTGCTTAACCCAGAATGGTTAGCGATCGCACCAGCGGTGGCTTCTGGTGCAGAGAAGGTCTGAAACGAGGCGGAAGGTGAACGCAGAGTAGAACTGGCCGCGGAAACGGTAGATGCGGGTGATAAAAGGATGGTTGTGTCGGTTACTGAACTGGAAGTTGGGGTTGAAGTCGTGGTATCAGTATCTGACGAGGTAAGTATCGAAGTAAGGGAATGTTCCGATGAGTACGCATCGGCGTCTTTCCAAGTGACCCTGCCGCCCAAAGTTGCTGGCAGGGACATGATGTTGGTGAGGACGGAGGCATCGGTGAAAGCAACGGTCCTTGAATCGACATCGGGGCACCAGCAGGGTAATGGGGTTGTAACCGTGCTGCCTTCATCTTTGCACGCGACCCATTCATTCGAAGTGCCATTGCAGTAGACCAAACCGGCCCACGGTTGCTCTGCAGGGGTGGTCAACGAGTCGTCGGACAGTTTGAAAGTGGATTCCTTTCTCTACCTTGAAAATCTCCTTTACGTGGGCAGGCTGGGTCATCGTAACTAGAATCTGTGCAGCCGGCTAGATAAGTGACGCCAACTAAACATCGTCAGTGCGAGAAATCTGGACGTGGCCAAGGTTGACTCTTACATTGACCGTTGTAGCAAGCGTGCGACGAAAGACACATGTCTAGACTCTCACAGCATGACTTGTGTCCGAGGGCCGCATTCCCACAGGGGATATACCTGGAATTGGCCTGCATGCTATCGTCATAGTAGCAGGTACCGTTGGAGATGTCCGGGTTGTAATCCGCCATGGCGTGCCGAAGGAGGGTTGGAATGAAGAGGACGAGGGAGGTAAATAGCATGGCTGCGGTGAAGCAACAAGGCATTCCAAGGTGGTGCAATCACACAAGGCGTTGTTGACAGATGGATGCAATGTCAAATTCAAGATCGGGTTCCCGCAGCGAGAGGCTTGTCTTGGTGTGAGACAGAGGAGGGCTGTGGGTGCGGCTGCCCGTCACTAGAATTAGAAGGTATCCGTGCTCCTTACCAAGCGGTGCGGCAGCATGTCTCAAATTTCTGTTCATCTCCTCTCACCCGTCCTCAGTCCATCTGCTTCGAAGATCTAGCAAGTCTCTCTGGCCGTACACCTCGCCGGCAATCGTGACTATCATGTCCAAGATCACGCTGACACACTTCTGTCGACCCAAATCTCCATCGCTTTCGACAGGCTCTGCTTCTTCATCGGTAGCTTCCAGGTTTGGTCTCTTCTCGGGTATGTCATTGGCGCCAGTATCTTGCCCTTCACCAGGGATCTCGTTGTCGCCCTCTTCGTCCTGGTCCTCTCCCTCTGTCCTATGCCCGTCGTCTCTCATCTGCTGCAGCCGAAGCGCTGTCTGCGCCAACTCTCGGATATCTCCCACTTCCTCGTTCGACGACTCCTCACGATTTCGACACTTGCCTAGAATTGCCCACGCCCAAGCTCCGATCCTCGCTATCCGCGCAAGGTCCCTCGTGCGGAGCATCTTCTCCAGCTTTGCCGCAAGAAACTTGACCAGCTCCACCACGGTCTCTGCATCCATACACGCAACCTGAACAGGATGAGGGTCCGTAGACAGAATATGACTTTCCCACTGCGCCCGCACCTTCCGAGTGTTTTCCGGAAATGATATGAATTGTGATGGACGAAGTGCTTCAACAGCTGGGAGAGGTGGTTGACATCTTAACGTGGCACGGACCAGTCTGAATTGTGCGAGGAGCGAGCTGTAGTATTCGATTTGAGCAGGCGGTAAGGGAGGTTCTGCTTCGACTGTTGTGACAATCTGATGATTTGCTGTGTATGCGCCGTTGTAGTAATATCCTCCTTCTTCTATCTCCTCGCCCTCCTCGAGTTCATCCACAGGTGCAGACGGTATCTGTGCAGTCATAACAGGCGGGACACCCTTGGCTTCTGACCTGAGACACAATATCAAGTATCAGCCCATGCTTTCCTTGCCCTAAGGGGACCAGATGTTCAGCGTCACGCTACTGAGCGATAACGGGGAAACTTACCGCACCATTCTCAAGTAGTCCATTCCATTATCAGCAGGCCCAAAGAACAATTCACCCTGGTCCTCTCCAAGCCCAGGAAAAGCACCGAATTGTCCGCTGAATTGGTTGACATAGGGGACTTCATCGCTCTCTTCCTCCTCTGAATCGCTCCTATTTTGACGCTTGACTGGGGGTGACTTGTCCAGCTCGGGAGAGGACGTATTATGGCGTTTGCGCGACATGCTGAAGGAACGCTTTTACTCCATTCTGTGCTCAAGGATAACGCGACAACTCTCAGGGAATGGAAGGAGAACCAAATGACAAGGAAGCGACGAAGTGCGCTTCGCGCTTGTTCTCACCTGTCCGAGAGCCAGTACTTCGCCTATTACGGCGGATCAAACAATCTGGTATGGCCTGGCGGGGATCGCCCTCGCACTTCCTCGCTGCATCTCGTGATTTCCAGTCCTCATCAAAAATGCTCTATCATTCAAGACACCCATTGTTCATTTCGTAGTACGGAACACTGAATATATCCATCAAGATATACTGCATAGCACTAAAGACCAAAGACCAAAGCCTATCAACATCCACCGCCGCAGCCAGCTGCGGCGCCGAGCACTATAATCTGCAAGCATCGTCTCCGATCGATCTCTTTCTTCAACATCATCAGGCACGTGGCCACGATCAATGCCTCATCCAGGTAACTCGTCGCTTCTTGGTCGAGGATGAGCTGCCCACCGTTCCCAGCCGTGCATCTGGTTGTACCCTCCGTACGCGTACCATCCGATCTGATCAACTGGGCCAAGATCATCCCCGTGTCTTTCCGGCGCAGTGCGATGACGTTTACTCTCTTGCCCAGGGGGTCATTCTTCCGCGAATAGCTCCATTCAAACATTTGCCCATCTGGAGTGGTGAACGTCGTAGACCGAGACCCCAGCTTCCCGCAAGCTTTTATTTCGTCTCCATCGCCACCAGCCCCAGCTCGACCTTGGGCGGACCTGAATTCAGGCTTGCGCTTGGGGCCAAAGAAGTACGTTGAGCTTATCAAGTCGCCTAGCTTCGGATGGTTGAGTATCGCATTCCCAGAACATCGCTTTGCCCTGGTCGAGGTATATGCTAAACTCCCGTCATTATGGAAGATTTGAATCTGCAGCTCCGAAGAAGGGACCGGAAGTCGAAGAAGGCCAATTCCACGAGCGGAAACATGCAGGGTTGTACCGGCGCGGAAGTTATCGGGGTCAAGGAGTGTTGTCGAGTAGGAAACATTGGAGAAGAGCGAGGCGGATGCAGATTTGACATCTACTTCAGCAGCCTTCGTTGCCGATGACGGGAGCTGATGTTTGTACTCAAAGTAATCTGCGGTCATCCTAGTGTGATTTGGCGTATTTATGCAATAGAAACTGGCCAGAGAGGTTAACAGTGACGGCGCGAGGGTTGGGCTTTCCTAAGCTCTGAAACTATAAGTGGCATACACATCCACAAGAATGCCAGCAACCAAAGACCCTTTTATTTCCCAATCTCCCCAAGGAGTCCAGTGGAGGTGCTTCTGCATCGGGCTCTGTCGTCGTATTCGGAATTCCATATCAGGCTTGGAACCCTAAGGCCGACTGTGATTGGACCAAGTCGTAAGGCAGACTCGCAGGCGAACGCTGCAGGTTCGGGGAACTTATCGAATGCCAAACAAAGAACCAAGTGCTTCTGTCAGACCAATGATCAGTCTTGAAGGTACTCGAATAGAACATCCTTGTCTATGATGAATAGCTCGCAATGTGCGTCATTCCTCTGCCAGTGGCCTTGAAAAGAGAGCATTAGGGACAATTAATTCCGCTGCGCCTGGACAGATTCCACTTTCTCGTGGACAATCCAAAAATTGGCTGCTGCCTGTTGATCGGGATTCGGTGCGGTGCAAATCCTCTATTGCAAAGCCGCATTAATGTGATGGTCTCTTTCCCGCCGCTTTCATGACCACAATGTCAGGCAAATCCCTGATGTCGGCGAGCACCCCCATTGCCGCAGCACCTTCCTCGACTTCTCTGACAAGATCTACCACTCTCATAGCATCGACCCGTAGTGTTCCGGCCTCGAAAGCGACCATCTGGATGTCGCTCTCGTGGCACTGGTCAGGTGCTAAGGGACCAATCCGTAACTCTGCAGTCAAGGCTATCAGATCGGTCTCTGGAGGAACAGAATGCGAGTGGTGCATAGCATAGACAACGTTCTCATCGACGATTGCCTGTGCTATATCCAAGTCCTCCCCATCCTTAGTGTGTCGCCGCTCGCTTGGGTGGAACGAGGCAGTGGATGACTTCGGCGCGTGGCGTTTGGCGAAGAATTGGGTTTGAGAGGTTTGCCGCTGAATCCGAGGTAGAGGGATGATCGCGATTTTGGCCGTCTTCACAGAGTTATTCATGACCAGAACCTTCCACGAAAATGGTTGGCCAACCTGGACCGGCACGTCAGGGGCTGTGAAAGATATTGACAGTCCACTCCTCGAGTCGACATCAGAGGCCGGCTGTAGGCTAGTGTTAATCGCAGTCACAGGCACTGCCGCACTATTGTCAGCATTAACAGGAAGGCTTGTCGGTCGATTCGGCCGCTGGATCGGTTGCGAAGGGGGCCCGAACGATGGATTTAGGGCTGGAGTGAAGTCGACGTGGGTGGTCCAATTCATGACGAGAACCGGATGACATTCCTCATTCAATTGTATCGCCAGTCTGATGGCAATTGACAAGACATCAAGGTTTGGGTTCACGAGTCCAAATCTAGGAGCGTGGCTTGGGCCGAGCGTATGATGAAGTCTGTATAGAAATGTTATACAATCTCCTGACCGGACTTGCATAGGCAGAAAGGTAGGCATCATTGATTCAGCTCGCCCATTCTTGAGGGATAGATCAACTTGCTCGATCGTTGCGTCTACTTTGACAAACGGAATGACGTCCATGTCCAGCAGAGCAACGGTGGTGGGTGTCGTAGTGAATGCGTTCACCTTTTGATACCGTATCCGCGCCATTGTGGCAGGTACGGCTCTGTAACGTCTCGAAGGAACATGTTGGACGTGAATCCGTTTCTTGTGAGTCGCTGTTATGGGCAATACCCGTTCAAGTCTCGATGCGGCAAGGTATGGAGGATTATCCTTGAAGCCTGGGACAAAGTGCATGGGCTCAAGCACATTTGCTTCCAGCGGTTGGAAGAGCTCAAGGTCGCCATTCTTGTCGACTTCATCACGCTGAGGAGCAGTGATGGTGGCTGAAGGGATCAGTATAATAGCAGGCTGAGGAACGCGGAATCTAGGCCGATTGAGGGAGATTTCGACTTCCCAGACAAGAGTCAAGGTCTGGCCGCGATTTGCAGACTCACTGACGAGGACTATAGGTTCGGTCTTCTGGATCGATTCGGCTGAAAACACCATGTCCTTGGGAGGGGGTGCGCCGGGAGTATTCTGTTCATTGCCTGGAGACTCCTCAATGGCCCATACATCAATCTTGAAGGAAAGTTGCGAGAGATATGACTGCAAGACATCTTCGTCGCAATGCGGCAGTCGGAGGACCGCTAGTGCCCTCAACCTTTCATCTGATCTGGGGATGAGTACGATAGAATCCCTTGGACGACGTGAGCTGGACGCACCAAAAAAGAGCAATTCTCTTTCCTTTATGGCCAGAAGGTGACTGGGGTCCTTCTGAGCCTCAGCCCCTGCTTTAAGAATTTCTGAAACCTCGGTCACCGTGTCCTCTGGGATAATGGCGTCCACTAGGGCTGATTTGAAAAGTTCAGCTTCCATGTTGAGAGGACGACTCTGGGAAGTTATCATCGGGCATCTCTTGTGTGCGAACAGTCGAAGTTCAGTCTCTCAGTATCATCCTAGCTTGCTCGTTAGAGTGCGTCATTCTCGTTCAGGGGTTTGTGGGATGGAAGCAAGTGCTGAAGTGTTGGTCGCGCATACCAGGTTGCTTACGTAATGAAGCTTGGAGTTTTCAACTTTCACCTCGCTGCTATTTCCCGATACTGCGAAGTACTCGTAGCGCTTCCTCCACGCTCAACGTCCTACTTGGGCCTGTCGCTCCTTACCACAATCATCGCTGTTTCCCTCGCATAATTGATTGGCACATTTTGCATACGAACATGAACGGACTTCCACCAACAGCAGGGCAATGGCAAGAGGCCCGCGCCCCCGACGGGCGCACCTACTACTACCACACTGTCACGAAAGAGACAAAATGGATCAAACCGGTCGACCTCATGACTCCGCTGGAAAAAGCGCTTGCGGCTCAACCATGGAAAGAATACGCGACTCCCGATGGCCGGAAGTACTACTCGAACTCGGAGACCAAACAGACAGTATGGGACATGCCTCAACAGTATCGAGACGCTCTGAATTCCGTCCAACTTCCTCCTAAGCCGGTCCAACAACCCCCTGCCTTTGTCGCCGGTGGCTCTACTGCCCTTTCTTCATACACTCATGCGCGGGAACGAGACGATCACACGCCCTTTGACTCGAAGCCTCGACCCGAGAGCGCGCTCTCGGTGCCAACCATCGCGAAGGAGGTGGTGCCGGATTACTCCAGCTTTGAAGAGGCGGAAGCTGCATTCATGAAGTTGTTGCGACGGTCCAATGTCCAGCCTGATTGGACCTGGGAGCAGACGATGCGGGCAACCATCAAAGATCCTCAATATAGAGCCTTGAAAGACCCCAAGGATAGGAAGGCGGCGTTCGAGAAATATGCGGTCGAGGTTCGGCAGCAAGAACGGGAAAAGGCCAAGGAAAGACTGGCTAAGCTACGCACAGATTTCGGTAACATGTTGAGGACACATCCCGAGATCAAACACTACAGTCGATGGAAAACAATCCGTCCGATCATTGAGGGAGAGACGGTTTTCCGATCCACTGACAACGAAGATGAGCGTAAGCAGCTTTTCGAAGAGTACATTATCGAGCTTAAGAAACAACATATCGAACAGGAAGCCGCCGCTCGCAAATCAGCGTTGGATGACCTTGTTGCCATTTTCAAAGCCCTCGATTTGGAGCCATATACCCGATGGGCGCAGGCCCAGGAGATTCTTCAATCCAACGAGAGGATACAGTCGGATGAGAGATTCAAGCTTCTGAGTAAGTCAGATGTTTTGACGGCTTTTGAGAACCATATCAAATCGCTCGAGAGAACTTTCAATGATGCACGTCAGCAGCAAAAAGCCAGCAGAGCAAGACGCGAAAGGCAAAATCGCGATAGATTCGTGGAACTGCTTCAGACCCTGCGGAGCCAAGGCAAAATCAAAGCGGGAGCCAAGTGGATGACCATATTGCCTGAGATCGAAGAGGACCCGAGGTATGTTGCAATGTTGGGTCAGGCCGGATCAACACCTTTGGATTTGTTCTGGGACATCGTTGAGGAGGAAGAGAGGGCTCTACGAGGGAGGAGGAACGACGTCTATGATGTGCTTGAAGTATGCTGCCACCCGTTATCTCTGCCATCCAAATGCTAACCACGAGCAGGACAAACGATATGAAGTCACACCTCGAACTTCCTTCGACGAGTTTCTTGATGTCATGCTTACTGATCGGCGAACAGCCAATATCGATCGAGATGCCCTGCAACTCATCTTCCAGCGTCTACATGACAAGGTTGTGCGCAGAAGCGAGGATGAAAAGCACGCTGCAGACCGCCATCAACGTCGTGCCGTAGACGCACTGCGCTCAAGAATCAAGCATCTAGATCCTGCGGTCCGCATTACTGATTCTTGGGAGGACATTAAGGCCCGGGTAGAAAAGACAGATGAGTATCATGCCGTTGAAAGTGAAGAATTGAGGAAGTCTGCTTTTGATAAGGTGGTCAAGCGGCTGAAAGAAAAGGAAGAGGACGCCGACAAAGACCGAGAAAGGAGACATTCTAGACGGGGAGATGATCGAGACCATCGAAATGGCCACCGCGGTGAAACCAGATACGGCCGGCTTTCTAAAACTCCCGAGCCCGATGCTTACGAAGCAGACCGCCGTAAGGCGCAAGCTGCGAGGGAGCAACAATACAGAAAAGCCGGTGGGTTCAGCCCACCGCCTCCACAGGCCCGTGGGGGAAGAGAACGTGACGAGAGACACGGTCGTCTCGATCGTGACAGAACATCTCCGACTCGTCGCATGAGCACCTACGAGCGTGAAAGGCGCGAGCGGGAAGAAGAACGAGAACGTCTGTATCGTACACGAGCCGAACCGCGCAGCAACAGGGATGAACTCAACTATGGCGAAGAATCAAGGAGTATTACAGGCAGCGATCGACGACGGAGGAGGGAAGGAAGTGAAGACAGCGTCGAGAGTGGAAGACGCAGTGCCAAACGGAATCGTCGAGGGGGAAGGTCGCGGTCGCGTGAGCAAGGGAAGAGCAAAACCCCCGAACCATCGTCGATCAAAAAAGACAAAGACAAGGATATGCTTCAAGTTCCGGAGCCTAGTGGAGTGCATTCAGGAAGCGAGGAGGGGGAGATCGAGGAGGATTGAGTGCTGTCAAGCCGAATCGTGCTGGGAGAGATTACATCAGGTCAGTCTATCATGGCTTCTTGCGCCTCTCCTTGTTTCTGGGAACTTACAGCAACCATGTCCTCCTTTTTGCAAGCGCAGCATAGATTGGGGGCAGCAAGCTGGGGTTCTCTCGGATGGAACACTTGAGGTCAGCTTCAAGGTGTTTGCTCGGAAGCCGACCTCGAGAATGCGCGTCTTGTTAGGTACGTAGAGCCCTGCATCCCAGGCTTCTGATCATAAAATTTCCAGTGGCTCCGTCGTGACTCTCTAGTGCCCTTTCGAGAGATTTTCGATCGGTTTGGGGGAATTCGATTGTGTGCGATGGGCACTCTTTGCTCGGAGATCCAAGAGACCAGCAGAAATCAGCGGCGTGATGAAATAATACGACAGAAACCAAACCCGTTTGACCGCGGTATCTGTTTGATATCTTGCAGCTATCAGTGAGTTCACGGCTGCGAGCGTTTCGCGTCAATTCTCACTGGTCCTACCGAGCTCGATTGAAATGTTATCCTTTTCGTTTGACTTGACCAAACTCCTTGCAATTTGCACGTGTCCTTCGAAATTTCTCCTGACTGCTAATGCTCAAACATTCTGATGTCCACATGCAGCTAGGACTGTCAAAATTCCATAGAGTCCTCTCCGCCTCCGCCCCCATTTCTCGACGGACTTTTCGATAAATTTAATCTCGATTGACTTTGTTCCCCTATCATTTCCTCGGCTTCATCTTCTTCGCTGTCCCCGTCCCCATCTATTTCAAAGTCGAAGTCTCCGCGCTCAATCCGACTACATCTATCCAGAATAGCCTGATACTCTTTCCGCAAGTCTTCCAACGTGATGACCACGCGGCGTCGTTTTCTCATCATCTTCATCAACTGTCCGTCATGTTGAGCGTTGGCATCTTCTCCATTCACCTGGTTCAGAGTTGCCTTGCTGTCATCGGCTTCAACGAGGATGTACGCCTCGTCCGCTGCCATGCAAGCCATAAGATTGATGAGAGCAAGCAGGACGTGTCTCAGCGCTGTGGCTTTCGGATCATGTCGAGCCCGACCGGATTTGCGGATCAATTTGAGTCGGTCATATAGGATTGTCACCGCGCCACGGTGGTCGTTTTGGTTAATTCGGATAGCGTGCATGATGCTGAGACAGTCGACTTTGCCACCACCTGAGGTCAAGCTGGATGCCATCGACTGGGATTTTGCGAGGGAAATGAGGTGTCCATCCATGTGTCGGGCGAGTTGAGGATACATAGTCCAAGGTAGAGACTGGAGGTTCTGTACCACGCCTTCAGGTCCAAAGACAGATACATTAGAACTCAAGACTGAGTTGACCAGGGCCGTCACTGATGATCGCTGCAATGCTGGGTCAGGCATCTGAACCAGAGAATTGTAGGCTCGATCGAACCTAGATAGCTTGAGCTCCGCGTTCACCAATCTGGACAACACTTCAGCTCGGAAATTGAGAACTGGTTCATTCTGCCCAGCTTGCAATGATTCTAATGTCAAATGAGCAAACTTAGCTGCTTCGTTGTATGCTTTCGCAGACTCGAAAAGGGTCGTAACATGATGCAGGTAAACGGGAAGGCCGTTGTTGAAACACTCGGCTTCAATCATTGACAACAGACCAGCTGAAAGTGCCACCAAGTCTCCAACTGCTTTCCCACATGCCAGACCATATGACGCCTTCTGAAAATAGTATGTTGCTACGTCGTAGTCGGCTTTCGCAATAGCCAATCGCCCTTTCACATAGCTTGACCAGGACGTTGAAGGTTGGTACTGTAGAAAATCTGTGGCAAGGTCGAGATCACCTTGTACAAGGAGATCACATTGCAGGTAGACCGCACCATCTTCTAGGTCCAACGTATCTTTTCCAGAAGCCCAATCGTCGATCTCTGATAACTGGTCTGTGATCAGATACATCAAGGGTTTCTCAACAGCGGGCTGTGGTCTGACAGCTTTGCTTAACGCGTCCTCCATGATTGTAACCAGTCTTCTCTTGTCGGCGAGGGGCTTAGAACGTTGGCGGGAGGCATTTGGATGTCCATCAGCACCTAGGATCTCCAACGGAGCCAGTCGGGAATGCGACACTAGCCAAAGATTCCGGTTACACAGCCGTAGTAGGGGCGCAATCTGGTCATACAGTTCGGAGGCGTCGAATATTGTCGATTTGACATCCTCTTGACTCAACTCACCCTCCACGAAAACTGCTAGAGCAAGAAGGTCCATGAGCAGTTGTTTTTTAGACGACAAGAAATCTAGCGTGCCCGCAGACAATAGAAGATTCCCGAACAGGGTGTTCCTTAAGGCGCTTTTCACTCTCCTACTTTTAGACACAAACAGTTCCAAAACTCCCAGGAAAAGTTCGTTATTCAAGCCAGAGATGCCGCCCATCGGAGAGAGATCAGATTGGAGTCGTTCAAAAGTGTCATTCGATATAGCGTCGCCAAATCCCGTATTGTCATAGATATTCAGTGTGCGCGTGGGGGTGACATATTCGGCACTAATGGACATATCCTCTTCGACTGCAAGTGCGAGATCCCGAGCAAGATCGGATGAAAACGAATCTCTAAACGTCCTCGCCGCGGAGATTAGGATAGCAAGGTCGACGAAGGGTTCTCCGTCATCAGTACTGACTTTGCGGTGAGGCCATAATCGAGCAGTGGTGTCTTCAAGATCTCGTATGTCGCCCACTTCGTTTTGTTGGAGAAGTTCAACCTTGCTGCATTCTCTAACCGCGCAGCATTTGTCCGCCATGGTAATCCACACCATCTCGCTGAACACATCGTAGGTCAGGGCTAACGGAGCATTGCGGTCGTCGTTGACATTTTCAGATATCCTGTAAAAGTTGCGCCACTGAGAATCAGTGTCGATACAGAACCGGTCAAAGTCCATCTCGGATTCACCATACTTCCGCAGTGAGATATTGCCCGCCACCGTTGTGCACATTCGCTGTCTCAACGGCGCTGCCTTCTGAGAAGCAGTCAATTTCATTGCAGTCGCATCCTCGAAGATAGACAACGCTGTTTCAAGGGCAGCCTCTGAATAGCGACCAGGGTAGAGGAAGAAGTCCAACCACCTAGTAGCCGGATCTTCCTGATCACCTTTGACAAATTCTGGAGGTAGAGCCTTTGGGGACATTGTTGCATTGCATTTGACCCAATTTGACTTCCATGAACTTGCCACGCTGCCCATTTCTAGTTGACAATTGTAAAGTTGGTGGAAGTTGTGGTTCCTCCAAAGTACCCAGAGCCGAGCAGCCTTGTAGGTGGTGCCTGGATCGAGCTTGAATCCGATCATGGACCAGACAGTGTTCCCAGAAGGGTCTGGATCTGGAGGACTCAGTTTTGTTTCTGGATATCTGTCTTCAATAATAAGAGAATCTGTGAGGCTTCCCTTGATGTCCCAGAATTTGAATTGACCTCCATCTCGGGGACTGTAAGTCAGAACAGTGGGAAACTTCTGCGCCTCGTCTTCTTTGAATACCTGCAAGAAGGCGTCTTCCGCTGGATTCAAATGGGTCCTGTCATTTGGATCCCTTGTCAAGCCCACCAAATCTTTCGTAGCAATAATTCTGCCATTGTTGAGGTTCCAGATTCTCAAAGTATGGTTCAGACACACAGTGAAGAGGAGATCTCCATCCGCGGAGACGGCCATAGTCTGGGCCGTTCTCGGATCCAGTTGCGTCGATCCAAATTCGACAGTGTGATAACCCCGTCGACCGACGAGCCCTCGGATCGACGCGCCCCATGATCGGTCATCATAGTTATCCTGTTCCCAATCGTCTTGTACAGATCTCCTCTTCAGCCTCTGTAATCTCCCGCTGGCGAAGGATATTAAGACAACCAGAGGGGTGCTGGCATGAATGCGGTAGACTGTATCGATACCAAGGGTGGAACTTTCCAGCGGCTGGCACCACTGATCAATGTTCTCGGTTTGCAGGACACGCAAGTCGCGGAAAGCAGCGGTAGGTATTCGTAGGTTGAAGATCTCGTTTTTGTTGGTACACACAAAAGCATTAATCTCGTCGGCATTCTCTAAATCCGTAAAAGTCACACCTCGGGGGATGATCTCGTCCTGGAACTCGAACTCGATTGTAAGGTACGCCTCGTCGACGTCAGCTTCGCCTCTCGCAAAGTCCGCGCATTGCACCTGCAGCACTCTTCCATTGTTGACCACCTTCCAGTAAAATGTCCGGGGATATGTTTTTGACGCTCGGAAATATATCGAGCTCTGAGAGGCAAGGACATGAGAGGAATACGATTCTTGGTCGCTGGTCCAGGTTCGGCCATCCTTAGACCGGGTTGAGGAGGACTTGGGTTTGTCGAATGAGCCATTCTTTCTCGGAACTTGGAGGCGTAGCACTGAGTCTGCGGTTGCCGAATTCACTTGGAAGGCCGTCTCGGTGTAGAGGTTGAGCATCGCTGCGGCTGTTGACCGAGTCCCATCTGATCAAGAGACGTTACTGTGTGTTACAGATTGATGGTTCGATGTCATGATGGTGAGTTTGGGAAGTGGGTGCGCAGTTCAATCCCAGTAAGCTTTTTGCGACGCGTCGCTCTTGAACTGTCGCGATCACTAAACGCCAAGCGAAGCGAGCAGAGCCAGCCTAGCCAGCCTTGTGACTGCGCCAAGTCACGAGTGCTTAGCAGGTAAAGAAGAGCAAAGAAGAGTACCCAGTAAAATGTGCTCGGACCTCACGTGCGACTCGCCCCGGACATGCCGCTTTTACGTCGTTCGGACGGACTCCTCCCCTCCGCTAACGAAGTGCAAAAATTCCCTTCCTGCCCTCGAGGGCTACGAGGATTTCTCCTCCTCTAGAATGCGACCCTCCTTCAAAGGCGGCCATACCATTGTCGTTATTATAACCCTCACAGACTCCTGTTACTTCCACTATTACCGCGAGCTGGCTAAGCTAGTAGGAGCTCACAGCGGATGGACTACCTACTTACTCGTGCTAAAGCTAACTGTTACCAGAGAGGAGCAGACACATAGACCGATGAAGTTTAGGGCCGAGATAGGTATATAGTAAAGACGAAGAAGAACTAAGATTAGTACTACCCTTCGAAGCTATATTCTGTAAGAACTACCATTTCCTTTACGTTCTCCATTTTACGGCCTTCGCCTCATAATTCCATCTCGGTACTCGGTACCCTGGTGGAGTCTCAATACTATGAGAAAAGAATACGCCTAGAAAGGACAACCCCGTCTCGATGAAGAGAGGACCCACTATTAGTATCTAGGGTAGACTATATTTCCCCCCGATCCTACGACCGTTGAAGACTTTATTCGGTGATGGTCTCGCCGGAGCAGCTGCTTGATGGGTAGGAGCAGGCTACCCGATGGCGGCGATGACCTTGCCAAAGATCTCTTGAAGGCAATGGTGGAGGGGCAGAATAAGTCGACATTCGCCCTGACGTTCGTTTCTTGCCAAAAGCGCGGGACCGTGCCCATTCCATGATGATCTCCAACAGCGCTTGACCAGAGCTAGGCTGGGGGATGGGGTTATCCAACAAGGCGGAGTGTCCGTTTCGAGTGCTGGTTTGTTTCCCGGATGAGATCACAAAAGAGGAGAATTAAGAGGCTTCTGAGGGTATGAAAAGAAGTCTTGGAAAGAAAAAGGCGATCTGGTACGAAGAGCCAGCGGTAGAAGAATTAATATCCTTCGAGAGTGAACCGCAACCGAACGACCACCACTACCACCACCAGAAGATAATGTAGGGCCAGCGGTAGAAGAGCACTCTGAAGACTGGGAAAAGCTGGGTATTGATGGAGATGATTTCGTGATATTTCAGTAACCGCGGTTTTTTTTTTTGGAAAGGGAAGGGCAGGGGGGTTCGTTGGTGTAGTCGATTCTGTTCCAGTTTGGACGTCTGTATTCCCTCCCCCCAGTCACGGATTGCGATCTGCTACCCGAACGATGGTTCTTCGCTTAAAGACCAATGGTGAAATCTTTTCAATACTCGGACGTTTGCGCCCTTTAAAGACACGGTCCAGGGCCGTTCTCTTACTATATATATATGGAATTTACCTCCATACTCCGGCTTTTGTGAAGGGACTTCCCACCTGTATTCTCTGAAAAGCTTTGGAAATAGCATAGCGCTCGAAAAGCTTGGCCCTGTCTTTGAACCTTTAAAAATCGTAAGAATCGACGCCCCTCCCCCCACCAAAACGCATGCTTCACGATTTTGGTATGTTCCGAATCGTGTTTTTGAGAAATAGTCTCAACGGCATAATCCAGTGGAGTCTTACCACTTACTAGGTTAATAGCGTGGAGATCAACCTATCGTGTCATGAACAATGCCGATAGCATTTTTGCGAAGTTACAAGGCTAGTAAAAGGGGAAATTAACTCTGTTCATTCCGCAGCTGGACGTTGAGTCTCCCTGTACGGATCGAAAGCTTCACTGCGTCTTCGTTCTCGCGCTTGACAGCTGATGAGCGTGGCGATTCCCTGATCCAGTTCGCCCGTCACTGGTATCCGTCAAGCTGAACATAGTAGAGCTTGAGTGATCGGTCGAGCTCGACCATGTTAGCGAAATGCATGGTATGCCACAACGGCGTTCGACCTTGATCGTCCTTGGAGTTGACGTCGAAGGCGCTCTTGGAGGCCTGAGGCGTGACTATTTACGACTCTTCAGTGTTTGCCGCACTTGGGTTGGGCCGCAACGAGAGGGTACCTGCGGTGTCTTCATCTTTGTTGCCAGGATCGCGCGGCTGGATGGTAGGGGGTGTGATGTTGTGTCGGCGGCTCATCAACTCACTGAGGGAGTATACTGAACATCTCCGAGCTATCTAACGGTACTGTTGGCAATGAAGGCTGCAAATTTGCGCCACGTCCGTGCCTGCGGTGTCATTTGTTTTCTGCTTTCCTTTACAATATGGGTTCGGCATCCTGGGCCAGCGCCTCTTTATGATCTTGTCCATCTAGCTTCACCGGTCTCTTCTCAACCTCTTGAACGATCGCCGTTAGGTGCATTGATGAACAGGCGACCGAGTGGAATAGAAAGGCCTGGCACTCTCTGGCCATCCTTCTCGAGGTGATAGAAATAGGTATCATGATCCTTCGCAGCCTTTCCCAGCTTGAGCCAACTGAGATTGGGTTGCAGCTGGTGATCCTCTGAAGCTCCACGTCGTAATTCTGGAAAGTGGGATAGCGTCTCTAGGCATTAAATATGGCAGAGAACGAAGCCAGCATGGGCATCTTGGTTCCAAAGTGAACCTAATTTTCCGGCCTCGACAGAGCAATCCGAAACTGCTTTCCCCTCCCTCAGTTTCGCGTTGTGCCTGTGTGTGAGTGCTATCCCACTTAAGTTCTAAACCGTCACAGTCGCTGTCATGGTCGCTGTCGAAGAATGACGAGCCATCCGGTTACATGTCGTCTTTGGCAGGAGGCGCTAGAGATGGCAGCGAGTTTAAGCATGTATCGACAGATCGCTATATGAGAGTAACTGACATGCTAACGACATGTCTGAGTATCATTCAACTCGTATATTGGCTGTTTTCCACAGGCGTTGCTTATCGATGGAAGTGAGAGTGCATTAGAAGTTGTAGTCACTGGGGTTGCAACTGCCTGGGGCATGATCACATGCATGCCAGTTTCAGCTCCTGTGACTGACAAGGTAGGCCAAGATACCTCGTATGTAAAAGACTATCATACTACATACCCCCGTAATCCGAAGGCCTTCGGCCGAGGACTAGTGACGGCTAGCGTCGATACCATCATGTACCAAGGAATTACCGAACGGGTATATAGTCAGGCAGGTCCCCATGGCCCTGCTAGAATCCATCATGTCCTCCATTGAGTCACACTCCCAGTCAGTTCTATCAAGAAAAAGGCCGTGGTTTGACTAGGTTTCCTTTCGAACTCTCAGACCACAACGTACACCGGTATCACCAGAGCCCTCTACGGTATATCAGCATTCGCACCAGCCGTCATAATTAGTGGTCTCTACGTGCTCCGGCGACAATCGCGCGTCGATGGACTCGAGCAACGCCAGGTAGCCATGCAGTGTGCCACTTATTTCTCAATTCGGCTTACCAGGTATGCTTGTTGATGCTATGTTTATCGATTGCAGCGCTTAAGAAACAATAATTGCTACCTCGTTGGAATATCATTGAAATTGATCATCAATTGAGTTATCAATTGATCAGCTATTCGCAAACCGAGTCTAGTACGGTTGACGCATTGGGTATCATCGACACCCCATGAACATATCAACATCCAAATCCATTCTCTATCTTTTCCAAATCCCTTCCGTCATCTACCACCAGTCGCCTTGATCTTTCATGGCTGCCGCGACCTTGGTAAATCCTGCAATGTTGCTGCCAGCCACCAAGCTAGGGAACTCGTCCTCCTTCGGAGTGACATATGTCTTCGCGGTCTGCAACCCGTTCTCGAAACAGTTCTTCATGATGAGCTTGAGTTTCTCGTCCACCTCTTCGGCGGTCCACTTAATGCGTGCGGAGTTCTGAGCCATTTCGAGACCTGAAACAGCCACACCACCAGCATTGGCGGCCTTTCCTGGGGCGTACCAAACCCATTTCTCCTTTTTAAAGTTTCTTTGTGCCTCGAAGGTGTCGATTGCAGCTTTTGTGCAACCCATGTTGCTTCCTTCGGCCACGTATTTGCACCCAGCTGCGATTAGACCTTCGGCCTCCTCACCAGACACTTCATTTTGCGTCGCAGAGGGGAGAGCCACATCGACTTGGCCCACATGCAGCCACGGGCGAGCACCGTCGATATACTTGACCTTGCTGCTGAATGTGGATGTGTGGGCAACCTCAGAGAGCTGTTTCCGGTCCACCTTGAGTTTCGCAATGATCTCGATCATTTCGGGGTCAATACCCTGAGACGTCGTGGCGATAATGGCACCTTGACTGTCGCTGAGAGACACAACCGTCCCGCCTAGTTCAATCACTTTGAGGGCCGCATACTGAGCCACATTTCCAGAGCCAGAGATGGCAACTTTTTTGCCTGAGAATGACTCGGTGCCACCAGAAGCGTATTTGATCATGTGCTCGACGTACTGGCAACTGTCAGTCAAGTGCTGCTCGTCGCAATCGAGATGCTCTTACATAGACGACGCCGTAGCCTGTGGCTTCTGGCCGGATGAGAGAGCCACCCCAGCTACCTGCAACTTGTCAGAATTCGTGTTTCCTCAAAGTTTGTACTCGACTTGCCTCCTTTTCCAGTCAAAACGCCTTCCCACAACTTTGTTTGTTTCTTGTACTGTCCAAACAGCCACCCGATTTCTCGTCCGGATACACCGATGTCACCCGCTGTGCGCGTGGTCAGCCTACCATATTGGGCAAGTGGTCGCGTGAAGCTTACCGGGGACATCTGTATCCGCTCCGATGTGTTTTCCGAGCTCGCTCATAAAAGCACAACAGAACCTTCGGATCTCATTGTCTGATTTACCTTTGGGGTCAAAGTCTGCACCACCTTTCCCACCTCCCATGTTCAATCCAGTAAGCGCATTCTTGAAGATTTGCTCGAAACCCAGGAACTTCAGGACAGAAAGGTTCACAGTAGGGTGGAATCGGAGACCGCCTTTGTAAGGGCCAAGTGCCGAGTTGAACTGCACACGAAAGCCCCGATTCACTTGGAGTTCGCCCTTGTCGTCCTCCCAGACCACTCGGAATTGGATGATTCGTTCGGGAATGGAGCAGACCTTGAGGGCTGTCTTGTATTCTGGATTCTTCTCAAAGAGCGAGGAATTTTCGAGACTAGAAACAAGCTCTCTGTAAGCTTGTTCAAACTCGGGTTCGGAGGCAAGGTTGGCCATTTTGTCGGATAACGGCAAACTTGAAGCGGTAAAGGTGAGCGAACAATGAACTGAGACCGAACTTGAAGAAGAGCTTTTGTTGAAAGTAGCAGGAAAAGTGCAAGAGGGAAGAGGAATGTCCACGATATAACGGCGTCTGAGGAGACTCTTCAGGAAGACGTCGCCTGGTCTGGATTCTGTAGGCTCAACTGCAGCTTTCACCTTGGCGGCAGAAAAAAAAATCTATCAATACGTCAGTCGGAAGCATTGGGCCACCATGATGCATGTGCAGCCAGCTACCAGGCAAGCAGGACCAGAATTTTGCTCTAGCTTATCTGGACCTAGGAAAAGGGGCACCACGGGGGAATCTCAGTCCTTCGTATCGACAACTTTTTGTCGAGTTGCTGGTTGACAAAATTTTGTAAAGCATGGGAATGAGGACGAGGACGTCAATTGGCTCGATAAGGGAGGGCATGCATGTTGATAGAGCTGCAGTGGGGACTTTGGAGGGGGGCGACGGGGGCGACGGGGGTTAGTATACTCGGTACCCAGTACAGCGAGGAGTGGTGACGGTGATGAACCTGCAGGATGAATGATGAATGACGAATGATTGAACGCCTTGCGACACCAGGCAGCGCCTGGGTCCTGGTGTTGGTGCTTGTCGCGTTAGTGGCATGATTGGCAAAAATTCTATCCACGGGGACTAGGGGCATTATCGAGACCCCTCGACCCCTCACCCATGTAGGTGTTCATACAGTGCAGAGCGGCTGGGCCTGCTTGTTCCGTGCTGCGTTACTCGATCCGATGTCGCTGTGCATCGCTTGCCTCAGAAGCAATGCCCTCGCTAAAGCACCCGCTGCAATTTTTTTTCCCTCTCTCTCGCTACATGAATGCGCAACTCGGGTGCTCCCGAGCACCAGGGCCAGCTGACGAAGGCGAACAGCCATCCCACCAGATCCCATGTTAGATAGCATCAATCCTTGCCCTTTCCGAAGATTTTCCTCCACGAAGCCGGGGGCACGGTTGGGCGACTGGAGACGTGAAGCAGAAAACTCTTCCTTGAGCAATTTCCCTGGTGCCCCTTTCTTGCCGCTTCCTACTGGAAACTTGCATCTGGGAAGCCAGAAGAAAAAAACCCCTTCCGGGGAAATTTGGGTGACAACCCCAAGGGCGTAGCGGCATGACGCAGTAAAGCGGAGAGGATTGGAACGGAGGCGGCCAAATCGCCCCGGAGCCTGGTGGATGGGTGTGCCTGAACCTCCCAACCTTGAGTCATAGAATCCAATTCCGCCAACAAATAACCAGCATGCCATAAGCAAACAAAGAAAATTGCTCCTCAGGCAGCGACGAAGTTCCCAGACACTATAGCACGATCTGTTGGTGAATCGTGTGACGCCCGTTCCTTAGACGACTTTTCCGCTTCTCCCTTTTGCCAAACCGACCACCTCGCCGTGCTCCAAAATGTCCAAAATGGCAGTGAACTTTTCCATAACTCCTGTCCGACACCCAGCCGACTTAAGAGATACTATTTCCCTTTTTTTTGCCTATGCTGGATCCTTGGGCTTTGACCTCGCCTTTCAAAATTTTGACAATGAAATGGCGGGGATGCCGGGAAAGTATTCTCCTCCGCAAGGAGAATTGCTCTTAGCCCGAAGTGAGACTGGCGTCGCTATTGGGTGTGTTGGACTGCGGCCTTTTCCCTCTACTGGAGCTGGAGGCAAGGTCTGTGAGATGAAGCGCCTCTTTGTCACCCAAGCCGGGCGGGGGACTGGAGTCGGCAAGGCCCTGGCCTCCTTCATTATTGCTATGGCAGAGAAACTTGGGTACGATGAAATGAGGCTGGACACCCTGCCGAGCATGGTCGTGGCATTAAAGATGTACCGAGATTTCGGTTTCGAGAGCATTGCCGCGTATTATGAGACACCTCTGGAAGGGACTCATTTTCTCAGCTTGAAGCTGCCAAGGCAGGCAAAGAACGAACCTGACGCGGACCTAGGCACTGCCGATGCACACAAAAGACATCGCTAGCGGTGATACCTCGATCGGGGAGAACTGCCACATGGTCAACACCAAGCATCGTGTCGAACGGCTTCCAGTGCATCATCGCAGCGCATTCGCATGCTTCTGTTCCCATTTCTTTACAGCACCGAGCGCGGCCGTGATTTTGAGGCCCAGTCGAGCATCAAGCTCGTACTTGTCCCAGCCTTTTGCCTTTTCTAGGTGGTGTTTTGCTTCTTGAACCAACTTTGCATCATGTGTGAGATCCAGCGGAGGCATCTGTTCGGAGGGATTTGTGGGGAACGCCGCCCCATGTTGCTGAGTGTAGCCTGTCCTCTGCATCCACAGATTAACCGCCATTTCATGATGTGCGGACGGCGCCATCCAGTCATCCTTGTTCAAACCCCTGAACTCATGGGCCCCTTGACTCAACAGCTTCCGTTTCAACAGATCTATCGATTCCTCATGCCGGCGGAGATTTCTGAAGATGACGGCCCTCAGGATATCAAGGATTGCGTATTCATCGATATCTTCCTTATCCCAGTAGGTTGTGCTTTCGGACCAGGCAAGATTGTCCAAGGATTTCTGCAGCTGCGGCTCATCCATTTTCTTGAAGCCGTTCCACAGGAATATCATCTCATCAAGAGGACTGACACCGATTGCATCAACGAAACTGCAGTTCCAACGAGACACACGTTCTTCCCATTTCGAGATTTTGCGCACCACGAAGATGTCGAACGGGAGTTGCCTACCCATCATCTTTTTTTTCCCTACTTTGGTTGGCGCTGTTTTGAACAGTTCCTCAGCCAGCTTGGCATGGTTTTCTCTGTCTTTACTGGTGAGAGTTTTGTCATGACGGTAGAAGCAAAGGTGCGCGGCGCCGGCGATGTAGTAGTACAAAGCACGAGACCACGCATTGAGGTCCACACATGCTAGTATGGAGTCTGCACACAATTTGTACCTGTGGGCGTGCATGGCACTCAAACTCTTCTCGAACATGTGCAGCGCTTCGATCTGCTTGAGTTGACTCTTGCCGGGAGCGGCGAGAATGGACAAGGCTTGATCAAGGTTCCTTTTGGAGGCTGCTGTTCTTGCTTCCTCCACGACCCAGAGATTACTGTTAGGGTATCTCTTCCTCATTTCGACCAGGAGTGTTTCGAGGCGTTTCGTAGGATAACCTTCGACATCGTCTGGGTTAGAGGGATCCACGTCCGCAATGATATCGCAGAAACCAACTAGGCCATTGTACCAACCAAACAAGATCAAGCTTGCCATCCCGCCATTAATGTTGGAGAATTTGCTTGCCTGCCACAGCATTCGAATTCCTCGTTCTCGATCACCTCGGAATCCAACTATGTACAGGAGTTTGCTGAAAGCCGGAGGAATGATAGAGATGAGGAGCGCCAATAGGCCAGACATGAGATTAGTGCCCGAGTGGATGAAGACGTCGAGGGAGTTGCTAAAAACTTCCGATTCGGGCCCTTCTGTGAGCAACCCCAACGTCGCTGTTGTCGACCGGTTCAGCATGGCTTCTGGTGGCAATTCATTCATTCGCTCAATCTCCAGGTCTAACTCGGCCGCGTGGTCCGATTCCACCTCCACCTCCAGGCGGCCATTATATTTCTCTGTAGCTGTGTTCGTTTCGTCTGCTTCGTGGAACTCATCATCAGAAGCACTATCTGGCGTAGCACCGAGAGCCTCCGCATTTCTGAGGGCAGATGGATGGCTTGGTTGGACTTGATGTTGAGAATGGGGTTCCAGCCGTTCTGAGGAAGGGGGGGCCGACTTCTCAGAAATAGATGAGCGCAAACTTTCGGTGGACTGATCTCTCGAAGTTGATAGACTGCCCCTTGACCGAGCTCGGTTGAAGTTGACTTCCATTTGCACAAGGCTGTCAAGGGTGATATATGCTTTGCGGAGTTTGTAGAACCCTCGAAGAGACTCTGTCAGACTCTCATTGAGCACACCAACCACGGCAGACATGATCTGCGCCTCTGCCTGGCACAGTGCAAACTCCGAGCCCCTCTCGTAGATGGTGGACTGAAAAGCACGCGAGTCGTGCTGAGCCCTCGAGTGACTGGCCGACGCACTCGATTCGGCCTCATAGAGCGTTTCCGAAGCTTCCTTCATAAATTCCTGCTCGAATCCCAAAGCAGCCTTCATGAAAGCCAGGGTGCCTTTGGCGAGCTTGTGAAAGGAGGAATTGCCCTCTGCAAGGCCTTTTTCAGCACCCTTGATGTCATCGTCCATGACGAGGTCTACAGCTCGCATAGCAGTCTCCAAATGTTGAGATTCTTCTAGCGAATCTAGGCTGTGCGTTGAGGCATTGACCGAAGCGCGGCCGCGGTCGAACCATCGTCCGACTCTGTGCATGACGAAGACGGAGGGGAGATAATAATAAGAATATCAAGAAGAACTCGTAAAGCCCAATCTTGGGTCAACTAGGGTTGGAGGAAACAGGACAAGTAGAAGACACTGTAGCCTAACACGTCATTTCGAGTGATGTCGTCGAGTGCTTCAAGGAATGAAGACGAAACGCAAACGTTGACCGGTCAAGGGAAGAGGTGAGAAGAGGATAAATAGAAGACGCAGGCCCCAGCCCAAGGACAGAGAAGACAGAGGATCGAGCTTATTTTGTCCCGGCCCCCCGCGTGCTTGCGGCAGTACAGGATTGATAACAACGGCATGGACTCCGTAATGGGGAATGTTGATTGAGCCGTTAGCCCTTCCAAGCACGGATGATGACGAACATTGAGGTAGGACTCTGTGGAGTTTGTGTTGTTATGCCCGTGCGGCTGCCTCGCATGCCTTGCTACATTTGTGGCCTTTGTGCATGTGTGTGACGGCTGCCTATGCTATACCCAGTACCTGCCTTTCCTCGTATAAGGTTGGTCTTTTAACTAGCGTGCTGTCCATCTGAGCCCCCTAGCTAATCACAGGCCCCCAACTACCAAGTACCTACTTGTAAGTAGCAGAAGATGCGGGCTTGGAGATCGCTCTCCTCACCGGGCTACTGGCACAGGAACCTCACATAGTATTCCTCATCCGTCGCTTTTTCCTTTTTAGTATACACAAGACCACTCGCATAACTTCACTCATCGTACCGCACACGGCCTAAAACGTCGAGAAAGAGCCTCCAACTGGTCTACCGCGTTGCCAGACTTCCAGAAGTCGGTCCCTTGTCTGCGTCTACATCTCCGCTGTTCGCCGCAAGACTACGTCCTCAATTCGCAGCCTGCGCCCATTCAAAACCCAACTCAATATGTCATCGTCAGGCTCCTCCAACGCACCAAAGTCGAAAATGCAGCCGACGCAGAAGACCGAAGTTGATGCAGCCCAAGCATCCAAGACAGCATCGAACCCGCCGGCGGCTATGCTCGAGGAAGACGATGAGTTTGAGGATTTTCCCGTTGAAGGTATGAAAAACAGACAAGACACGACCGAGGGTGTCATTCTGACATGAGTTTTCAAACAGACTGGTCGCAGGAAGACGCAGAAGTGCCCGGCGGGACTACACATCTCTGGGAAGAGAGCTGGGACGATGATGACGAGAATGAAGATTTTAGCAAGCAGCTGAAGTACGTCCTAGATATTATCTTGCCGTCTCCTCCCCACCTGCACAGTGGCTGACCTTTTGCTTAGAGAGGAGTTGAAGAAAGTCGAAGCAAGCAAATAGAACTGGCTATGCCAGAGTATTGCATTGCACGGCGTTTCGGGATCATGGACCAAGGGCATCAGTGGTTAAAGATACGGCATGTTCCCGTCTAGCAGTTCATGGGAGAGAAAAAAAAATACTATCATACAACAATGGATGTCTGTTTTTCTTGTCCCTCATAGGTTTGGTCTCACAATACCGCTTGCTTCAATACCAATCAATCGTGCCCGTGTCGATCATGGAGAATGAAGACTACTTACTAGACAAGGCAACCACACCGGGCAGAGCTTTGCCCTCGAGCAGCTCCAAGCTTGCACCACCTCCGGTTGACACATGGCTCAATTTGTCCTCCACTCCATACTTCGCCGCAACAGTTGCTGTGTCTCCTCCACCAATGATGACAATCTTCCCGGCTTGAGCTGCTTTCACGCAGGCATCCAAGGTCTGTTTGGTGCCGTCGGCGAACTTATCGAATTCGAAGACCCCAGGAGGACCGTTCCACAGAATCGTCTGCGCCTTGTCGATAGCTTGCTTATACAGTTCGATGCTCTTTTCGCCGCAGTCAAGACCCATCCATCCATCAGGAATACCCTCAGCATCCGTCGCGGTGCTGGTGTTAGCGTCCTTGTCGAATTTGTCTGCAGTGATGTAGTCGCAGGGAAGGACGATCTTGACGTCGTTCTGCTTGGCCTTTTCCATCAGTTCGGCACATTTTGTGCTTCCGGCTTGATCGAACAGGCTGTTGCCAATCCTGACGCCTTCCAGGGTCTTTTTGAACGTGAAGGCCATCCCGCCGCAGATGATCAGGATGTTGACCTTGCCAAGCAGGTTGTCGATCAATTGGATCTTGTCCGAAACCTTTGCGCCACCGAGAATGGCGAGGAATGGTCGTTTGGGGTTCTCGAGCGCTTGGGCGAAGTAATCGAGCTCTTTCTTCATCAGAAAACCAGATGCCTTCTCAGGCAGCTCGACGCCGACCATGGAGCTGTGAGCTCGATGAGCGGTTCCGAAGGCGTCGTTGATGTATACATCACCCAGCGCAGTCAGGCCCTTCCGGAAGTTGGCGACATCGTTTTTGTCAGCTTTGACTTTGTTGCCGTCCTTGTCTTTGGAGCTTCCTTCTTCCTCGATGTGGAAGCGCAGGTTTTCAAGCAGGATCACTTGGCCACCGGAAGCTTTATTGACGACCTCCTCGACCTCGGGCCCAACGCAGTCGTCGGTAAAAATGACACTCTTGCCAAGGAGCTTCTCGAGCTCGGGGACGACAGGCTTCAAACTGTATTTGGGGTTCTTCTTCCCATCCGGGCGTCCGAGGTGAGACATGAGGATGACAGCTTTGGCTCCATGTTCGATGGCGTATTTGATGGTAGGGAGAGCACCAACTATTCTCTGGTTGTTGGTGACCTTCTTGTTGGCGTCAAGCGGGACATTGAAGTCGACCTAAATATCGTCAGCGAAGACAGGACGTCAATCCACAGAAGACGTACTCGGATCAAGACGCGCTTGTCCTTGAGGTCAACGTCGGTGATGGCGAGCTTGTTGGACAGAGACATCTTGAGGTGAGCCGAGGATAAAAATGCAACAGTAGGAAGTGGTGCTCAATGTGAAAATAAAACAAAAGATCTTGCGTTGAGCTCTGGAGCTCTGAACGGAAAACTCTATCACCTGGTGAACTTATTGGAACTTGTTTGGAGGGGTCGACTCGGGTTGGGCTCAATACATCGGAACTGGTGGGGTGATTTGGAAAATAATGGTACGGGCACTGCAGATGCTTCTGCAACCGACGTCACTGGCTGCTCGACTTGAAACCATTTTGGGGCTTGGGGGAGCTTGGGGAGTCTACTTGGTAGCAAGCACCATCTCAACCATCGCCCGCCTCTCACCCACCGATTAGGAGCCCTCCATGTGGTTGGAGCAAAAGGCGTTTTTGAGGTGTTGTGTGATTTCTCGCCGTAGAGAGCCACAGACCAGAATTAGTCCAGTTTGCACACGAAAACGGCCCATGCCCATGCCCATTGCTCCAGTACCAGACGAAACACATCATCCCATGGCCGTGTCGCAATCTTCTTGTTGCTTATATAGAAATGGGATCATAAATAGATGGCGCCCGCAATAAGATCCTACTTATCTATCATTTAACGGCGCTCCTCCTTACTGCTGGGCCTTATCCAATCCCAGGCCTGAATCAGATCATCTATGTTACTTAGGTGTCGATGCTGACTGGCGGGGAAAATGGTCATGCGGACTTCCGACACTCCGTTAAGCAGCGAGGCAGACCCTGGAGAGGAGAACAGAGAGTCGCCTCGAAGCATCGAGCCATAGCCTGATGAGCCCTTTTCCCTCTGGCCCCTTTACTGCGGTCGTACGCTATCAACTACACAACCTCAGACTTTCATTTACTCTGTACTTGGTCCACAATCGCCTACGGTCTTTGACACACAGTGGCCAGATCCTTGATTATCAATAGCACGAGATACCTGTCCTCAGCGCCTGCTGTTGTACCTCGCTCTTTCAGTTCCATCGAGATAAATCCAGCGCGCCTGGCACGGTGTCCACTGCAGCCTGCGCCCTAGTTCAAGACCCTGTCGTCACAGACGCTCCTCACTTCACCTCGTTGACCTCATCCTCCCACGATATCCAAGACTTCTCTTTCCGTCCCTTTTCTCACTTTCTAGCCAATTTCCTTCTTTTCACGATGCTGGAAACCTCGAGACGGAAGTCGTTGGCATGGTTGAACGGGACTTACGTATATGGCAGACTCGTACGTCACCCTCGTTCTTGATTGTGAAGTCGATGCCTTGGTTTTCTGTCCTTGATGCTGACCTTTTCTTCTTCAACAGCCATTATTGCACATTATCCTTTTTATTGTCGAGTTAGTAATGACGGCCCGACTTATCGCCAAATTCAATTCCTACTATGCCCAGAAACCCGTGCTAACCACGATGATCACGAATGCGGTATGTGAATAAATCTGCAGCGGCGGGATGGTGGCTGAAGGGGGTCAAACAGATACTTGGTGGCATTGCAGATACGGTTGCACAATCAATAACGGCATTTCGAAAGAGACAGGCCATGCTACCGACCGCTGCTGATTCGAGATACATCATCTCCTCCGGTGTTGAACTCGAAGACCTCAACGAAAAACCCGCAAGATTGTCGCCTGGCCTCTCCCCCCGCAGCAACGGGCCTCAACCCTTCGATTTCGAACGCTTGACTCGATTCATGTCCTACGGCTTCTTGATGGCCCCGATCCAATTTCTTTGGTTTGGTCGTCTCACGAAATGGTTCCCCATTACCCCGAAAAGTGGCACTGTTCCAGCACTTAAGAGAGTGGCCATGGATCAATTGATATTTGCACCGTTTGGTCTCTGTTGCTTCTTCACGTTCATGACCGTGGCCGAAGGAGGTGGAAGAAAGGAGGTTGTGACCAAGTTCAAGGATGTTTATCTGCCCACTTTGAGGGCGAACTATATTCTTTGGCCAGCAGTACAGATCCTCAACTTCCGGGTCATGCCCCTCCAGTTTCAGATCCCATTCGTGAGCACCGTGGGAATTGCGTGGACAGCCTACCTCAGCTTGACTAATTCGAGCGAGGATGAAGCACAAAGTCTTCAGTGAAAATGGTCAAGCATTACAAGTTCCATCAGCTACGAGATACCCAATGGTCAGCATCGGGGGCGTTTGGGAAGAGCGATTGTTTATAAACTGTACATGGTCAGAGCGCAAGCTTACGGAGCATCAATATCTCTAGTCATTGGCATCCTCGTCGGTGTGAAGACGTCGTGGTACCTTCTTAGACGTCGCCATCGCGAAGTCCTGCATGTCTCTAACTCATGGACTTTAAACTATATGCCCAACGAATTCAAAGGCGAAAGGTTCACTGTATTTCCACTTCGTGCGAATATGTCGGATTGTTCTGCATGGGTCTCTCATAGGCGTCTACAGTCTTTGGCACTCACCATTTCTCCCTACGTATATTCCCCTCTTCGCTGTTTTTCCATCCCGCCATATTCGAATAAATATCACGTTGTATGGCGGCGAGTTTCTAAAAAGAGCCGGTCGAGATGGGAGATTTCAGGATTTGAAAAACAAAATAGACTTTGTAGACGCTGGTTTTGGCCATGATCTGCGATTTAATGACAAGGATGAAAAAGGAGAGAAAAAGAAGGGTTGTACGAGGTAAAATGCGAGCTGGTTAGTTCAGGAAAACGAGCCGACTAGGGCACCAGGCTAAGGTTCAGGCAAGTCGGGCTATCTTGTTGGGGTTTGACGCGAACTTGGGTTCTTGGTCGTCAAATGGAACCCAAACCTCATCGCGCCTCACCTTCAACAATCCCAACTTCCTTTTCGCCTGTTTTGACCTCACTGTTGAGCAAACTGGTGGATTGATATAGAAAGAATGTCATACCCTCCTGTGGGACACAGCAGTGGAGAAGTTCGACTTTCATTTTTCGAAGGTTAAGCTGTCAACCCGAAGAATAAAAAACCTAAACTCTTCCCAGCGGCCTGGAGATCGCAGATTTTCACTTTTCATGTTATGATATCCAAGCTGTTCAGAGCCTACCGTGGCTCTCACAGCTATAAAATTTCGAGCGCCTCTCCTTCCTCGAAGTTTCTTTTGCCTTTTGCCTGGTTCCCTTGAGACATACAATCGCATGGTTTCATGGGAGAAGGCCCAGCTCATACATTGCTGACCCGCTGGCTCAAGACTCGAAGCATCTGCAAAGAAAAAAGAAGAGGAAAAAGAAGAAAAAAAGGAAAAAGAAAAACAAGTAGTTATGGGGTGCTCTAACCAGGACTATACATATTATGCCCGAGATCTCTCTCAAAATGAAGTGGTCTGCAGATTTCCCGAGTCCTCAACACGATACCTAAATCTGGCTTGAATACTCTCCTTAACCTCAATCAACTCGACAAGTGTTTGTCACACGAGATTTCCACCATGAGGCTTACTCAGATTTTCGATAATGCTCTGCTGGTCCTGCCGGTTGCCGTCTATATAACATATCCCTTCTGCTTTGCAGGTGGCGACTGTCATCACCTCGTTACTGACGACGGAAGCTAACATCAACAACCTGTACACCTCGCTTCTACCTGGGACGGTCACCCAAAAACCAACTACAGTTACCCGCGTTATAACAGCTCCAGTATGGCCTGCTTCCCGGCCGGCGGCTGTCTCTCTGCCTAGCCATCAACCAGCCCAGCCAGTTCAGCCTGGTGGGCAAGTGCCTCTTGGAGGTGTCTGCCTGCCAAATCCATTTGATGCAATAATTAGGAGGCGTCGTTGGCGATACAGCTAACCTGGCTAGTGATGTTGTGAGTTATGGATGCCATGCCGCCTCGTTACCAGTTCCACCACTGGTGCCATTTCCAGGGACTCCCAGTGTTCCTGGGTCAATGGGTATACTGGGCGCACCAGGCGTACCTGGAGTTCCAGCAGTCCCAGGAATGCCGGGGCCACGAGGCGCACCTGGCCTTTCGGCGGCTGGAACAGTCGCGGGAGCCGTGCTACTTTTTTTTGGGACCTGGACCCGTACCTTTCCCTGCACCTGTGCTTGCCCTGGCACCGTTGCCAGCCGTTCCAGGGACTTTAGCAGTGTCAGTTCCTGTTCCCGGGCCCTAGAACTCTGGTCCTGTGGTACCCACCCATTCTCAGTCGTTAGCCATACCCACCGCCAGCTCTGTTGCCGGTTCTACAGCTGGACCTCTTGCGACTCCTTCATTGAGCCTGATCAAGGCTCCCACGAATGCCCCGTCAATATCATCGGGATCAAGACCGGCACCTCCGACTTCAAAGCCCACAAATCCTAGCTCGGCTTTGACCTCGACGGCCGCTTCCACTTCAGCCTTCACATCGGGATCAACAAGTTTTTCTTACCTGACGGAAACTATCACGAGTCCGGGCAATCTCAATATCGAGTTACATGGCACAGCGACGCATGTTTTCCCTAGTAGGCCGTTCTTATCGCAAGCCACGCCATCATCATCCTCGCATTTCTCATCGCGGTCCTTATTTCAGCCCTTGCCAACGTTAAAGGATCCGCCTTGGTTGAGCCTCCAGGAGGTTGGCCCAGCCCAGAATGACCCCACATTCGACTCGGACCTTCCGTTACTGACGCATAACTGTCCTCGAGAGGCCATCATAGCTCTAGCGTACTGTCGTGACTATTGCAACAGCGCTGGGGGCTGACCGGACGGCTCACCGGAGATACTGTAACGGCGAGCCAAGTATCGAGCCGTGTTGCGGGGCTTGGGCGCAACCATATGAAGAGGCCTACGCAAACTATGAATTTGTCCGTCGACGCAGGTTCTTTGAGTCCCCAGACCCAAAAGCTCCCCCGGTTTCACGGTCTTTCGAATGGAGCCTACAAGAAATCACAGACGATGCGGGTAACATCGTCCAACGCGTGGTACGTCGTTGACGAGCCCGTCCTATCCTAATTGTGACATACTGAAGATGATTCAAGGTCATCAAGCAACAGCCACACGAGTTCAACCTGGATTCCAGGCCCTGTCGCGTATGGAAAACCACAGATGACCAGTTCGCTTTTTACATGCAGAACCTCAAGAACTTTGGCGTTTACGACGTGGATAAAGCCGGGTGTTCAACCGCTGGCCTAGAATTATGGGATTGGGAGCCTGAAGGGCACTGGCCGCCTTACGAAGAGCAGGGCAAATGGGGAAAACCTGGAACAAAACCCGGTATAGAAAAGACGAAGCCAGGCAAAGAAGGCAACGCCCAGCTAGAGGACTTCCCCTTCTTCTCCCTCTTCCAACCCTGGACGACTTGATCCGACTACGACAAACACAAAGAGTGACCTAAGGAAAGGCTTGCGGAGAGTGGGTTGCACCTTCACGGTACCAAAGACAAGGCGGGGGGAGGATGCTCTTAACGTCTCTCTCCACATGGCTTAGTCTCCAGGACCGAGAAGTACATCGAAAGTCCTAAGAAAAGAGAAGATGTTCCGCTTCCGAAGCTACAGTACCCTCCTTCTAAAGATAGCCAGCATACACAAAACCAACTGACGAACGGAGGCGAAGACCGTGCAAGCGACGACCCAAGCGACGCACACCATTTTCGAGGTCCCGGAGCCAGATGACGGGCATGGAGCGCGGTAACGGGGACTCCGAAAGAGATGAAGAGGGTGCTCAGGACAACGAGATCCATGACCACGGAAACCATCCCGAGGACGGCGACTCTGAAGATATGCAGGTCGCCCAAGATGACGTTCCGTTGGGCAAGGCGCGTGGCAGAAATAGGCGGGGTGCGGATCACACGAGGACGAGGTCCTTCATCGCGTGAGCAGTTCGGGAGTGGCTCGATCTTGAAGAGAGCAGTCTTGCTTGCCTCAGCCATCAGGTATCTACAAGTACTAATACAGCAGTCATGACAACCTCGTGAGCAAACTCTAGTTTCGAGGGGAGATATTCATGCTTGCGCCATGCCATAGCGATGATCTTTTTTTGCCCGATGGAAAACCAGACTCATGCAGGATGAAAAGCCACCCTGTAGTCTGGAGTGGCTGCGCTCATTTCTCTTGCTCCAACCACGAGCCAAACTTGTCCAATCGGCCGCCTTCCCCCGCTTCATCTTCTTCCTCCTCCTCGTCCTCAAAGCCAACCTTCTTATCGCTCGATTTCTTGAACTTTTCGCGACCTGTCGCAACGTACGCCTCCAGCCGTCTTTCGTCGAACCATCTTCCATTCATGAGCTGTCCTCGTGTTAGCAGGGAGCTATGAGGAGAGAGGACGACATACTTTGACACAAGCGGCGGCAGCCTGTGCGTCAGAGAAGCGCACGCTTGCAACGCCTTCTGCTTCCTTGTCGAAGAGGACTACGTTTGTGACATTTCCGAGCTTCGCACATTCTTCTCGGATGTCTTCTTTGATTTCGAGCATCGCTGCAGGGTCTTCCTGCTTTCAATTAGCCATGCATCACAAGTGATGCAGAAGAACACTTGCCTCTAGCTCCTGGGGTGAGAACATATGTTTCAGAATGACAACCTTGTCCCACCTAGAGCTTGTCTCCTGCAGTGCTTGCGGGTCATCATCGTCCCAATCCATGAGTTTGCTCCACGTCAGTCAGCCTCAGGATCTAAATCATTTGATAGAGCATACGCGTTCATCTTTTGTGTTCTCTGGATGATCTTCTTCTGTTCTCTCCTGCTTGTCTTTGTTGGAACATCTTGTTGACTCTTGTACGAGAAATCCGCTGCTTGGACTCTCATCCTGCCCATTGGCCCTTCTGTTCCCAGCCGGAAATCTGTATCGTCAAGCATCTGAACCGCGAGATTGACTGATTCGGGCCTGAAGTAGACCACAAGCGCGTCGCCTTTGAACCGACCCTTGTCATCCTCGTACATCTTTATGCGTGGCTTGCCGGAGTCGATCTCTTCTGCGATGACGCCGCATTTGGAAAAGACGTGCTGGATTTCGTCTTGGTCGGCATCGAGAGGTATTGAGGTCACGTAAACAGCGGTATTAACTCGAGGTTTCTTGGATTTGTTGCCGGACTAATAAAGACGTGATTAGCAGAGTCCATCAGAACTTGGGCATAACGTACCTCGTCGCCATTCAGTTGCTTCCGTTTCTTCTTCTGTGAAGTCGTCGTCGCATTCTCGTCGATACCTGCAATCTTGTAGATTTCGCCTTGTTGGTCCAATAATGACTGGTCAAGCTACAACAAAGACACAACATGGAGCAGGTTAGAATCTGTTCCTTACACCATGGTGCAAGAGTGTTGTAGAAATTGTAGAGGGCGCGATGTTTCTCGGAGGTCTCATATTGCTTTTTTGCCTACCACTGGAATCCATCTTTTCAGGGCGGTGTCCCATTCGAATTCATTGCCTTCTTCGGTTTCGAGGATGAACTTATTGTCGAGTTTCGACCAAGAAACTCGGGGATCGGCATCGAATGAGGACGGGTCTAGAGGGAAGCCGGTCTGCATGCCCTCCTCGGAGGGACGATCATCGTCGGCCATGTTGGCAGCATTCGCGTGAAGGAAATTTTGGCTTTGAGCATCACACGGAGCAAGTTGACAGTGGTGCAGTACAAGTTGCGGGAAAAGCAGCAAACAAGCTGAGTCTCGTCTTCAGCCTTACGTGAGTTTACAGCCTTGTCAGACGGAAAGTCAACGTCGCCAACTACCTCGTATCTTGCTCGTATGCACTCGGTACACTCTGTACATCTCTTTGATCTCTGTACTCCATACCTTGGTATATATACACAGAAGTGCCTAGCATCAACATATCGATTTTTCCATTGGGAAGGCATCACCATCAGGTGGAAAATTTTCACGTCCAGCCGAAGTGTCCTCGAACGCCTTTGTTGTATCCCCCAAGACCTCTTCACTAACTCCACAGGCCTGATTCCTAGACATCAGCACATCTCCATCATTCCACGATTCCGAGTCTTTCAAAATGCTCCACTGCTATGAATTACGCTTCGAAAGGTCGCTCAAGCACAGTTCAGCTTCCTGGCCCGCTGCAAACTTCGTGACTGCGGTTGCAAGAGATCAGAAGCCAGGAGAAACAGCAACAGATTGATGATGAGCCGCACGCAGGAATAGTCGATCTGCGAAAACAGGGGTCTCGATCTTTCTCTGGTATCTAATGAAGAAACCAGGAAGGTCCCACCCACTAGCCAGCATTCACAAAGCTCTACTTAGTGGAGATCAAAGTCTTCTCGGTCATAACAACAAGTATCTGTACCAGAGAGGATTCCCAGCCATCCGAGGCGGCTAGGTTGCGGTAAGTTTGAGTCTTATGTGTTCACTGTCTGCGAACACCGCTCCCATAGACTTGCAGCCAACGGAACCAATTGTTTTCACGATTTTTCGATGGAAATTATTTCTGTAACTATCATCAAGGAACATATCTTTTTACGACCCTCCCGAGTTTGAGCATTGGCCCGACCGTTGGGCCCACAGACACATGAAAACATCCCAATTATTTGCCATAAAATCGTTGCCTCACTTGCGCTTATACCTATGTCGTCCAGTCGTAAAACATATGAGAGAAAGTGTCCCCAAAAGCCCTTGCAGACTAAGAAGTAAACCGTTGCGGGGAAAGGGGATGCGTTGCAGCTCCTGCGACGATACAGACGTCACATTATATGGTACGATTCCCTTGCTCTCCGATTTCGACATCATCCCCGGAAACGCTTCGCGAAGCTCTCGGCCTAGATGGGGCAGCCGGTTGATCCTCACCGCTCGGGGACGGTATTGATGAAGCGCTGCTCACATCGGATGCCTTGCGATCGTGCCCAGGCCTCGAGTTCCGCCGGAGATCAATTGGTGAAATTGCTCTATCGAAACCTGTAGTGTGGTCATCCCCGAGCGCCATCGCGCCCTCGGGAATGGGTGCAAAACCCGAGCTTGCCATGCCCACCGACGTGGTGTGGGGCGAAGCGGGAGAGTTGGACTCGCCCGATTGCGAGACTGAAGAGCTGGCCATTGCCCTAGGTTGACCACCACCACTCACGAAACTTGGTGGGTACATGGTCATTTTACGGATATCATACTCGTCGTCAGGACGGGCGGTTCGCGAAGCGCCATGGACCTCGTGGACCCCAGTGTCTGGACCCTCGACCGGACCATCGTATTCAGCTCTTGGTGACCGCACAGGAGTGGATGACGACCAGCGCTCCTGGTTAGTCCCTGGTTCACTCCCGAAAAAGTATCCCCCTTCGAGTTCTTGAGGAGCCGTTTGTCTCATAGGGTGCGGCGACTGGGGGTGCTCGACCTCAGTGACAGACGACTCGGTCCCTATTTCTTTGCCAGGCATACCTGAAGAGGTCGACCGGAGCCAAGACAAGATCCCACCCCTCCCGTTATTCGCCTCGGATGTCTCTTGTTCTTGCTGACGGTCTTTTCTTGCCTTACGGCAGCACAAGAAGATGAGGCTGGCAAAGAACGCGACACCAACCACGACGGGGACGGTAACCGCAACCGGGACGACCCAGCCTCTGTCATGGTGTGGTGTCGAAGGTGGAGTGTTCGTGGTTGTATTCGTTTGCGGACCCGGGGTGGTTGCGTTGTAAGGGCCGAAGGTTCTGATCAGATCCATATTATATTGTGTCTTGAACCAATTGGAGACCTGAGAAGACATGCCACTGGCGGTAGGGGTTGCGGAGATGACACTGGCCACGGTCGGAGCGGGCTTGTAATCGTCATGGACACCAGGATCGTACGTGCCTGCCCAGCTCAGGTCATTCAAATTGAAGACGTCGACACTGTTGTTGCTGGCAAGCCCTGCTCCATAGTCTCCCGTCCCACCAAGAACAATCATTTGGTCAGGATACGGAGACACGCAGACATGGCCTTGTCTTCTGGTTCCTTCAACGTTTCCTCGGATCCAAGTGAAGGAAGGCACGCTCAAAATCCACACATCGCCGTAAGCCAAACCTCCATTGCTGTCCCAACCGCCATAGACAAAGATTTCATGATGCGAACCATCCGGACTGGAGGCGACAACGGTGCAGAATTGTGCAAGTGGGCCATCGGGAATTGCAGATCCAGGGTTGAGCGACTGCATGCTCCATGTACTAGAACCGATATCGTATACAGGAAATTCGGTCAAAAAGCTCTTCGCCACCGTGATGTCGGTCGTGTTGTCTGTCTTAAGATAACCGTTCAAGTCTGCAGGATATACGACACCTCCAATCGCAATCAGAAGTCCTCGCGTTGAGGCGGGAATCCAGACAAGAGCACCCTCGGATCGCAGGGTGATGTTGCTAACTGTCAGATCTTCTCGCGACCAGTCTGCATGGCCTTGAATGCTGGTGTCGACCTTGATGAGCCACGGAGAGTAGTCCTTTGGCGGGTCGAAATAGGAGAAGGCAGTGCCATCTGCATTGTATTTGCCGCTGAAGTAGAAACTGAGGTTCTCACTTGGAGCATTGGCTCCGGCGCCGTTTGTGACATCTTTGATGAAGCTCCCACTCTGAGGAGAGTACGCAACGTTTGGTACGCCTGCCTGAATATTCGAATCTTGTGGGATATCGTACAAAGGGTCGCTCACTGTGCGGTCAGTAATGGTGTCTCCAGAAGTGTAGTACATGCCACTTGAGAAATTGTTAGATTCACGGCCCAATAAAGTAAGATGCGGGGGAGCTACCCGTAAGCATAGAACTCATCATAGTCGGCGAACATATATCCGTCGAGGTAGTAATTGCTGATGGGTCCCTCATTGATGGACTGGAATATCGCAGGGTTGGCCTTGGTGGTATCGAACGGTTCATGCATGCTGAGTTTGTACAAAAAGCCCTGGGACGAAGTGGAAGACTCCAGTGAATCCCACGTGCCATTCTCATAAACTCCAGTTTGCAAATAACCACCTTCGAGATACACATTGTCTCTGATCAAAGCAGCTCTTGGCCTGTCCCAGAGACCTATGTTGCTAGAGTTATGATCGCATAGAACGAGGCCAAAAAGCGTGAGCATCCACGCGTTGGATTGCGGTATGGATAACATGGTTGCTGTATGGAATTGAATCAAACCTCGAACGGCAGAGTTCAAAATCGGACCATGAGGCTCAGGTCGTTCCTCAGGCTATAGATACAACCTTCCACCAGTTCAAACAAAAATTCAAGGTGGGAGTGAGAGCCCTCTCCACTCCTACATGAGCGGCTCAGATGATCGTGGTCCCTGCGGCATTGGTACAACGGCTAGAAGAGTCTAGCTTGTGGCGAAGGCATCGGAGAAACAGCGTCTTTCGGGCTGTTTTCCGCCATTGAAGGGCACGTCGAGAAGCTATCTACGAGTCTTCTCGGAATAGCCGTGATCCAGACCGCGGTTGGTAAGGGTCGTGCATGAGTGCTGGTTGCATTCTGGTCGAAGAATAGCGGGCGGAACAAGCGACGTCCCCACACTCAAGTGAAAGAGAGAACAAAAGACGGGATGTCGGGCTCAGTTTGGGCCTGCCACATTAGGACAACGGGTGTGAAGGGTTGCAAGGGGTTCATCCTAGGAAGCAAGGATGCTCACTGCATGCACTGAGCCCTAGCCCTATCCGCGAAACAGCGGGCAACACAGAAAGGCTGGGAGCAAGCTAAGCCCCTCGGGTCTCAGTAGAGCGGGATAGCTTTGACTGAGATGAGGAACAATATGGCCCCCACGAATTGGTTGGATGAAGCGAAACAGCTAGTAAGCAGTGACAAAGATAGCGACCCGAGCCATTGAGAGAGAACAGAGCAGTTGCACCTCGTACTCGACAATAGGACAAACCTCAGCCTGATCGCATTTGAAAGGATCGGCATCCCCCGGGGTACCTACAGTAATACTTGTTACTAGGTATCACTCTCAAATCATCCACCGTACCATACTCCATACGGAATAAGGAGACTGGGACTTGGTGAGCCGTCTGGTAAGACATATTTTTCCCTTTTTCCTTTTCCTCCTCTTCTTGTGCGAGATCAAGAAATGGAGTGGGCAATCCGTCGCTGACAATGGACCAAAGAGGGGGATAGAGTGAGGTGACGGGTTTCTTCTTCGGTGTCTAGGTGGCATCCATCCTCGTGTGTGGTTCGACGATGGATGGCTTGACGGTGATGATGATGAGCCCTGCAGTTGCTCTGCTGTTCTTTCGCGGAGTTTGCCAGAGTCATCAGTGCTGTGCGAGTCGCACAAGGTGTGCTGTCACGGCTGTTGAAAGTGCAATGTGTTGTTCGTCGTGTTGGTAGTGTTTCGAGCCCGTGCACGGCACGGCACAGAGCGGCGACAGCTCAACTGCACAGCTGCACAATTTACGCGCAGTCATTCGCTGTCAAGCTTCACGTGCCGTGTCTTTGCCGATCTTGGGGTCTGGGCACGCGGTGGACACGCACCGTGCACCTTCTACTGGGTACTTGTACTTGAACTTAGGCTCTGGCATTTTAGGCGGGAGGCCTCGTATTTTAGTGAACTATTGAAGCCACCCAGCCATCGAAGTTGCACCCTGTAGCCTCCGAGCCACCGCAATACGCCCAGCCAGCCCAGCAAGCAGCAAGCCAGCAAACCAGAAAAACCTCCGGTGGCGCTCGCGGCCTCCACTTGAATCTCGACTGGTGCCATCCCCCGAAACCCAGCCATCATCAGGCTGACAAGTTGAACTTCGTCGGCATCCTTTCAACCTCAGTAGCAAGCTGTCCAGCTCAGCTTATTGCCGAGGGAAGATGAGAAGAATCCTCCCTACTTGTCCACATCGGGACGCATCGAGCACCGGGACCTCATTCTGTTTTGCAGCAACTCGCAGTGCTGGGACGGAAAATTGCTCGCTGCCATGCACTCGCCACAGAGATCCGACTCTTTCAGGTCGCGCTAGCTGCAGCTGTAGAATCAAGGTCGGACCACTGCTCGTGCTGCGCTTCTCAGGAGCAAGTGAAGAGGCTGCATGGGTCGGGTCTGGGGCTCTGGGGCAATGAATGCTCCTTCCGACCCTTCCAAGGCCAAGATGTCTCGAGAGGAAATCCCGCTTCCTTCTCACACCACCGGCGCCACTGGTCTGTGTCTTCTCCCCGCACCTATGCTGCACCAGGAATTCTCAGCCTCATCCCAACTACCTTCTCAACCGTCCAAGTGGATCTATCCAACAAGCCAGCTCTCTGCGCAGTCATAGCGCCTGTATTCGGCATTTATCCGTCTCCCAAATGGACATATCTGAGTTTAGGGCTTGGATCGATTGGTAGGTATGTCCGATGTGATCGGGGATATTGTCTTTGGTTCCTTTTTTTTTTGGGTCACAGTTCACAGCCGCGTCTGCGTTTGCGCCCGGATTGTGTGAGCATCGCCTCGAAATGCCCCCAATTTTTCTTGATCTTTCCGACCCCTGCTAAAGATATGAAAGACCAGGGCGAAAACACATCTCGGGGCTCGATACTCGGTAGACTGTACAAGACCTCCCGGCCTTTTCTTTCGCTCGGCGGATCTGGGACGCCGCGGCGTGAAGACAGTGACCGTCTCCAAAAGCATCGAGGCTTACCGCTTGGCGTCCTTTACAAGCCCCAGCTCTCCGTCGTTTGCTGCGCCAAAGCAGGTTTGAATCCCGACCCGTAGTCAGTGGCTGCCTCGAGATAATACTTGTTAGTCATGGCCGGGGGTGGTGAAAATAGTTCACTATGCTTTGTACACGTGCACCACCACGGCCCAACGCAGGCCCGCTTGATCTTTACCCGTTATGCAAGCCATTGACCTGATGGTGCAAGGTAACATCGCTTCCGTTGAGCCACCGCTGATTCTGGTAGTTTATGACGCGCGACTGAAAAGGAACAGGACAGGAGCTGCAATTCTCATATAACAGAGACGGTATGGATCACCTCCCCAGTTTTCTTCTTGTTTCTCTCCAGAACTCACTTCCGACTCGCAGTCGCTTTTCAGTCACTCGTTGTACATTCGTTCAACTCCAGTATGGATATGAGGAGGCTGAAGCTTGTCGGCCTTGTCGGCTCTCTTCTTGTTACCTTGGCTCAGGCTGGGAATGGCGGAGACAGCAGCTGGGGCTCAAGTTCCTGTGCTACTGTCTACTCTACCGTGTGGTCAGTGTCAACAGAATATGTGCCGACCACAACGACCGAGGAGAAGACAGTTTACTCTACGGAGACCGACTATGTGACAGTCACTACAACTGACACTGTCTACGTCACGGACACAACCACCCAGATATCGGTCCAACCAACAACGATTGTTGACGTCACTACCGAAACGGATATTGAATCCACCACCATTGTCAGCCCGACCACCATCCACGAGACAACCACAGTGGTTAAGCCTACTACTATCGTGAGCCCAACGACTGTTGTGAGCGTGAGCACCATCATCAGCGTCCAACTGAGCACTGTCACGGACACGGTCCCTACCACCGTCATTAGTGTTAGTGCCACAACAGCCACCGTCTCGACGTATCCCGGACTCGTTACCTGTACGTCGAGGATTGTCAACCCTACTTATACTCCCAAAGCTCCTTTGCCCACCAATTACCTTTGGGGATGTGCTCCTGGCACTATTTGCACTCCTCCACAGATCGGCTGTAATTGGGAACAAAACCCCCCGGCTGACACATATGTCTGCGCTCCGGAAGAATGCAAACCTGTTCCTGAGCTCTTCTTGCCAGCGAACCTCAGTTCACTCTGGCCGAATCCCACCGAGTCCACGTGCGCTTGGGATGAAGCACCGCAAGGCTACTTCCACCTCAACCCGCAGCATTTCGGTCTAAGCTTCGCCATCTTCGATGTTTACGGCCAACCTCTTTGCCCGGCTCCTACAACGACAAGTACTTGGGCTGACTGGTCTACCATTGCGAAGCCCACTCCCCCGCCCAAGCCCACATCGACGTGGGCTCCTAAGATGCCTAGACGTGGACTGATGGCTAACCCAATCGCCGAGATCGTGAGCCGACAGAATTTCCTCAGTGCACCCGCGCAGTGCTACCGCATCTACGATGCTGCAAGTCAGGCTGGCCAAGCGGTAGGTCTGGTTTATGACCTGCTCTGTCCGGCTAGCACAACATTCCAGCAGGCACTCACTCAATGTCGCGCATGTGCTCAACAATATGCCGGCAGCTCCACTGGCACGGAAACCTTTCCGGAGCTTCAAAACTACTTCCAATATTGCCAGACTCATACTTCCTAAGGGAGAGGAGAGCATCCCTTTGGCACTCTGGTTCCACCCTTCTCGACTCAGCTACAGGATGACGGCATGGAGCATTGCTCTATATATTCCCGGACATATCCGTGGAATCTCGACATTACGGACCCGGATCGGCTCATGAATACCCTTTCCACCCCTCTTGAAGAATGGTCGATGCGCCGTTAATAGGGCATTACTGGCTAGGGGCCGTGACCCTTACTATCTGTATATAACACCTCATCTGCGCCATTTTCTCCCAAATTTGCTATCAGTACTTGTGGTTGCTGGTGAGATCCGCGGGCTCGACACAAAAGCAATCGGACGGGGGGTTGGGTTTGGCCCCAACGAAATACATGACCTGGTTGATGTGGAAAGAAACGAAGTCACTCCTTGATGATGGAATGCCCAAACTCAGATAATCATAATACAAATGGCAAAAGTCATTGCAAAGATTTGTTATCCTTTCCTTCCTAGTTTGTGGGACTACAAGCATTTCGGCAGCATCCGCGAATATGAAGCTACTTTGCTCCTTGCTCAGATAAATATTTTGCTAGTGTCAATCGACTACTTACACAGACGAAGACTATTAGGTTTCGTCGTGGGAGCTCTCTGATCTATCTGCGCTAGTTAATGTGCTCGAGCTCAACGAGCATTCCCACCAGCTTCACATCAAGTGTTTACATTCTCTCCTCTACTATCGGGTGAAGCATCTGTCTGCCGCAACTACCGGCGATCTTGAGTTTCGCACGATCCGACTGTGTGTCGTTAAAGATACTCCATAAACTGGGAAAAATCCCAGACTACCCTGTCCCTTGGAAGTATCCCATGGGAGCTGTCATACCCTTTGGGAATAGCCGTTACAGGTTTGGCATGGAGTACGAGGTGGTTGGAGATGACCAGAAGAATCATATAACAAAAGATTGAGTGTCTCAAAAGAGCATGCGTCATTCTACACATTCTTGCAATGTCGAATGCAGCGGGTTCTCGTTCATGGGCTTCTCAGCCTTTGAATATTGCCATCAAAACATTGCTATACGTACTCTGAATCCTCCGTAGCTGTTAGAGAATCAATGAGTCAATAAATGTCATCGCCGGATGCAGTCTGACAACACCATTCCTGGCTTCCTAGTTGCGGTGTTCTCCTGTGAGACTCTGCCAAAAAGTTCGTTGATCACGCTCTATGCTCCTCATATCTCTCACGGGGCCAATGCTAAGTGATCAGCATAGATTTGAAGCTGCGGAAGGCCATACTACGAAGACAACATCTAGGGTTGTAAGAGGCTCATCTATTGCTCCGCCTTCGCTCTGAGTAGAGTTGAACTTGGATCCAACTCATTCCTCTCTAAATTTGTTTTGCTTCATGATAAACTTTATCCTCCACAGGTTTGAGCGGAGCGCAGCACCCGAGTTTGTGGACGTTTAGCATATTTATGAACGATACATTGATATGCCTGCTTTAGGCATTGAGCTTCATGTAAAAAGAATTGGACAAATCTCCAACGTGGAACGATTTTTGGGGCTTTTGGGGGGAAATATTGATGGAAATTGTTCAGAGATGTATCGTGACACAAAAGCCACCGCATGGGCAACGCTGCAAGAGACAACTGGGCGGGATGTATTCAGGCATGATTCTGAGTCATGCACTGGGATGACCATTCTAATGCTAATAGCACTCTAATTGATTTTGTGGAGAGAACGGCATCAGTACTTCAGTAGCCGACCCCTGATATAAACCTACCAACATATAACAAATTGGTCACACATGTCAGAGAGAACAGTTAAGATCCGTATTGATGGATAGCCGTCACCGTGGACCGATCTTCCTCTACCTCATCAACGCCTATGGGGAAATCGTGATCCAGAACATCAATATCACCCCAATCCGCACTGCTGAATAATTCATACCAGGATGTACTTGTATTGAGCTGTAAGTGCGTGTCTGAATGTTCTGTTGGTTGCGCGGGTGATGCGTTGGACATGGTGCTATAGTCAACAAGTGACCACAACAAATCCTCATCTTCAGCACCAAGGCCTGGATCGACGATGGAGTCTTCGGATAGGAAACGGAACTTGTAACTGTTTTCGACGAATGTTTTCAGCGCAGTCAGCTGCAGGCGAAAATGGTCAGTGATCTATTCTTAAATGACGTGAATTCCTCTCACCAACAAACACGCATTCGCCCAATGTCGACTGAGATCTTCCAGGAAGGCAATACTCTCCTTCAAACTGTGAAGAGCTTCGTTTCGCGTTTCTTTGTCGGTTGCGTGCGCGTCCAGACCAGCAATGCTGCCGGACACAACAGCACAATAGCCGTAAAAGGAGGCCTGTACATAACAACCAAGTTCGCGAGCGTTATGAATGTGTCTAGCCAGAGAATTTGCATGCTGCCGGCCAGAAGCGAAGGTTCGAACTAGGAAACTCGGAGGAACGCTCATTTGACACGATCGGATGCGCTTCCTGAGCAGGAAAGGGTGATGCAGGATACAGTAGCATAGGTGAAATAACGCCCTCGAAAAGATAATTGGGCCAACAATGGCCTGGTCCATGCTATCTGTGTCGAAAAGATGACGACCAATCTCCTGCTTGAGCGGCAGGCGCATCTGAAAACGAGTCTCTAGGAGGAGAAGGTCGGATTCGGTGGCTGCAAAGTCAGATGTTGCCTCCCAAGGGGGATATCGGTTTCTGAAGTTACATTCCTGCAGCATATACTGTGCTGTTCGACCAAGAATCTGGGCAATCATAATCACACGTGCAAAAGGTCCGTGTGTGCTGTTGTTTACCAGTGCGCGGTCGGAAGCCTCCTCCAGCGTAAGTGTTTTCTCCCACAACCCATCTCGCCACTTGGTCTCATCCAAGGGCAGCTGGAGTTGGCACGAAGCGTCTAATATTGCTGGTGGCCGGCCGCGACCGCATGAGACCAGTCGATCCAGAAGGTATATGGACCAGAAAACTCGACGATGCTCCTCTTGCACACAGTGAGGAATGTGGGTTCGCTGACCGAGCATTAATTTGAGATCTTGGGCAATTCGAACCGCCATTCCAATCTTCACCCATGCTGAGCCATGACGCGACCTTCCGGCTGTAGAGCTGTCAGTTGACTGAGTAGATGACGCGTCGGATAACATACCCGTAAAATCGAATATCGAAAGCAATGTCACAGTCTGGACAGTGTGAAGGTCGGCTGACTGGTTCGCGGCAAAGCATGTCGAGACGATGGATTTCCATGACTGATTGGCGAAAGCCACGGCAAAGTCGAATATCTTGTCCCCGAAGAAGGACTCGGTAGAAAATCGAACCGCATTAGCGAGAATGGCGAAGAGTAGATGATCGGGGATAGTCCCGTCCGAGTATTTTTGACGAAAGTTCGCTTCGTGGAAGAAGGAATATGGCTGGTTGTGGCAGTGCTCGAAGTAAGCATCAATGGTGGACTCAAGAACGGGAACAGGCAAACACCCTTCATAGTTATGTGCTTGTCTTTGGGGTGAATGGGACGAGCCCATGCTGGACCAAGAGCTAACAGCATCTGTAGTGCTTGAAAGTGTCCTTTGCTCTGTTTGCGTCTCGGTACTGCCACCTATTAGGTTTTGTTGTTGAGCGGCAGAGGCAATCGATGCGGCTATAGTCTTTTGCGTCGAGACAATCCTGTGAAATCGCGATGAGTGAGCTTCTCAATACTAGAAGACATCTGGCAAGCCGAACCCTTGTAACTGATGCTGAAAGTCGCGTAGCAAGCCTTCCAAATCGGCCAACTTGCGAGATATGTGGCCCTGGCTTGTTCAACACTGGCTAGAATAGGCAAGACAGCTAGGTTGTCATACCAGACTCTCGGACGATTTGTCAACAGAGGGCGGTCGCTGCGTTTCCCTCCTGGGTGAATATCGACACACTAGAGCACATTAGATGGTTTCTTTGGTCTCGGAGCAGTCCGCACCTTCGGAGAGACGTGCGCAATTCTCACACGGATAATTACCTGTGCAACGAGCCTTTTTCCGCCTATGACGTTCACAGTTAGCCCAAAGGTCGAGAGAGATATGTCAACACTTGCGGAGGGACAAATGAGACATCTGCTGTTGCGAAACTGACCTACATGCGTTGCAGGCCCGGGCAATGCGCTGGATGGGTTTATAGTGCTTCTGGATGCCCTTGGCGGGATCCGTCTCCATGATATGGGGTATAAAGCGGTCACCGTTGAGATGTACTTGTGGTTCTGGTGGAGGTGGGTAGCAACGTGCAGACGAGACAAAGTAGGAGGCGAGACCGAGAAATCAGAAATTAGGCCCTGTACTCGGTAATATCTGTCTAACAGTATCTGGGCCAGTGAAATTTGTTCTCGACCCCGCGCTGTTTGTGGAGTGATGTGCAACCTAGGAGCCTGACTCCACGCATTCTCACCCGTATTTGAATCATGGCATCCAGATCAATCATTTACCACGCAAGAAAACCTAACCTGCACATAACAAAATCCTCACGACAGCAGAACTACTACGCAATGGTTTAAGGACTCTTGTTCGGGCAAGAAGCGTCTTATAACGGTCGGCATTCCACAAACAGATTCCTCTGTCTTAGATCAAATCCGTAAATGTAATAGGTGTATCGCTGCGTCCTTTTTCTAGCAGGGATCCATGTCGCCTGTTGAAAATTACCCAACACAACAGGCCAATTGACCAATATACCTACTTTCCTCGTGAATCCTGGCGTCGAAGATTCATGGTTAGCGTTTAGCCACGACAGGTAGAATGGTCGTGATCGTTGCTTGATCGGTCCGCAATGCTAGGTCGTCTATTGCTCGTCGTCAGAACGATCTACGGGGTAGAACTCGTCTCCATCTTCCCCAATCTGCAAAAGTAAGCGGTATGAGTGCGGGCACAGCTTTCAACTGAGGGACGGGATGAAGGGTTGAATAGGAGATTTGGCGTAGCGAATGTGTGCACCAGCCTCGTAGTTGCACCCGACCGAATACTGGTTGATGTGAATTACACTAATAGACCTACATAGGTACAGAGCCAGTGGTATTTTTGAAATCCAATCGGGTCCTACTGTTGCTCCCTCCAACCCCTGTCTTCATCATGCCTCGGCACAGCAGGACCTCAAGCAGCATAGCCCGGCCGAAACGCGGCTGCAGACTGCCGTAGCTCGATTTATGGAATAGAATCAAGATATGTTTCTATGTATACTCTCGAGGATAATGTTTCAGGGGGATAGATATCCGGAAAATCATCTTGCACCACGTCGAATGAGATCCACAAAGAGCTCACCGTCTGTTCTACGTGGATCAACACACGGACTAACATACTACTACGGAGTATTTGCCATCAATCCGATTGCACACTGCGACTCTCGACATGGGCGACTTCCCGCTCTGAGAGGACATCACCTAGGTAAATGACCAAGATCTTATGTCACTGCTTCTCGCAATCCGGGAAACAGTGGGTTTTTTGTAACAGCATTATGAATGATTTCAATGAGTTAACGCAATATGGTCGAAACTCCTATCTGTTGAATACAAGAGATGGTCGGTGAACTGGAGCCATCTGGAGAGCAATGGATACTATATGGTCACATTTCGAAATCTGACATCTTCACCGCATCCTCCTTGTTCACGGTGAATGGGGTAAATTTGCTGGCTGGTGAGGCTTCTCAGGATGCTCTCCATCGGAGCTCGGTACTTCTCGGTGGACAGGAGTGTCTTGCTCGAGGCCATTGACAACGTCTCGGGACAATTCGACATACTACAAACAAGTCAGCATTGGAAACAGTACGCTCTACCAGGGAGCACTCACGTCATATGCAAACTCGCCGATCTCGGTCTCGTCCATGCCCATAATTTCTTCTTGTTCAGAAGCACGAAGGTGCAGGCCGGGTATGAAGTTGAGAACAAACAAGATGGCGCAACTGACGACGAAGGAATAAGCCATTCCAGTGACACCGTCGCAGAGTTGATAAGCCAGTTGAATCCAGTGATGGTTGAGCCAGCCACCGGATATCTCGCTAAACCCATCCAGATGAGCAATGTAGTCGGCGGCAAAAAATCCCGTCAAGAGGTCTCCGACAAGACCGCCGATGCCGTGAATGGCGAAAATGTCAAGGGAGTCGTCGATGTGGAGGAGGAACTTGAGCTTGGTGGCATAGTTGCAAGCGATACCTCCAACTACACCAAAAACGACAGCAGCCCACGCAGGGACGAAACCGCTACCAGGAGTAATGGCGACCAAGCCGGCAATGACACCGCTGCAGAAGCCGACGGTAGACCATTTGCGTTCCAAGCGATAGTCAAGGATGCACCAGGTGAGACCGCCGACGCTTGCTGCCAAGTTGGTGACGACCGCAGCCATGATGGCACGTAGATTCGCAGACAAAGCGGAACCCGCATTGAAACCGAACCACCTGAAATGCAATTAGTGAGGCTTAGAAACGTGTGAAACAGAACACATCTACATACCCGACCCAGAGGAAGACGGTTCCAATGACTATATGTGTGACGTTGTGCGGGCGATAGTTCAGCTCGTGAGTACCGTGACCCCGACGCTTTCCTAGCATGAGGGAGTAGGCCAGAGCAGCTGCGCCGGAGGAAATGTGGACGGGAGTACCACCGGCAAAATCAAGACCACCCATCTTGAAGACCCACCCCGAGGAATTCCAGGTCCAGCAGGCAATAGGGTCGTAGACGACCGTTGCCCAGATGAAGGAGAAAACCATGGCGGGCAGCATTCGACCACGTTCGGCGGCAGCCCCGATGGCGAGGGCGACGGTAATAGCGGCGAACATGCCCTGGTATACCGCGAACATGAGATCGGGAATCTTGCTTGAACCGACGGAGGGAGCTCCCAAGACATTGCGAAAGCCGAAGTTTTCGAGATCTCCAATGAATTTACCGGCCGTATGGGAGAAAGTCAGGGAATAGCCCCAGAAGAACCATTGAAAAGAAATCAGAGCCGTGGCTGCGACCGACAGCCATATGAGCGACAAAGCGGATTTCCGTCGCGCAAGGCCGGAGTAGAAGAAGCTGTGATTCGCCCGTCAGCAAATCGGTCAACGCGAACTCAAAGGGGCAACCGCGTACCCGACACCGGGAATCATAAGAAGCACCAAAGCAGTGGCCGTGATCATCCAGGCAATGTCGCCGGCATTGTAATAGACATTGAGATCCTCTGTGAGCGAGTCTCCACCGGTCATGGATGTTCCTGCGGCGGGAAGATGACATTAGTTTGGGTGGTTCTTCAGCGCGCCCAGGGAGCGACCTGCGTGGTGGTAAAAAGGAAGCCGTATAATACCATTGTAGATGTCCAGCGGGACATAGGGAAGTGACCCCAAATCAGTCGACATGTTGCTGGAAGGAATAGAATGATTGCTCTACAGAGAAGGTGGACGTGCAACGTGCGAAGTGGTGAACCAATTGAAAGGAATCACCCGGCAAATCTCAGGGGCTCGAAGAATGGGAGCGGATCAAATGCAAACATCAACAATTGAATGGTGATGCAGGCAGAAATCGCTGTGAAAATTCCACTCCAAAAGTCGAGATGGACAAGAAGAAGGTAGAGAGTGGAAAGATCGAAAGGGTGTCGGAAAGAGTGGGAAAAGGAAGGGTTGAAAACAAAATTGAATTTGGCAAAAGAAACGAATATAGCACAAAAACGCGCCCGTATCGCGAAGTGCCACCATATTGACCGATTGTGTCACTTGCAGGGCTTGGGCTCTGGCTCAGGCAACGCTTGGCATGTCTTGGGTACTTAATACACAGTCAGAGGATGCGGCTCGAAGCAGAGCTTGCCGGATATGCCTCTGGTCCCAAATGCCATGACCTGGGAGGGCCTGAGGTGATAGGCTCGATAGGGCGCACAGGAAGGGCTGAGCTAAGACCAAGGCAGCCGCCACCCAAGGAACAACATAATAACTACTTTGTACTTGTCGTACATACCCAGTCCAGGTTGCCCAAGGGCTAATTAACTCAACGCTGTGATCCAGGCGCGCCTTGCCCGGCCAAGAGGCTCCGCTCTGTCCATCACTGCGTGCCTAGAGATGCGAAGAAATAACAACTCCCTTTTCCCTACTTACCCTCCTCACCCCGTCTTACCCGTACTCGCAGCACTGAATTTTCCTAGTAGGCTGCTTCTCTCTAGTACGCCCCGTCACTCTCGCCCCTTTCTTTCTCCTGCCACCAATTGCGACTGGCCTCTGGTCCTTCGCTCGTGTTGGCGTTTAGCCCAATGGTCAAAAATATCCGGCTCTCCAAGGCTGCCTCGTGCTTCTCTCGCCTACTAGTCGTCGCTAAAATCGAAGGTACTTATGCCCAAGCCTCCCTAGCCCCAAACTCAAGGTTCGCCAGGCTCCCTAGGCTTCGCCCGGGGGGGGGGGGGGAGGGGGGGTGGAGCTCAGTTCTGGGCGAGATAAGCAGCCGACGCTCAATTGGCTCAGACGCAAATCCAGGTGGTGGAGGCACCGTGTCAACTCTCAGTGCATCTCCACACAGATAACGAGTCCGACGGTTCTGGTCTGTTTCATTTCCTTCGGCTACTGTGCATGCCCTGCCCTTTGGACGAGCTTGGGACGAGTTATCTCGTACGGGGACACGTTCTCACAACCACGGGGTTTCTTGATGTACGGAGGTGACAGCCAGCACCAATCTCTGACATCTGCGCTATGCTACTCATAAATCGACATCTTCCCTGCCACGATCATGCCTCAAAGTCTACAGTTTTGCAAGTATTATCGGGGCCAAATACCGGTGTGCAACTACCTCCGTCAACATTCACCTGACGCGTGTGCTGACAGAGATACTGGTGGATCTTTTTTAATTCAACCATGTCGCCAAGTACTATTTCGGACTTCCAACCTTGATAAGGATGATGGAGGGGTGGAATGGCCTCCCAACTGCATCTGATCTTGAGCTTTTCAATTAGTTGCCTGACAGCGGCCCCGACATATTATTGTCCAAGACTTGGCGCGGAGACTCTGGAGAACTGGGTGTTGAAGTATCTTGCCGACCTTCCGTTAGCAACACAGTTCGCAGTTCCGATTCGATTGACACATATACCGTTGTCCATTACTGATTAGAACCAAGCAAAGACAAACAGGTAATTCTGCTCATTTCGGCCAAGAAGGGTTGTCGCAATGTGAGCACTTCGCGGGACGTTGCAACTGGTCTGCAAGCCCAGAACTTGTCCGCAGCGAAGGCATCGATTAATAGTGTCCTTGTGCGAATACCTCCCCGAGCTCCGTCCGAGTTGCGCTCATCACGTGACATGTCCCTTGTTTGTATGAGGAGCCGCTCAAGATGAATTGCCTACCAATGTTCTGTTTGGCATCAGTCCAGCGAGAGCCTGTTGTGTTGGCGTCTTTGCTGCCTTCCAAGACCTTCTCGGCATGATGGTCTGATGGCCCTCCTCTTTGTTGAACTTCGCTGCGAAGATGGTTTGCTCAAAATCGAGATATGAAGCTGTGCATACCCGCGATCAGGCTGGAAGTCAGGGGCCCCTTCTTTTGGGAGTGTCGACAGCTTTGTCGAGCCTCTGGGAAATGCCCTTTCGCGGTAAGGATCTAAGAGCAGACAGCAGCTTTTTGTGCGTGCCAAGGTTTGTTGTTGACAGAATTGTCCTCGGCTATACTAAGTTATGGTAGCACCACAAGACACCAGACACCGTAGGTCCGGGCCGTAGCACATACAGTAATATCATCGACCTAGATCGATATGGATGCACCACCATTGGCCCGAGCCCTTTTCTTGTTAGGAATTGGTGACCGAATCGTCGAGAAAAAGATTCCTTGATCAGCACGAGATTTAAAACTATCAAGGGTATCAAACAAGCAGTAGCAGAGCTATCTCGCCAGCTGCCAGGTTTTTGTGTCACGGGATGTGGGATGGGCGAATCGTGGGCGAGTCACAAAGCAGGCTGCCAACTTGATTTCCTCCATCCATGATCGGATCACAAATCCAGGCAATCAATAATTCTTCATCGGCGACTCATCAACGGAGAAGGCGACAACGGGAAGGACGGCACTGTGCAATCGTGAGACGCGTGCCGTGGAGATTGGTGTCGATGTGATACTAGGTTTTTTCCCTCGCTACCTAATTTTTTTTTAATTATTATTAGTCAGTTCTGAAGTTGCCCCCAATATCCATAGTATTTCATAGCAATTATTGCACTTGCGACGCCTTTTAATGCGGCGAGATAGAGTTTCAGAGGAACTCTTCTCCGCAGCGCACAGCCAGTTGGCATCGATTGCAGCCATGCCTCAGTCAGCGACAAGCCAACCAATTCCCGTCCCCGTCGGGGTTGTCCATCAGCCACACGTTGCGGCTGCCACAACTGCCAGTGCCAACAGTGCTCCTTCTCCCGCTACACCCGACCTTCAGCCATCACCGCTGCATCAAACGTTATCGCGGCCTGTTCAGAGTCAGTCTCAAGTCGTCGCTCCCTTACCTGTGCGTCCCATTACCCTTCCCAGAGTCGGACCGCGTGCTCCAAAAACCGAAGAGCAACGCAGAGAAGGTCGCTTGCCCCTCGTTATGGAGCATGAAGAGATGCCAATGCATCGCCCAAGCGGCGGCTCTTCATCCGGCTCTGATGAAGATGCTATCCCATCCTCTGCCTACGCGTATCCTACCACTTCCTACGATAACCCTGATGGCCCTGTAACCTATACGCCCACTTCCTCCATCTCGGCGTATACACCCTCGACGGGGTTCTCCTCCGGACTCTCCTCCTGGGGCTCGTATGGACCAAGACCAAGAGGTGGGAGCGGTGGAACCCAGAACATGGACCGATCTTTCTCGGAAAGCGCTCAGAGTGTCATCTCAGAGCTGCGAGGTGCAAGGCCTGGGGCTCCGCTCCGGACACCTTCAAACACTTATGCGCCTCCACGAAAACCGCCTCAATTTCTGTCTCTCAATTCTAAGAGAATGCATTCGTCAAACACCATGCGGGGCACGAGGAGGGATCCGAATGCACAGTACAAGGCACAGGAGAAGGCTTATGTTCAGCGAGTTCGACAACAACCGCAAGATTGGCTTGGCAATGATCCTCGAACGCCGAGTATTGGGTACAGTACGGATGACGAGACCGACGATGAATCCCCGTCGGCCGAACACGGGTTCGACGATCCGTACGACCCAGAGACGCTCATGTTTCTGGGCAACGAGGAGAATCTCCAGCCGACAGAGGAGGAATTGCAGAATTCCGAGAATAGAGAACGGCTCGAGTGGCATTCGATGTTGGCTTCCGTTCTGAAAGGTGACGTGGTCAAGCAGGAGAAGCAGCGGCTGATCGGCACAACTGAGCAGAAGAGCAAGGCAGAACTGGGCGCCGAGATCTGGCTGGGTGTAAGGGCAAAATATTATGGCCGACCCTTACAAATGCAGAAGAAGCTTATTGAAGAAGGTCGTGCGCAAATCGGCCCCATTATTGAACAAATCATTGCCTTTGAGATCAAGGGCGAGACGGTGGTAGGCAAGTCGCCGCTAGAACAAGTCGAGGAGGCAGTAGCAAACATTGAGAAGTGCGAATGGCTGTATCCGTCGCGGAGAGAACTCGAAGCTGCTCAGAGCAGGGCTGCTTCTGATGCTTTCAAAAAGAGTTGTGACGCCATCATCTCCTGGCACAATATCACACAATCCATCAACACTGAGCTGGCTGTTCTTCAGGCATGGGTCGGGAACTTCGAGTTAGATTTCACCAGGCAAAAACGTCGGTCCAGCAGAGATGGAGATCTTTCTGACGAATCTTCGTTCATCGACAGGATTCTAAAAGAGGATGGCCTGAAGTCGCTCCAGGGTGATAAGAGTATGTTCCTGGCTATCAGCGAGGTCATCACGAAGGCCAAGAGCACCCTGATTGAGAACGCTGAGGCGTTTGCCGCCCGTCATCTTCCTCCTTACATCGAAGAGCTTTTGACTTTGATCAACTTCCCGTCTAGATTAATCCAGGAGATTATCCGTATGCGGCTGTTATATGCGAAGAAGATGAAGGAATCGGCACAGCAGTCTGTAATGATCATCGATCAGATGATTGCACAGTTCCAGATTCTTATGCGGCTCGCTTGTCTCATCAAGCAAGAATACCTTACAATGGCTCATCCTGAACCAGGATGGGACTTGCCTCCTTGCATTGACGAAATCTTCGACAAGGTCATTGTCGACGCCCTCAAGTTCTACTTTAAGATGCTGAACTGGAAACTGGGCGCGAACAAGAACACATTCCGCGAAGCTGAAATCCTCGAACAAGAATGGGGCTTTTCGAACGAGATAGGCCGTCAACTCGAAGGTGGCGATATCGAGGTTGCGGAGCAATTCAGTTCCTTAACAGCCAAATCTTTACTTCGCCTCACTGCTTCATTCGAGCGAGAGCTTCGAAGCAAACCTGACGAGAGTCCGCAGGAAATGGAGAAACGATACAAAGCGATTCTGGATTCTGTCCGAGTTCGACAACGGAAGCTGTTTAGGTTCTCGCGGATACTGCGGCAAAGGTTCGAGAATGCGACCGAGTTCAATGTGGGAATGGGGGCAGAGCAGCTCCAGGGGTTCGCGGAAGCCCTCGTGTTATCTGGACACTTCCTCGTGGAAGTAAGTACTAACAGTCCGAAAGGCATTCATTTTGTGGCTTCGGCGTCGCTGTGGAACAGACCGAAAGAGATCCAGTCAATGCTGGGAACATCATTCCATGAGGATGATGCGGCAGAAGATCCCTCAAACCCTTACATTTTGATCATCAGGCCGGAGGACGACATGACTTGGGAAGGACCCAGAATGGAACTCGATACTCTGGAACTGCCTACTGATGTGAGACTGGGTAGACTCCGTCTCGTGGCTGACGGATCATCGCTTCGTCTTCAAGGCGCTCGGATGGAATTTGCCAATGCCATTGGCAGAGAATTGGACGTGGTCATTGAACAGAGAGCCAACCTGTCTCGAGTAAATCTTGAGCTTGGAAAAATCAAGAAGACCACGTTCAAACTGTCCAATACAATCATGGAAAGTGTGGAGGTGATTCGATCGCAGAATGGGGGGATCGCCAGCCCAGAATTGGTGCAATCTTGCTTTGCTTTTGCAACTGAATTTGGGAAACGATCTCTGACATATATGGATGCCAACCGACGTATGATGAATAACATGAAGCTCACTCGACTTGCACTGGACTGGATCAGCTTTATTTGTGATGATTGTGATGCGGCTGACCGGAGAACGTTCAAGTGGGCAGTTGTTGCATTGGAGTTTGCAATGGCGATGACGCGGGGGAGGAATATTCTGGACATCACGGATGAGGACTACAAACGCATCAGGGTCAAGGTGGCCGGCTGCATGTCTGTATTGATCTCTCATTTCGACATCATGGGTGCGAGATCGACTTTGGCTGCACAGCAGGAGAAATCCCGGATGGAGGCATTGACTGGCATGAACAAGCGACTGGACTACAACAAATTGCGCAATGACGAGGATTGCCGTAACGAAATGTGCCAGCAGAGACTGGCCGAACTTGCCACCATCGACCAAGTCCGTGAGGAACGAGGTACAAAGACTACTCTCGGACGCGTGTTGGAGGGATCGAACGAAGCCGACCGGTCGCTCACGTTCCTCTCCTCTTCTGCGACTAACATCACAATGCGATGGCAACAAGGTCAATTCGTGGGCGGAGGTACCTTCGGCTCGGTCTATGCGGCCCTCAATCTCGACACAGGAACTTTAATGGCCGTCAAAGAGATTCGTCTTCAAGACCCTCAGTTGATTCCAACGATTGTCAAGCAGATTGGAGATGAGATGGGTGTTTTGGCGGTTCTCGATCATCCCAACATTGTCTCGTACTACGGCATCGAAGTCCATCGCGACAAGGTGTACATCTTCATGGAATACTGCTCTGGTGGTTCGGTGGCTGGTCTTCTCGAGCATGGACGGATTGAGGACGAAACCGTCATCATGGTCTACGCACTACAGATGTTGGAAGGATTGGCTTATTTGCATTCAGCACATATTGTTCACCGGGACATTAAGCCAGAGAATGTCCTTCTTGATCATAACGGTGTTATCAAATACGTCGATTTTGGTGCAGCGAAGATCATTGCGCGGCAAGGACAAACAATGATGGCCCCAGAGCCGCCACAGCGCGCCAATGTCGATTCTGGCCAGCTTCCAAGACAGCCACAGAAGACAATGACGGGAACACCAATGTACATGTCACCTGAAGTGATTCGTGGAGACGGACCGGCAACCTCACGCTTCTCGGGAGCCGCAGATATTTGGTCATTGGGATGTGTGATTTTGGAAATGGCAACAGGCCGTCGTCCTTGGTCGACTTTGGACAACGAGTGGGCAATCATGTACAACATTGCTCAGGGTAATCCGCCACAACTACCCACCGAAGACCAGCTGAGCCCGATGGGGATTGATTTCTTGAAGAAATGCTTCGAGCGTGATCCAGCCAAGAGAAGCTCGGCGGCTGAATTGCTGCAACATCCTTGGATCGTGGAGATTAGGCGGATGGTGGTTGATGATCCTGACGCTCAGACGCCCAAGAGTGAGAGCAGTGGAGGGGTGTCGCTTCCAAGCCGACAGAACTCGACAGCATCATGAGGAAGAAGGTGCCGACAGCCCAGCAAAGTGGTTTAGTTAAGCGGTCTATTAATAGGTGGCCTTGCACGCTGAGCGAGTATTAGTAGGTAGTTACGGTGTACGGGGTACTCAGAACCTTTCTGGCTCATTATTCTCCAGCTTACGCGTAAGGCCGTACTTCGTTTTCTCGTATATTGAGCCGATTTATTCATTCGGTGAGTGACATTTGCCAACCCGGTCACACAGCAGGGGGATGGAGATTGGTCTGTTGCTGGCGTGCCGGCAAGCCGATGGAAACTTAACGCCTTGACGCCACCTCCAAAACAGGGAACCCTGACGTTGTGGTTTTCGGGCACATCGGCTTCATGGTTCAAAATGGAATCAGGACTCCATCTGGTTTTGGGGGTTGCGCCTACCTTTATCCATGTAATATTCCGAGTCTTCCAGCCTCCATTCGCTTTTGTGTCAGCAAGCGGATACCCGTTTTGTAGACCAGCTCTTCATTCATTCTTTTGTTTTATTCATTGTTAGGGCCGCCTAATCTCTGTTTCACCCTCATTATGCACGCCCGTTGCCTTCGCCATGGCCAGTGTTGACATTTCCAGTGATGCCCCGTCAGATCCGTTCTCTGACCAAGCAGCGATTCAGGATGAGCGCGAGACGGTCGCCGAGTCCACGCTGGGCGTGGGTCGAAATGCCACTTTGACCCTCGGCACTGACGCGGTAATTGTTCTAGGTTCGTGGTCGTTGTTTCTTGATAGCGGGAGCTTGTCTAACAGCATCGCAGATGAAGGCCTCCGCATAAGCGAAGGATTCGATTGCTTTGGAATCTTTTCTCAGAGTAACAGGCTTCGTGAACGATTATTTCTAAACTCGCGACTGACCTCGAGGACCAGGAACTACCAATACGAGATCCATTCCTTATTTCAACGTCCTTTGGGCTGAGATTGTCAAGGGCGAACTCACCGTTCATTATGCAAAACCGACCTCCAAGGCAGCAAATTCCCCTGTCCGTGTTGCTTACATCAATTATACACTCGAGAGCTCTACGGCGATCCTGGACAAGGCGGAAAGATGGGTCGAGCGTCTGCTACGACGGGCGTATGGACAAGCCCAACGCAAGAAGAGGATAAAGGTCCTGATAAATCCGTTCGGAGGGAAAGGAAAGGCAGTAAAACAATACACCAAGGAGATCGAACCTATCTTTGCGGCAGCGCGATGCGAAGTCGACGCTGAGCGGACCACACATCATGGCCATGCAGTCGAGATTGCAGAAAAGTTGGACATCAATGCATTCGACGCCATCGCAAACGTGTCCGGAGATGGACTGCCTCATGAATGCATCAACGGCCTTGCCAAGAAACCTAATGCGGCGGAGGCCCTGAGAAAAGTGGCCGTTGTCCAACTCCCCTGCGGCAGCGGAAACGGTATGGCGTGGAATCTGACCGGGACAGGTGAATGTAGCACGGCCGCTCTGTGTGTTGTGAAAGGTGTACGCACCCCGCTGGATCTCGTCAGCATTACGCAAGGAAATACCAGAACGCTCTCGTTTCTGTCGCAGTCTCTCGGCATAGTGGCGGAAAGCGACCTGGGAACTGAGAATCTTCGATGGATGGGTGACGCAAGGTTTTACTTTGGATTTCTTGTCCGACTGTTGGGCAAGACGCTATATCCTTGCGACATCGCTGTGAAGACGGAGATTGAGGATAAGCAAGAGATCAAGAGGCACTACGCTCAGCACATGGCTAGAAGGGCAACTCAGACTCCAATATCTCATTCTGATCTGGACGGGCCGTTGGATATGTCAAAAAATCTTGGACTCCCGCCGTTGCGATATGGTACGGTCAATGATCCTCTCCCCACCGATGCTGGCTGGACTCCTCTAACCTTCTACCCCAACCTGGGCAACCTTTACTGCGGTAATATGACTATGATGGCAGCAGATGCCCCCTTCTTTCCTGCTTCCCTCCCTTCGGATGGTCTGCTCGATTTCGTGACCATCGATGGCGACATCCCGCGACGGAAAGCGCTGGATCTGCTGCTTTCTGTTCCCAAAGGTGCCTTTTTCGACAAGGAATGCGTGCGTGTCCGGAAAGTGAGCGCTCTCCGGGTGATTCCACGGTATGGGTCGATAGCGGATTCCGCAGCCGAGAACGACCACCGGCGGAACAAGCAGGGCCAGGTGGTGGACCAGATAAGTAGCGGGAAGAACGCCAATCGAGATGCTGGCCATTTCTCGGTCGACGGAGAGAAAATGCCGTTTGAACCATTTCAGATTGAAGTTCACAGGGGATTAGGCACGGTCTTGAGTCGGCGCGTGGGTGTGTATGAAGCTATTGGACCAAAGGGGTGGGAAGATATCGATGTCACTGCCCCTACCGCCACGGACCAGGGGTCCGGATCGAGGTGAGCTGTAACGACGGAGGCGTCAACACGCTGGTATACATCTCCATATAGCGTCCAAAACAGGCCTCAATCATGGAAAGCAGTTGGAGAATCGGCGGGCGTCATCCGGATAGTCCACAAGACCGTGGTCGACTTGTCTCGGACCCCGGTTGCATAGCCACCATCGGCTGCGCAATTGGTCTTCTGCAGGATATGAAGAGCATAAAACTAAGCAAGCTAGCGCACAGGGCGAAGCAAGATGGTATGATCATAAAGAGATACCCATTTACGCAATTCGGCGGGCCTTTTTTTCTCCAGCGTCAAGCGGCTGGACAGCTTGTACACTAGTTTTTGGTTTTGGGTGGACGAATAGAGTGTGGATCCTGCCTAGGTTTAAATGGAGAATTGCTTGTGCGCTTTTTGTTGATCCAATAGATGCGATATAAGATTTTCTCTATACCAAGAGCACATGGGAATGTTTGCCCACTTTCCGGTTTTCCATGTCCAAACGGTCATGAGCATCAAAAGATTTATTCAAGAATACAACAATAACAAAACTTGTGGTGGTTTCACAGTTTGCTCCTCAAATCCTTTCTCTCATCCTTCTTGAACAGTGTCTTTGAGTCGGGATATGGATCAAACACTACGTTGTTAAGTGGGTTCAACTCACTCGCTCTGTGAAACATGTCCTCATATACATTCCCGTCATACCTGCCCAAGGAAGAATCGAGTTGCCAGTCGGAGAACTTCCACGCATCCACCAATCGTACCGCATGGGGACGGATCTCTGCCAGCAATTTCATCACCGTCTTCGTGCGGGCCAGCGTGATCTGTCGCACCGTCACTGCGGCTGAGGAGTAGAATTCGGATGCTTCACGTTCGAGTGTATGCAGAGCATACAGGCGGAACAGCTTATGCAACAGGGACACCGTATCAGGGTCCAATTGCTTCTTGGTGTGCTGATCCCGCAATGCGTCATGGAAGTTCTTGACAATCATGTACTGGGCGTGTGCTGTGGACAAACGCCAGAAATCCACAAGCAAGGAGTTCCAGGACTGCTTGTCCTCATCACGGTGGCGCAGAGCCTCAAAGGTCAAGAAGGAGACACGCCATGCAAATGCCGCAACGAGATCTTCGTCGTTGCCGATCACGTCAAATGCACAGCCAATGTCGCGCCGGCGGATAAAATCGATAAGAATGCGCGTCGTGTCGTTCTTTGCTGCCTTGCCTTGGATGACACTCCGGGCAGATTTCAAGAGGTACCGAGAAACTTGCTGCGTGAGCATGTAGTTGTCGCCTTCCCAGGTGACAGTGGGGAGGTAATCAGCGTACCAGGTACCAATGCCAGAGAATGATGAGTACCCATGACCGCCGCAGGCGCGGCGGCAAACCTCAAGTCCTTCTGCGGCGGTAGTGGAACCATAAGCTTTCAACGCACAACTAGTGGAGTGTAAGTCGGCGAGGAGGTCAGTGCCTGGGTTGAGTTCCTCGGGTCCCGGTCCGCGGTTAGAGTCAGACAATTTGCCTGTGTCGCCGGCACTCATGCGTTTATGGTTTTCTTGGTACAGCCTGATCATGCTCTTGCCCGTGAAATGGAGGGCATAGGTCGCTGCGAGCAAGGGGAGCAATCGGATTTGGACCATCGTGTAGTTGAGGACCTGGTTTTCGCCGGGCTCATGGACATCTCGGTCTTGGAATTGTCGTCGCACGGCACAGTACCGAGTGGCAATGGTGACGCCACGGGCAAGGGTAGAGCCAGCTTGCAGGACAATGGTGCTTCGAACAAAAGTGAGAGTGCCATAGACGAGAGAAGGGTTGGAAGGTCGGACGTATTTGCTCGTACTGGGATCGACGCTGGAGAAACGAGCTAGCATGTTGACGTGAGGAATCTTGACGTTCTTGAAAAGCAGGAAACCATTATCCATCGTATTGTATCCAAATTTGGGGCCGATATCACCGACGTGGACGCCAGGTAGTGGTTCATGAGTCTTCATATCTCTGACTTGGACGACAAAAGGATGAGGACCATAGGCTTTGCCATTGATGAAGAGCTGGGCCATGACGATGGCATGGTTGGCGGTTCTTCCGAGTGAACCAATCCACCACTTCGAGGCGGTAAGGTACGGCGAGTTGATCGTGAAAGTCTTGTCGTCGGAATTCCATATAGCAGTTGTTTCCAAGCCCCTGACATTAGAACCGTGCCCGAGTTCGGTCTGGGCATAGCAGCCAATGATCTTGTAGGCCTCTGCCTTCTCGAGGAAGAGCTTGTGCTGTTCTGGAGTACCTTGCTCTCGGAGGGTGACGATGAACATGCTCGAATGTAGACCATAAGGAGTAGGCTCGCTGATGAGGTCGCTGGCTGTCTGATACTCGTCTCTTGTCCATCTGTGCCTCATCTGCAACTGTTGCAGCCTCTTTCCTCTCGCCAAAGCAGCTTCTATCCTGCTGGTTCTCCCTCGAAAATAATTTTGGGATTTATCGAAGACAGGGTCAGCTTGCAAAATTTTGAGAATCTGTTCATTTCTCTCAAGGATCTCGCGCGTGAACATGAAGTCGGCAAGCTGATCGACATTGAGATTTGATTTGGCTCTCTCTTGCGAGAGCAGCTCAGAACCTTGAGGGCCAGAGGGCTTGAGGGCCTTGACCCATTCTGGGTTTGAAGGCATATTGACAAGACTTCGGAGAATCCGGAAAGCAGTAAAAAAAGAATGGATGTACACAGGAGTCTGGTGCCAGTGCAGATTTGGAGGTCAGAGGAAGGGAAGACTGGTATTTAAGCTGCTTAGTGTTGTCGAGACAGTAGAAGTGATAACCGCAGGCCGAAATTATTGCAGTGGCGGAACAGTTCGCCAGAAATGGAAGATCACGTTTATGCGCCTGTGGCCTCCACACACAGATGCCTCGGTTCAATCGCTGCTGCATATACTCTTTTAGGGATTAGTGACGCCCGCGAATCTCGAACTTCGTGCGTAAGATCCGCCCAAAGTGTATGCTTCGGCAATCCAGCTCCATTCCCATTGAGTGCTACTCAAAATGCCGAAAGACAGGACTTCCTTTGATGTCGAAGGAATATTGACCTCATCGCGCCACCCCCACGGTCGGGTATACTCGGATTCTGGACTCCGTATTCTTCTGTGATGAGCTTCACGAAAGATCGGTGGAAAAAGAGTAAATAAATCCACTGTAAGCTCAATTGATTGGAATTTTGCCTCGGTCGGCGAGATGAACCTCAACTCTGGTGTCTATTGCCACTCAGACATTGATTCAGTTACTATCAGACGCCGTCAGAAAGCCTAGCTCAATACCTTCTGGTTGACTAGGGGCTGATTCAAGTAGTTGATTGTTGCCAGTTTGTCTTATCGCTATGCACTGCCCTTCTATGTATGAGCGCTGTGCTCTTCGAGATGTGGCAACTGGTCACTGAGATATGGATGCGTTGGTACTCGCATAGATGAATGCATTTATGGCACAAAATTGTTTGAATGGATGGCGGCGATTTCTAGGGTTTCTGGTGTCTTAACAACATGTAGCAGTGTCATCTACTCGGTGCAGTTCAGTGCTTCTCGTCAATAGTATGTGGCTGGGGCTCGCTGATCGAGATCTCCTCTACATCCTTTTGCGCAACCACAAAACCTTCGGGCAGCAAGTTGAGTTCGTCTTCCTGCTTGTCGAGTGACCAGAATTGCCAGATGAATAGGCAGCCGCCAATAAACGCAACGACGGCAAAGACACCATAGTTCCAGATCAGCAGCGGGTCGCCTGAGAGACGGTTTAAAGCCTCTGCGATTGCAGCCGAGATCGCGTTGGTGAAGAGAGCAATAGCCTGAACCAAAGATCGCATATTCTTAGGTGCTTTGGAATATGCGTACTCGAGGGATGTGATTGACGCGAAGATCTCGGAGAGTGCGATGAGGACATAGCAGCCAGTCTGAATCCAGACGTTGAGAGGCGCCGGGTTGACAGTACCATCATCATTGAAGCAGTTGTTGGCTTGATATCCGCAAGGCGACCTCTTGTAGATGTAGTATTGAACAACTGCGGCCCAAACCATGGCTGCGGCTGCAAGCCAAAAGCCAGCCGTAATCTTCTTGAGCGCAGTGAAATTGAAGCCGAGTTTTCGGAGACCAGGGTACAGGAATGAGTCACAGATAGGGATGAAGATGATCAAGGCGAATGGATCAAGGTTGTTGACGACACTGCGCGAATATCTGTTAGCCTGTATCCGAGACCAAGCGGGGCTTGTGGTGAAGCGGAACTTACTCGTTGGGAACACCGTTTAGCTGCATTGTGCCTGCTTGAGCAGTGAAGTTATTGGTCAATTGACCATACGCAAGCCAGTAAAGTGGGTAGTAGGAGAAGACTGCGCAGGCGGCAAACCCACGGCGGACTTCGTCAACCCAAGCATCATCAAACGTCATCCATTTCGGCCGCTGGGAGGGCTGAATGTTGGATGGCTTAACGGCTTCCCAGATCGAGCCGTTTCGGGTGCGTTTCCACATGGTGACTGGGTTGAAAGACCAGCGACCCTTCATTCCGTAAATGAGGCAGCGGAAAGCTTTTGTCACAACGGAGCCGGCTGGTGGTCTTTGCTGATAGCGCTTCCGTCCCCACCACATGACAAAAGGGGTCGTCAAGAAAGCGACAAGGGGGAGCAGGAATGAGAGCCAGAATCCGACATACTTCTCGGCGTAGACCTGGAAAGTATTTGTGAGCTTGCAAACCAAAAACGGTTTTCGAAAGGAAAACGCACCATGCCAATTTGGCCGACGAGGGCGCCGATGTTGATGAAGAGGTAGAAGTAGTGATAGATCCTGCTTTGCGTGATGATGGGGTCTACGATCACTCGTTCTCCAGAAGGCAGGGTCTTAACGAAAGCCCGAGTGACATCAATCTGTTCGACGATCAAGGGTGAGATGTTGGGTTTGAAGCTACCAGTCCCAAATCCCATGATGATCAAACCGAGCATGAAGACGGCGTAGCAGGCAGTTGTATTGGTGATGACGGGTGGAATAGCGGAGATGACCAGGATGATGTGACCGACGATGGCAATGGCAATAGACACACAGATGGTCTTGTATCTTCCCCAATGTTCGTCGGCGACTGTTCTAGGGTTAGAATCAACTTGCTCCTCTGGTGACAGAATAGTGAAAAGCAATGGTGACACCGGCGCAGGGAGAGAGTCTTACTGTAAGCACCAAGCAGGGGAACACAGTAGACCCAGAAGGTATTGAAGGTGTTGATGCCGTTGGCAGTCTCCGGGCCTTGACCAAGGGCACCGGAAATGCCCTGATCAGTACCACCACCGGCACCGGTATTGTGGTGAGATCCTGGTGGGCCATCGGGAGCAGGGAGCGGAAGCGAGTGGTTCACAAAGTTGGAGTCTAGTACGCTGTGAGCGATCGAAAAGCAGCAAGTGTGGTTGGAACCTTACAAACAACTTGAGTTCCATAGTAGGAGAAACGCTCGCAAAGCTCAACGAAGGCGACAGTGTAGACAGCCCATGGAATGGGAGCTGCGACTCTGCGAAGAGCATTAGGGCCATGGAGCTCCTCATCCGTAGGGACATTGTCATATTCGGAGTCGCGGCGAGAGAACTGAACAACCTCGTTTTTGGTGACGGAGACACGATGGCCCTGGTCGGCGTCAAGGTGCTCCAGACCACCTGCCTGAATAGTCTCGGGGTTGTCAACAGGCATGATCTTATGAAGGTTGAAAAGTGGGTGGACAGGCAAGAGGATTGACTTCTGATCACCAAGATTGGGCCAGAGGGGATGGCTTTATAGCTCTTGCTGTGTGATCAAATGCCCGCTTCTCAAATTGGCAGGAGCGACTGAACGAGGAGTGATATGGTGCCGAGACTTCGAGATGTAGCATTCAGCATTGCAACCGCTTATCGACGGCGACATGATGGGCAGTTCTGGGCATACAGATCTTCCCAGAGACTTGTGGCGACGATTGGCTCGGTGTCTGGACGAGTTCATCTCAGGTTACATTCTTCTCCGTAATTGATATCGTGACGGCGATGTTTTCTCTGCATGGTTTGAGCGCCAGCCTTGGCAACGGCGGCCAAGGTGCAAATAGAGGGCTTGATAGGGCTTGTCTGGCTTGATTCTGTCAAGCTTCCATGGCGAATGCCGGGGATGCTAGGCCGATTCTGGGTAAGCGTCCGAGCTGGACTCACGATTGTTGCATGTTCGACCAAGGAACCCGAGCTCGCTGAGTGGCGGGATTGCTGGATCTTGCCCGCCACCCGCCAATCCCCCAGTGCCCCAGGAGAAATTCCTTCCAAACTCTCTTTCTGACTTCATTCGTCGGCCACATCCGACTGTAACCTCCTTGAGTCAGTGTGACGTTGTGATAAGTCCGATCCATTCCCTCTTCTGCCCATTGTTTCCTGCTTGCTTTATCTCTTGGCGAGGGCCAGGGATGTGATTCTTGGGGTCCTCTATGAGGTATGCCCTCGTTGCTAAACCGGATTAGTGCCGCTGCCATCTCACGGTCCCTCCCCTCTTGAATCGCTTCCTATTGAAGTAATCGCACTGTTAAACTACACGTCAGCCAAGCCTCATATCAGCAGAAGAATTTTCACGGGCGCAAGCAAGAATCGAGATCTCTTCATGTGTGAGGCAAGTGCAGCGGCGCGAGATACTTTTGCTTTTGGTCTCCAAAGTCCAGCATGGTCAGCCAATCTCTCTGGGGAGCAAGCTCCGGCAGCTGCGGAGATGAAGATGACCTGCCGTCATGCGGAAACGGTGAGCATCGACTGGCGAATGACGACGCGGGAGCATGCGTGCGACAGCGTTCTGGAATAGAAGAGGTGGAGAAGTCTAGAAGCAACGAAGAGCAAGGCATAGGTATGTACCCCAGTGTGGCCCCTGGTGGATAAAAGCAGGCCTTCACAAACTCCAACATGGTCTGGATGATTATGTCGACGGTGGGCTGGTTGCGGATAAAGCCCGAGAGAAGCGATCACAGAAGTCTCATCAGGGAGAGGGAATCTCCTCGTTGCCGTCGCTCTCATCGTGGATCTCTACCCAGGATCAACCAGATAGTTGATCTAGGTCAGTCCAGGCACGTGAAAAAGTTGGCTTTGTCTAGACGAAATGAAGCACAATTGTTATTGAAAGTGAGTACCTTGCCAGGATTCGACAGGTATTCTTCTGGTCTTCGGTTGACATGCTATGTTCTTTGTATCGCCTGCTTCCCCCTCCTCGGAACATTTACAACAATTGCAGGTGCTCCACTTCTTTCCCGCTTCTCCTCTTCTCGAATCGAAGGCGCAGACGACAACAAAGCCAGTAAACAACCCCCATGGAAACATCGACAAGGCGGGTTTTGTGAAGGCACGAGTCATCAGAGCCACTTCTGCAATGTCATGTGCGAGATGACCTCTACCCCAGCCGGCCGAGATGTCTCTATCTGAGCAAATGCCGCGCTCTGATGCAGGAAGACGGTCTTCTTCATCCCTACCCAGTCTCATCCCAGAAGGATTACCGGGAAGGTCAAGAGGACTTCCTCTGTCTCTGCCTGTGTCGAAAGCCTTAGAGCTCGAGACCGCGCTCACCCAAATTGCTGCTTGAGAGTGTCATCATTCTGAACGGACGCTAGTCCCTCGCAACACGAGAGACACTCTTCCAGATCTGCTGGAGAGACTTGCGGATTTCGTCCGGCGATGAAAAGATGACTCGCCAAGAACAACGCTTCCCAAAATACCATCTCTTTGGTCAAGGAGATCGACCACACCTAGCGCTTACAGAACCCCCTGAAAAGTTGAAGGGCGTCGTCAAACATAGACTCAAGTTCAAGAAGAAGGGGTTACGCTCTTCTGTGGACCATAGCCTTGCCAAGGCACAAGCCTAAGGAGTCTTAATGCGACTCAATGAAGCTTTCTTCTGAAGAAGACTTTTCCGAAGCGCGAGGCAAGAAACTCGAACAACGTACCTATATGCGCTTTGAACAGAGCACAAGCGTCCGTACGAAGCAATATATGGCATTTTCGGACTTGCCACGTGGCAAGGACATCAAAGCGCAAGCTAGAGGCCATTAGAAGAAGGCGCCGACGTTTATCGGCGGTATATTCCTCACTAGAAACCTGGCCCAGAACGGGTTGCTCTAGAAGTTTTAAAGAAGGATATAGCTGAATAGCGCAAGGAGAAAGCTGAAAGGGGCAGATTAGCAGCCAAACGAGGTGGAAACTCCAGGGTGCTAGTGCCAGGTGATATATCCAGCTCCGAAGGCTCAAACCTTGCTCCTCCTGCAGCAGCTCGAGTCGAAAGAGTGGTTGGTGTTCGACCGCAACATAAATCTTGTCCAAAAGAAGGAACAGCCGGAACTCTCGGGAGTTGAAGGCGACTTTCCAGAACATCTCCAAAGCCGGGTTTAAGAAAACGATGACCATCACGAATTTTCAATCACTCCGCAAAAGCTCGACCAACTCACGACGCACACTGTAAAATGGGTCATCGAGACAGAGTCGACTACCTCGCAACAATTTTTGGGATGCTAACCAGATTGGTTTAATGAGATGTATGACCTTTAACCTATGAAGTTCCACTTCAAAATCAACCTTGAGGAAGATTGTATTAAACTTCACGCACAGTTCAAGAAAACGGTCGAAATATATACGAATTTGGGGAGGACTCTTAGCCGCAACCTCTGGGAGAGCATGATCTAGGCAGTAGGCGAAACCAAGAGCAGAGCAGCTGAGCTCTTCGGACTTCCGGCTTCAAGGAGAAATAACTGAAGCTTTCAAGCAATTCCAAGGAACAATGCAGCAGACGTACATTTGCGGAAACTTCCCAGCAATTTGGTGGAGAGTCACACCAAAGTCGCCTCAACAAGCATGGAGGCGCCTGGCTTCCGACCTGCCACTATTCTCGATTGCTTGAACGCATCTGCAATGCCTGCGCGATGTCCAGTGCGCTACCACTTAGCACGCCTCATCTGGCCCGAAAGGTTTTTGGACCTTTTCTGGCAAATAAAACAGGAACGATCTCGCCTCTAGGCAGCACGCCAACATCATATTGCGAATACCTCTCAGCTCAAGAAAGGGGTTCCAGAGGGGAACAGATAGATAGGATTCGTAGAATAACATCATCACTTCATGATCTCGCTGCCAGGTAGTACGTATTGGCTTCTACTCACTCAGCAGCAGACCTGCTGAATCAAAATCTCACTTGAGTGTGGATGGATCGGCAATAGCAATTCCTTACCTATGCGAAGATTTCACGCTAGTACAGACCGCCAGTGGTCTTGTTCAGGAACATTGTGAGGCTGTCATGATCTCACTTCTTCCCCATGGCATTCGGATCCCTGATTAATCATGTTGGAAGTAACTGATAAAAATGGGCTTTGACTGATTTATATAAACCCAGCATTTAGGAATGACCAACATACCCCTACGTGGTATAATCACTCTAGTCTAATAACAGCTAGCTGCAACCGGTCTAATTCATCTTGGGGTTAAATAATTGAGTTCCATTGTCGTTGATTGGTGGCTTATAGGCCAAAGAACTAAGGACCCGCCCCACAGATTGCGGTCACCGAGTTCTGTACTCAGTATTACTCCGTGTCCAAAGCCAGGCAATCTATTACATACACAGCGTTAAATATGCCCACCTATCTCCTCGCGGATCAGTTCTCTGGCATCTACTCCGTACTTATTAGAGGCCCGCTCTTGGCAGCAATGACATTCTAGATCTGCCAGAACAGATTTCGAAACGGAGAATTGACACTGAGGGCCTAGCCGGCTCCTTTGGCAATCGTCAAGCGGATCAGCAACAAGCCCATGCTGACCACTGTGGACTACGGGGACCGCGAAGAGGATTTCGGAGCTGCGTCGCCCTCCGTAGTTCCTCCCATGAGTGTGAGCTGCTGGATGAGAAGCCGGTCACACGAACTCTGATTTCCAAACAGTACATATAATATGTTTTCTATGATACTCCGCACGTTCGTATTTGCTCTGCATAGGGAAAGCCCACTAGAGTACTCCGTATTCAGATCCAAGCAATATTCACCATATCGGTCGATTTTATCACTCCTAGCAAAATGTCTTTCGATTCACGTCGATGGGTTTCTAGAGGACAACTATGTACCTTCTCACCCTGCATCCTTGCTTCTCTCATCCTCTGCTCTCAGAACGGACTTGGACGCAGCTCTCCCTGGATATATCCCCTGCTACTCTACGCAGTGCGTGTGGCTGGAGCTATATGTCAGTTATTCACTTATCACAACTCATCCCCTGGTCTATTGAAAGCGACAATTTTGCTGGACAGCTTTGGTCTTGCGCCCTTGCTTCTGTTAGAACTTGGTCTTCTATCAAGGCTCATTACTTCAATCAATCATCGTCGGCAAATCTGTCCAGGTATTCGAGGAATCCTACTTCTCCAAGCTGTCATCGCAGTCGGAATGATTTTCGGCATGATTGGCTGTATGAATGCCAAACGTATTGGAGGTGCCATGAAGCCGACAATCATTCTAAAAGTCGGGGTGCTTCTCTTTGTTGCTGGCTTCCTAGGGACTGTTTTCTTCTGTGTCAGGGCGTGTGCAAATATCTCATTTGCGGAAAATGGAGAAAAACCAGTTTGCTTAGCTACAGCAACAGCAGTTCCACTTAATATGGCTTGTCTGATTTATGCCCTGCTTACGACTTTTGTGAATAACAAGAACTCCAATATTATGGATGGAAAACTACTATACACGATTGTCTTATCAGCGCTCCCAGAGTTTGTCGTTGTCTTCGTCTTCCTCTTGACCGGGTTCACCATTCCAAGTCTGGCGACATATCAGCAAAGATCACTCCTGATTCGACAAGCAAAGACGACAACAAGTGGAATCGTGTTTCAGAAGAACAGCAGCCACTCTACTGCTACCAGTATGGCCCCGTCGAGAGGCAACTCGACGACAATGCATGGGCCTGAGGACTATAGAGCCAATATAGGCATCTTGCGTATGGAAAGAGAGACTGGGCCGTGTATGTAGCAATCTAAACCATTTCGCGACGGATTTTTGGTGGGTGGCTCTGACATCTATTGACGCATTTAACTCTTGCCTCTCCTCATAAATGGCCTTTGCTGATAAAGGAGGATGGTAGTGCCCTGTACCAAACTTGGACTGCTTTTTATTTTTCAGCCGCCTGTTCTGCAGAGCTTCGTACTTTTAAAAAAAAAAAAAAAAAAAAAAAAAGCAAACGGTAATTGGCAATATATACGACGAAGTACGGATGGTTTTGTAAATGTCATTGTAGAAAACTACTACGCAAGCTAAAGATTTCAAACTTGATAAACTAGCTAGCCAGGGAGCTTCGAAATTTCAACGAGTGTTGCTTTCCACATTTACTATCCCGTAGTCCTTGGTTAGTTGTAAGAATGGATATCATTCCGAGTCAATGAAGTCCATTTGAAACTATGCCTTCTTAGCCTGGGTCCTTAACCGCCATCATAAACGGTTGTTTACAGTATCAGAAAACCTTGCTTTACTTCCGCGCCCGGCGCATCCTGCGTCGCCAGGGTTGTATTGATCCACGGGCTGGGCCTCTGCGACATTTGTGCCCTATAAAATAGCTTCGAGGTTCAATTCGGAACAGGTGAAGCGCAAGAGACAGGAGTCTCCGCAGCTGCTCATGTGACAACAGGAGCGTCATCGTGGGCCTTGTCAGTCATTTCAGTCCAGTAAATGGCATAGAAACCGGAGCCAATCATGTCGTCATTGGTTGAGTCAATGGCCGGTCCGGCATCCCGCTAAATCATGTTGCTTGCAGTAGAACCATCACTGGGTTCCTCAGCGGCCTGTACGTATGCAAATGCGAATACAGATGGCGAGAGAATGTCATCGCGTTTGGCGATGTGACTGTTGGTCATTTCCTTAGCAGCTTTTTCATTCGTAAAGGTAAGTGGCACGAGGCCACTGTTACGTCTGGAGATGCGAGGGTTGGCCATTTCCGCAGCATTTTCCTCATATGGATAGGCAAATGGCAAGAGAGCATCATCACGCTTGGAGACCCGACCGGCGACCATTTCCTCAACATTTTGTGCATCCACAGAAGCAACCGGCAGAATAACATCTCTTTTGGCGATGGGTGCGGGCTCTCGGGCATCATCAGCAGATTCAGTCAAGTAAATGGCGTAGAACCCAGAATCATGCATGCCAATGTTGCTGCCGTCCTGAGGAAGGTTGTTGCCGTCCTCAACTGCTCGTCTAACAATGGGTGTGTCTGTCAAGGCGCTAATTCGGAGCGGTTGATTGATGGGGTTGTCATTGGCGGCTCGCTTATCAACGGGTGTGTCTGCCAGAGGCGTGGCGATACGGAAGAGCTGATTCAGGATTGGGTCGTTTCCAGCGGCACGTTTAGCAACATGTGTGTCCACGGGCGCAGCCGCAATGTGGAAAGGTTCGTGCCATACTGAATCGTGTGCAGAGGCGCGCTTAACGATAGAAGTGCCCACTGGAGTTGGAGCAAGTCCTTTGGCCACGGGAGTAGCATCATTAACGAACGCGAGCGCTTGGGCGTCAGCCTGGTGACCCGGCTCGGTACGAGCCAAAGGAGCCGCAAATGCTTGAGAAAAGAGAATGCCGGCAAGGTAGGAGATAAAAATTTCGGTCTTCATACTAATAGAATGTTTGGATTTGAGGAAAAGCTTGTTTCCTTGGAAGATGTTCAACTTAGGAGGGGATGGAATAATTGATTGTGTATTGTGAAATCGGACGAAGAAATGCTGGCTGAGGGCTGGGAACAGCAGGACCTCTTTATACCTTTTTTGTTTTCCTTTGAGAGGGTTTCTCCTGATATCTATTCTTGAGGTGTTGCTCATGTGAATAGTGCCAAGCAGTATTCGTGGCCGTGAGAGGCCGTGACGAATTGTTGTAGAGTTCGCATGAGGAGAGGAATACTACTGGCGAGTTTTCTCAGCTCGTAAAGCTATGTTGTGATAATTGACCTTCTGTAAGTTCCTCCAGCTCAAGATACAGAGCTAGCAGAGAGACGCGTCCTCACAGCAAGCAAGAACTACGCAGTGGTGAACTCATGCGAGTTGAGTGGTCTCGGCCTCGCTCGCTTAATCTCAGCAAATCAGATAGTAAGAGCCAAGAATACCCCAGATTGCCAAGGGCCGTGCGACCATAGATGTTGCTCCACTAATTACGTACAAGTAGGTCTTCCAAGTCTTCTTGTCTTCGCATGGGGTATCAGCTGATATTTACCCTATTATCCGGAAACTACGTTCCATAGGTAGAATATCTTCTCCGTTCTGGACCACGTCTCTCTTATCATATTGACACCAATAAATCCACGGAGCCTCCAACGAAGGGGTATACGATGCGATGATGTGGCGCTGGCAGCTGGTCTTCAGATGTCGGAAGTCATGGTGGGCTGAGCGTACTCTGGTATTTCTATTTCGTGGATGACAAGAGCACAGGAGACTGTAAACGAAGTTTTGTGTCGCAAAGTACGCGCGCTAAGTTACTTGAGCTTTGTTAAGTCTTCATCACGAGACAAGGTTGAAATCAAATGAGCTCCTTATGGACACGCCATTTTCTTTCGACGAGCGGAGAAGAATGGATCTGTTGAACACAGAATAAGAGTGGATCTATCTTGTTGATTGTGTTCTGTCCCCCTGGCTATTCAGAGAGACTCTGTCTGTTTATATACACTTTGGCCTGTGATCTGAAGAGCATTCCTGAAATCTCCTGTTCCGTTGCCATCCTATCACAGGTCAGCGAGAGCAATGGTGTTGAGGTAAGTGGCGCAGTTGATGAAACGTCTAGCGTCTTAGGTGGTTTGCCACACAGTGGCTATCTTGAGACCCTGTCAACAGGATCGAAGCAACACAGTTCTCGACCCAGCCGAACAGGATGCAAATGGATCTTATTGTGCGCCTACATTTTGTTGGCCTGCGTTGCCCTCTTTTCGTATTCCTACGCTCTTCTATCCCTATCCAACAGCGATGAATACTGTTCCCAGCGTCTCTCTGCTTACTGTATGTATACTCAATGGAAAGAAAGCGAAATGGCTTGGTAACCGGTCTAGCTCCGGCACTCAAGTCGCTTGGTGTTTGCCGAGACGTCATGTTTCCTGGCGAGTTGTTCAATGACATGCTCCGGATAAGCCTTCAATGCACCACCGACCTCACTTTGATAACTTTCAATGTCTCAACACCTGAATTTCCAAAGGCAGACTATATACCTGACTTCTACACAAACCACAGATGCAGATACTCTGAACCGACGCTTGCTTAGTATTATGAGCGCCGAATTCCGTTTGAATAACGAAGTATTGTCGACATATTTATTACTTTTGTACGGAAAAGGATGTCTTTTGAGATGTTTCTGTCTAGGAACCCAGCACCTATAGGTATGGCTCACAGATAACAAACTGAGACACAAAGGTTATTTAGCTTTTGCAACCTAATGACTGGCCTCCTGTGCAACAATCGAACCAAATACTCCAATATTTTACTTCGGCTCGGTAAAAGCAACAATGCTCTCATACTCAGGGTATTTAGTGAGATGTTATCACTTGCGGCAGAATATGAAACTCTCTTAATTAAGCGAGTTCAAGAACAAGTCGGAAACTAGTTCTTGGTGCTGTTCATAGATCATTGGGACCAGGACGATGAGTGACAGAAACCCCAGAGCGAACACGAGGGTTGGATGTCAAAGCCTGGTAGTACCAACGCTCGAATTATTCAGCTCCAAACTTCCTAAAATCCGAAGTGAATCCCATATTTAAAATATACTAATGCGAAGGTAGCGAGAACATGGTGGCAATAGTTTATTCAATACAACGAGAACAAAGTTTGTTGTTGCGACTGTAACTTAATAAGGTTAAATTTAGAAAACTAATCTACCTTGCCTCCTTAGCTGATGTCCACCAGAGATGTAGACGATATAGACTATAAAGCGCTTTATCTGAACTATCAAGTCAGAGCCGTCCAGGAGCTACTCTGAGAGTCAATGAGCAATTTAAAACGAAAAGCAGAGACTAGGAACTCACAACGGAATAACCAGCCACGCACCATTTATTGTCTTCCGTATGGCCGCAAACATTGAATACCATCACCATAAATTCACCAGGCAACTCAATATCCGACCTAATGATTCCCAACCTAAATTTAATCGAAGCACCCATTCTGGCAGTTGCGCAAACGATGAGCCTCTGTATACACTGAAAGAAATATTGTCAATCCCAGAAGAAGCCATCGTCAACGAGGCAGCTTGTCCCTGTCGGACTTCTATCAACACCTCTACCGAAACCGTGATGTCGGAGACTTCTCCAATTGGCGCTTTGAAACAGTCCAGGCTGTCTCGGTGTTGGCGGGTCATAAAGCGCAAGCTACCACTGAGGCAAAAACATGTGATTACCAATTAGTGGCCGGGTTGTCAAATTATTAGCCTTGGAAAAACGAAAGGTTAAAGAACAACCCCGACGGGTTCTTCAGCTTCCACTACTTTTGAGTCTGTTCTGCTTCCTGAATAAGCCTTTTCAAAGTGGCAGCGCTCTTGAGCAAAAGGTCCCTTTCTTCTTGATTCAGCGGTATATTGAGGGATCTGACTATTCCCCGTCGTCCAAGTACCACCGGTAAGCTCAGGCAACATCCCAAATCATCAACCCAGTGGGAGATCGGACGGACATTTCGTTGGTCAAATAGAATCGACTTGCAGATGGCAGCACTAAGGGCACCAATGCCGTAGGCTGTTGCACCTTTGGCCTCGATAATCTTTGCGGCTTTGTCTTTTGTTTCCATCGCAACAGCTTTGCGGTCAATGGGCGTACCTGGAGGTAGACATTGATCCAGCGGCACAGCACCGATGGTGACGCAAGACCAAGCAACCTACGCTCGCCGTCAGTAACATGATTTCAATCCACTCTTTGCTCCTTGGTGTCCTACCACTTGCGATTCCCCGTGTTCGCCAAGGACATAGGCGTCCACACTGCCAGCGTCAACCCCAACTTTTGCTGCCAAAATGCCTCTCAGTCTTGCACTGTCGAGGAAGGTTCCACTTCCGATAATCTGGCCTTGAGGTAGCCCGGAGAACTTCTGACAGAAGTAGGTCAATACGTCCACCGGATTTGCTACGAGCAGGATGACGATGTCATCCCGGAATGGCTTCATATCATCAGTGGCAGACTTGAGAATGGCCAGGTTACGGCCTAGCAAATCGGTCCTTGATTCACCTTGAAAGAATCAGTTTAGCAAACTATCGCGGCGCGAAGCCGAGTTGCGAACTCACCATGCCTCTGTTTTGCGCCGGCACTGATAACAACGATATCGCATTGGCCAGCCTCTTTGTGTGTTGCTGATCGGATTCTTACTCCACCACCGCTGCAGCTAAATTAGTCAACCGCCAGGATACAAGTCAGTACAACAGACCCAACGGCACCATGGTAAGTAGTGGTATCTTCGAGATCTTTGACTTGTGCGTCTCGTTGGTCGGTGTTTGGGTCCACTAGAAGGATCTCGCTGGCAACAGGATTCAGAATAAGGCAGAGGGCTATCGCTGAGCCCACGCTTCCCGCACCAAGAATAGCAATTCGAGATCTATCCGTGGCCACTTCGGGGTCCATTCGTGAGGGTTCCATCTGGGCGGATATGATTAAATTCGTAAAAGATCTTGTGAGACGATGATTGAGTTTATGAAGCAAAGCAGAGCAGTGGGAAATTGATGAAACAAGGCTGGAGAAATAATGACTTCAAAACCCCAACTTCAAGGTGGTTTAGCACTTGGGAAGTGGGATGATTTCGTTACCCGGCTTGCTAATTCATGAACCGACCTATGACATCCCTCCAATGCTCGAGCTGTGTTTCACGGGGCTTCTTCCTCCAATCGTAGCCATCTTGCGACGAGGGGAGATCACCTATGTACTTGTAAGATAACGATGGCGCCTGCGGGAATATTGTCCGGAACTCCGCTGCATGATTCATGCCATCCCGCTCATTGGCTCTTCCACACAGACACGCAGCTTGTCTGCCGCAGGCTGCTTAATAACACAAAAGAATCCATGCTAAACTGAACATATAAGTTCAAGGGTCTCAACGACATTGAAAGATACAGGGTGCTATGCTGAAGGTAAGAGAGAGCCTTTATCCTCTTCGGCAAAAATGCAAAGTCTCGGGTCTTGAACGTAGGTGCTCTGCTCTAACAAGCTCCTGTTGAAGCTGATATACTTATTCTCGAGATTAGCTCTCCCGTCCAGGGTCATCTCCATCTCCCTCGCGTGAATACGACAACTCCCTTGTTGCAGACTTGGGCATCATTTCTGATGCCTCAACGCCAGGCAAATAATCTTATCATCGACTTCCTCAGCTACATTTGCTTTATCGGCGGTAATTGTGTCCCGCACCCGCTGCAAAACTTGTCACCGACCTTGCACTGATTCCCGCAATTGGAACAGAACAATACATCGATCCCCCCATACGCAGGCAGACTGCCTCCTGGCTGTTGGGCATATTGTTGTTCAGCTTTTGCTCTTGCCTTTTCTCTTTCTTCAAGCTCGACCTCCATCTTAATGCGTTCTTTCTCCCTTTGTAATTCCTTTTCTTGCCTTTTATCCTCCTCCTCTCGTCGCCTCTCTTCCTCCCTCCTCTGAGCCTCCTGTGCAGCCTGTCGCCGTTGAAACTCGTACTCCATTGCCTGCTGGCGTTCCACCTCGACCTGCATCCCACGCCTTGCACCTGCCCTTGAAACTCCATAAATAGCTGCTGCGCCTAGAAGAGGGCTTCGCCTGAACATTTTCTACTGGGTCGACCTGATGGAGATATCTTTGGTCAGTAGATCGAAGTTCGGTGGAAGAAATGGGTGCAACAAACCTTTCCTGTAGAAGTTCACCAGAGTTCACCAAGTGAATCGCTGCTAGGGGCTAAAGATCGATGGGATGTTTGATGCAATTTGATGGGTGACCGATCGTATGTGCGAAAACCCGAAGTCGGTACTTTTTCGAAGAAGCTGTAGCGAGATTAAAAGGTAGAAATATTGTGAGACGTTCAAGAACTTAGATGTGAGTCGAGGCTCACTGATATCTTTTTCATCCTTCACAGAATTCGTTTCACTTTCAGCTGACCAAAATAAGTTCATTCGAGCGAGCTGATTTTTAAGCCGTGATCAATACCGGTGGCATGATGCAAAGTTTGTGAACTTTCTTGGTATACCCGCGAAGTCGTGAGCCATGAGCTTTTTAGTGGAATGATGGCTGTCCGAGTTGGAGCGTAAGGTTAAGTAGGGGAGGCAAGGAATCACCTGGAGGGTATGGGGTTGCGATGTTCGTTTCGCCAGACCCCCACTACGTGTCCTGATAGGATAGAGGGAAAGAACTTAGTTTGAATAGAATTTCGGGTCATTTGACAACAAACCAAGGTTTCTGTACTAGACGGTTTGCCCCAGTGTGGTTGACCTGTCAAAATTATTCCCCTTTGGTGGGATGATAGAGGTTTCTTGCACGTACACGCAGCGCCAGAATGCTCAGAGCAAGATGATGACGATATACCTGGGACATTGAGAATTTGCGACGAGCAACATCACTAAATCGACCAGCCTTGCAGCCGACCATAAACTATCCCTTCAGACAATGGGAAGAGTCCACAAAGCGTTGCAAAGAATGAGCCTGCGAACCTCTTATTTTGGGTAGAAGGTTTGATGCACAAAGCAGCAACTTTTCAGTCGGGTAAAGGTGAGGTGCCCGAGCCCCTTGCCCTATGGCTGCCTCGATGAACCCTCTCCAGCCATCGCCCCAACTAGAACTAGCAAACAATAGATTCACATGCCGTCCTGGAACTGTTCAGATATTCGGAGGGGAATCCCTTTGGAAACATGCACCAAGATCCTCGTGAGCATGGATTCTCAACTCAGTCATGGAACAAGATTCTTTCGATCCCAATATCGTCCCGAAGATGTAGAAAGGCTTCCTGGATTTTCCCGACGTTTTCCCCATCGTGTAGAATCTCCGTTAAAGATCCGAAGGCGACAACGTGAGTGTGTTACCTGAGGTTGTCTCGTCACCGGGTACATAGAAGGTCGTTATACGGACAGGAACATCCCAACCAAGCCCGCAGTCCACTGCCACTTTTGTTCAAAGTAGACTTTGATATGAAGTCGAATATGGCCCGTTCAAATGGCGTTGGATTTCGCAGGCGAGTGCCCAGGGGAAACTCATTCGTCTTGATCACGTTCAATGGAACGGTCGAGACAACCTGTACGATACCCAAAGCGGTGCAGTCACTTTTGGATGTGACTGATACCCTGGCTTGTCGTTGATCTTCTCGACCAGGTGAGAAAGCAATATCTTCAAGTTTCCCGACCGTAGATCGTCCTCCAATATATATTTGTCAAATGTTGGCGTGCCATGCGTCAGCTTGTACGTATCTGTCTGGCCCTTGCAGAGCATCCGCCAACGCAACATATTCAAAATTCCTGTTTTCTCAATGGTCCCTTTGCTGCAGAGACGGAGATATGATTTGAGAGCGCTGATCCCCAAGTCTGCCAACCTGTCCTTGATCTGTGCAACGCGTTCGAATGCAGTCACTCTGTCTGATTGACTTCTCTATTGTGGAATGGCGAGACTGGGTAAGGTATGAATTCACGACCCATTTTCCCGTCAAAGTTGAAATATCTCCAACCCTGCGCTTTTGACACATTAGAATCTTGTACATCGCAGCTAACTTCTCTATCAAATCATCTCGGGCTCACTTCGTATTTGACGTTAGATTTGGCAGCTCCTCTAGACAAGCCAAAGGAGACATTCAACTGGCTCCCGGTACCAGGCGGCGCCTATTTCATAGGGGAAGCCGGTTCGTCGATTAACCAATGCCACCTCGGGCAACCGGCCAAGGCACTTTGTCGCCCTGTCATATAGACGTTTAGTGATGCTGCATCCCGGGAGATAGACGCCAGCTTCTCACCCCTCCGAGCCAAATCTCGTGAAGCGATTAGTTGGATAAATCCAGCACCGATCACAATAACATCACGATTTAAACGCGGCGTTGACTAGTTCGAGAGAATGTTCACTCCTTCGCAAGGTGTCCGCTCCTTAATCCGGTCGCCAGGTCCACGTATATCTTAATCTGGAGCTCATTGTCGACTGAATTATAGTCGCTGTCACAAGAAGTCATGGACCAGGAATGTAGGATTGATAACCCTAAACAGAGGTGGTCAGATGCCTCCGCCATGTTTTCTACTAGTACTTATAGTTCCTGTAGCTTGATATACAAGCCTTGAACACAGCAATATTATAGACCTTACGAGACCATACAAGAAGCATGTTTCACTTCAGGTTTTGTTCTGAGATCTGCTAAACCTTGCAGGTAGAATTCGCCCTAACTTTCTTCAGCTGTGATATCGCGATGCCTGTAGAGTGTTCCCATTGCTTCCGTCGCACTTCAAGGCTCGTTAGTGGACGATACCACGTGGAGATGTGATTACCCTTAGTGCTCGCATGGAACTATGACCAAGCTCACCTTTTCCGCTGTAGTTCAATCAGTCTTGATTTCGAGGACTTCGTTTAATGACCGGAACAGAGCGGGGAAGTTGGGAGCAACGTGGATTCGCCAAGAAAAAATTAGGGTTGGTGACATTTACATTCTTGCTATTTGCGAATGAGTAACCTTTCGCCATGCTACTCCCCCAAGTCCCGGAACAGAACGGGGCCAAGACAAATGGTGCGCAAAATGTGTCAAGGTTTTCTAAAAGGATGGCTGTGGCTATCGTGCTCGTGTCTGGGACCTGGTAACAAGATTTTCTGGTCTTCGGCAACGGCCTTTTCCTTTTTTTTTTCTTTTAAATGCTCGGTAATGGGCTATTCCGCGCGTTGGTGTGGGCAACAGGGAGGGACCATAAGAAAAACGTTTGATACTGAACAGTGTGAAAGCACCTCTGTCCATCGTTCTGAGTGGCGACTGACAAGAGAAAATACAGAGTATTCCTTCAGCATAGAAAGGGGCGAAATCTTGCTAGAGGTGCCGTAAATTGCGAGATTCTTGTCACTCCTGTAATCTCCATACGCCTCTAGGTCATCGCAAACCGCTTTGAAGGTAAAGACGGAGCCCAACAGAGAGATTGTCAAATAATAAAAACAGGCATAACCTCTGGTAAGATCTCTGTCCACCTTCTTTCCGATTGGACCTTCCAAAACTCCTGCAAAGCGGCGAGCGCGGTCGGAATATTATGGAATCTGGTGCGTGAGAATACCTCCTGCAACCGCATCGTGAAGAAGTCGCGGTGTTTCAGTGTCGAACTCTCTGCCGCAGCAATGAAGTACACCCATACGAGCGTATGATGTCCTGGGGTAGCAGGATGGATTTGTTCGCAAAGCTTTTTGAGGCGCTCGAGGTCCGTGACGGTCTCACAATGAGGTGGACCGCTTGTGACACGTTTCAGGTAGATGTTGCATGCCATATGGATGGCGGACTTGTACATTCCTATTTGAGGCGCAAGCTTGGGGTGGAAAATGGCTGCGTTGGATATGAAGTCAAAGTAGGCAGCAGGTCGGGCGCTCAGAGTCAGAGTGCCGGAGCTCTCTCCTAAGAGAGGTTGGGCGAAGAGCGTCATCATGCGAGTCTGCTCCGTTAGGAACGCGTGCATCACGCTGTCGCGACCATCTCTTGTGTTCGCATCGGCGAGATACTGAAGAATCTTGAATAAGTAGGGGAGGTTGGTACCGCCCGTGATTGTTTCGCCTGTCAACAGGATAATTATCGTGGTCCAAGCGGCGATGTCGACGAGATCGGCTTGAGTGGATGTGCGCAAGCGGAGCTCAGATATTAGGGATTGGAATCCGGCTTCAGCGCGATATTGCAACTCCGGTCGTTGGTAAGCGAGGTGATACATAGCGACGACACATACTGCAGATCTAACAAGCTGATCTTCAAAGGCAAGTGGAAGTATAAGATCACGGTAACCGTTGAATTTGCCGTCCATGACCACCATCACTGGCGCAATCGTTGAAGAAAAGTGTGCGAACAATTCTCGGTATTGTGGGCCGATAAGCTGGAGGGAGGTTGGGATATCACTACTGCACGCCCCGTCATCATGGATCGAGCCACGCGCGGGACAGACCGTAGGGCCGACCATCAAGACTGTTGACTCTGCGGCGAATAATTCCGTCAACGGAAGATGCTCCCCTTCATCTGTAAGGACATGGGTAAAGATGCCGTCGGAAAGCATTTCTGTGTGGTCAAAGTCCCAGGGTACGGACGCTGAACCGCATGATTCGAGAGTCGAAGTTGTCGTCCCATCTGGCCATAACAAGACAGTTGCTGCTGGCGGCCCCTGTCGTCTTTGCGCAAAGGAGGGCTTGTCGATCGGGACTGTTCGGCCAGTGAATTTACCACGAGAAGCTATACCATCGTTGAACCTGTACCTGATCCCGTAGCCAGGACATTCAAGGCCCTTACGCAGGCACTTGTTACATTTTGGACGCGTCTGATCACATTTGATGCGTCGCTGCGAGCAGTTGTGGCATCCTATCTCCTTTGTCAGCTTGTAAAATCGATTCAGAAAAGCGTTGGAGACTCACCGACTAGCTCTCTCGGCATGTTATCTATGCGCATCAAACAACATCACAATTTCTCGATGAAGCCGCATATCGAGGCTGAATCTTATGTGCTACGGCCGGTAAGAGATCAAATTACATATGTGAAAACGAAGAGAACCTTGAAGGGCGAGGAGGGCTAAATCCGCTCGAAGTCATAATTGAGTCCAAAAACTTCCTTGGCCAAGATTTCTTGGCAATCACATGGCATGCTGGGCTCAGCCTAGTGGACTCATCAGCCTCCACCAGCCACCAGCCACCACTGCCCCGCCATGCCAATTAGCTCTCTGGTTAACAATTTCTCTTAGTCTTTGTATTGCGAATATAGGAGGTCCTGGATGATTCAAGATCGAGAATCTTAAGGATGCTGGCAGAATCCATTCCCCCCCCTCCCCGTGGGATCTTAATCAAATCTTCAGGGCATTTGCGTCTCTCCATTACAGACGGCTTGTTCTCAAAATGGGCATCAACTCTTGACGGACAGTCAACGCGGCCTCGGTTCCGGATTGAATGGCGCCATCAATGAAGCTCCGCCATCCTCCAGCAGCCCAATCCGAGTTGGCAAACAGGACGGGCCCTTGACGCTTCCTGAGAGCCTCGAGATATTGCACCTCCATACCCGGCCTGTACCATACCCTACACTGTGTTAGATCTGGTCATTCAAGTTCAAGGTGAATCTTTCAAGGTGAATATCCTTACCATGCTCCTTTGGCGAATTCATCCTTGGACCAATTGTGGAATACCTGAACGTACATGGGTTAGCCTCTTGTTGTCACGCCTCTGTAGTGCTTTCGCACTCACCAACCGGTCAATTTCCATGGGGGCAAACTCTTGGATCGCTTGAAGAGTCTGATCAATGTCCTCATCTGCATGCATGTGATTTGCATCACATCCGAAAAAGACGCAATGAGTCTTTCCGGCAGGCGTTGTGCCATCCGCCACCCCAATGACAAGTTTATTATCAGGGTAGGTGACGCCACTCCAAGACCTCATTTCTGGATCTCTAATCTCTGCGTGGACCTTGACGCATTGATTGACATGCTTCAAGCTGGCAGCCTCGCGTTTGGCGCGGTCCAAAGGTGGGTTGAACTCGATCTCCTCTAGTACATTCAGCGGTGCTGTGCATATAACCTTTTTAGCAGAGAAATATTGGCCGTCTTTCGTTCGCATTTGTACCAGTCCCTTTGAAGAGTCGATGTGAGCAACAGGGTTGCTGAAAGAGTATGACAGATTCCCGCTCGCCAGCGCCTCCTCGAAAAAGCGCTTTGCAAAGCCAGATTGGCCGCATTTGAGCTTGAAAACAATAATAGTGTCCAGTAGCGTTTTGTAGTCGTAATTCGCTGCTGCCCACCATCGGAGAAAATCAAGAAATGCTGAATTTTCTGTCGTTCCGCCACTACAAAGAAGCACAAAGGCTTCAACAGCATGCCGCTCGTCGCTGGAAAGGTCATGGCTGATTTGGGCAATTCTGTCTGCCACAGACAGATTTGCATATTTGAACACATCTTCGTTCGAGTATGCACTGAAGGGAAATGGCATCACAGTCTTTCCGAAGTCACCATCGACGTTGACGAATTTCCCAACGGCTCGAGCGAATAGTTCATCCTCGAGATGGTCAGTTAAGAAGACCAGATAATGCTTCAATTCACTTACCTCTTCTTCGTGACTCATGTTCCTAGCACCAGCTGAAGTTCTGAGAGTGAAGAAGTTGTGCTTTTTGGTGTAGTCAGTGGAATGGACAAGATGGTCTTTCATACCATATCTCGACAACTCGCGATACACATGTGGCTGGAACCAGTGTACCCATGTGCCTCCCATTTCGTAAGGATACCCATCAATCTCGGAAGACCAGGTTCGGCCGCCAATTCTATCTCGTCCTTCCAGCAACAGTGTCTTCAAGCCTTTATTTTTTGTCAGCCTAATCACAATCCAATGTAACAGGCCATTTCAGCCAAACTGACCAGTGGTTGATGTATCTCTAGCTGCTGTAAGCCCTGTATAACCTGCGCCGATGACAATAACGTCAAATATGTCTTTGGAATTTCGAATCAGCTGCGACGGCTCTATCACTGCGATGGACGGGATGCCAGCTTGGAGGCCGGTATCCGGTGTCCAATGCCAACCCTCTCGGGACTTGTGCATATTTTCTGCCTGCTTATGATGGTAGTATAGTCTTGAAAGTACTGTCGCTCAAGGGTGGAAAAGGTCATTTTGAACCATTGGCAATAGGTCGAGTCTTGGAAATATATAGGGTTCCGAGGCAGAGAAGTAAAATTCCAGCGTGTATCTTCCCTATCAAATTAGGCAACAGAAAAGAGATTCCTCTAAATGAACTAAAATGTGCACTTTAGATAACGTTTAAACGTCTTTGAACCCTTCCTTGGTTTAGACTGTGTGGCAAATAACAAGAAAGTTTCGTCCGAGCTTCCTCTTCCGAGATATAAAGTTTGGCTCGATGGATGTTCAACCGCGCTTGTCTAAGATAGTTAGACCGCTCACTTAACATTCCTTTTTTGGACGCGAGAGTCTGGGGTGCAGCGGTTTGTGGGGCAAACGGGGTCACGGGCATATTCCGCTGCTTTCCACGACTGTATTTGGGACCTTGTCTACAGATCTATTAAAGAGTCCGAAGCCCACGAGTCTTGATGTGGACATAATCAACACTGTCCCATTCACTGCCGTCTGTGCTTCTGCTCGACTGCTAATAATAAGAGATCTGCGAAGATGGGCCCTATTGAGAAAGAGAAGACTGAGACCCATGCTTATAGAACAGAGCCCTTGAATCGGCTTGAACAAGGTATGCACACTATTTCTACTCTCCTGCTCTTCTTTCGGTCATGTTGTCCGCGCAATTAGTCGGGACACTGCACGGCCGGGCTAACAGGGTGCTTGTGCAATGGCAGTTGAGACCCAGCGTCAAGGCACCTTCCGAACAGTCGAGCTCTCCACTTTAGGTCTTCGACAAGAGACTCAGAGGGACATCGGACCTCTCGATACTATCTGCGTTGGCTGGAACATCTGCAACAGCTGGGCCGGAGTGGCAGCGACCTTGGCTTTAACAATCGCCCAAGGTGGTTCGGTAACGCTCATTTATGGCGTTGTCGTCTGCTTCATAATGGTTGGATGCAGTGGATTAACCATGGGAGAACTCGCTTCGGTCTACCCAACCGCCGGAGGGCAGTAAGTTTCATCTCCGTCCTCTTCTACGCGAGGATGCTTACAACTTATTGAAGATATCACTGGACGTCTGTATTAGCTCCTCCAAAGGGTAGCCGTATCTTGGTATGTTATCAACTCTTTGACGGTTCCCAAGGTCACCTTTGCTAATTGCAGAGATAGAGTTATGCCTGTGGTCTTACCAACGCTTACGCCTGGATTGCCACCACGGCGGGGATCGCTATTATCATACCCCAAGTCATACTCGCTATGGTCATCCATTATCAACCTGATTACGTACCCCAGACATGGCACTATTTTCTCCTCTATCAAGGTGTCAATTTCCTGGTTTGCGCGCATAACATCTTTACGTTGAAGAAGACTATGTGGATCAATGATGTCTCATGCAAGTACAGTATCCGCAGTCTACTACCATTGAGCTAACTTTCGGGACAGTCGTCATTACTTTGACAGGCTTCGTTACGATAATCATTACCTGTCTTGCCCGTGCCCCCACAAAACAGACCAGCGAGTTTGTATGGATGAATTTTGTCAACGAAAGCGGGTGGCCTGCGGGCATCAGCTTCCTCACTGGCTTGGTGTCACCTAACTACATGTATGCAGGGATTGACGGCGCGATCCATCTTGCTGAAGAGTGCAAACAGGCGGAGAAAGTTGTGCCAAGAGCCCTGGTCAGCACGCTAACAATTGGATTCATCACAAGCTTCATGTTCGCTGTCTCAATGACATACTGCATTACTGACTTCGACGCTGTACTTGGCACACCTACAGGGTATACCAGCGATCATGGCCGCATCTGCATGAAACGATTTGCTAATAGAGAATAGGTTTCCGATCTATGAGATCTGGCTACAAGCGACGCGATCCAGCACTGCAGCTACAGTCTTCATGGCAATCCTTCTTACCGCGGCTACAGTAGCCCTCATTGCTGTTCAACAGACCGCTTCACGCCTGACGTGGTCCCTCGCACGAGATAAAGCTCTAGTTTTGTCCAAATTCATCGGTCATATCCATCCATCACTGCAAGTCCCAGTGTGGGCGCTCCTTGCCAACAATGCTATTGTCTTTATCATCGGCTTCATTTTTCTCGCCTCTTCGACTGCCTTCAATGCCTTCATCGGCACAGGTCTTATCCTGCAACAAGTGACGTACGCCATTCCTGCCGCTCTGCTGATATATCGGAGGCGCTCCTCAATGTACCTGCCTCTCAACAGGCCATTTAAGCTGGTCAGCCCCTTGGGATGGATAGTCAACTCGTTTACTGTGGTTTTTGCGATTGTAGTCTTGATCTTCTACGACTTTCCTGTCGTTGTCCCTGTGAGCGGGTCGAACATGAGTAAGTCTTCCCCGAGCGTTCAGCTCACTACTCGTCACTTATCAACTAACTCAGTGTAGACTATACGTCTGCAGTGATCGGGGTCATGGCGTTGTTCGCCGCCCTTAACTGGGTCCTACATGCACGGAGGTCATACCATGGCCCAAGACTAGATTAGGGGAAAATACGAGTTGCACCCCGGATGACAGTGCTGTATCCCTTGAAATGAGACTTGAAAATGCTCAGGAACCGTTGCCAGACAGTGCGGTATATATCCTCCAGTTCCACAATATATCAGCTTCAAAATTTCGGAGTTTCTTGAAATGAACCTTGTGCATTGAGTTCCCCTTTCTCGCGCGATGAGAGAATCTCTATCGATGATTACAGCCGTGGTGAATCGAGTATTCTTCATCTTCAAGCATGAAGGTCCACAATATTCTATGGGCGAGCGTGCATTAATTATACTGCCAGCTTTTTATGATGCATTTGAGCAGACATCATGGTTATTTTGTTTAGAAGGCCGAAAACCTCTGTCCTGAGTCGGCTCGCTGGGCTCACCGCATATCGGTGCATAGGTGTTGCAACCAGGCTGATAAATCTCCGATGACGCAATATTTCACTGCATCCGTTTCAGTCCAGCAGGCCTTCTCACCTTGCCTAGTCTGTACGCTAGTTACCAGAACAGCCGTATCTTGCACCGCTATGCCCTCATTTCCTCTCAATATCCAATGCTCAGTGAGGTGCTTTCTGTTTTCTGCCGTCTCATAAACCGGGGCATATTCCCTACTTGGGCACGGTCGAGACGCCTCAAGAAGCATAAGGGACGAAGCTATTCAATTGGAAAGCCGAGTAAAGGGGCAAAATGAAGCAGATAGGAACAAGCCTGCTGCGCAAGAGGAGCAGTTCCACGTTCTTCAAACTTCGAACCCACAGAACGACAAGTGCGAAGGATACTCCAGACCACGTAGAGCTGACGACACAACTGCGCCATTAGCAACAGATACTGAAACCTTCTGTTCGATGCTGTGGATATATGCATGCTGCATGCAATGAAGCTGTGGTGATGCCGTATGTCTTTGAGCTGATCCATACGCACTCGATACCTATCCGTTCATCAGGCCTAACTCCAATTCGTCTATCCAGCTTCCAAAAGGGTCCAGGTCACCGAAAAAGGAATTGTTCTGGCTTGTAAGCAGAGAGTTGGCGTCCTCAGCATTAAGGTCTTGCAGGTGAGATGATTGAACGCGATCAAGGATATTAACGGAGCTTTTCTGACCATGTATTAGGCCAGTTGATCTTGAATGAACTGATAGTTGTAGGGAGAGGGCCTCCTCAATAGGGGTTTCCCCGTCTAGAAGCTGGTACTGTTTGCATAGCTCTGGGCCAAAATCCTCAACGTATGGCGCAAACTTTGCGAAATCTCGGTCAGGTGCATCTCCGAGGCTCGGGGTCTGCAGGGTGAGCCTCTTCATCTCGGCTAATGCAGCCAACGCACCCTCTGCTGAGCCCCATCTCTTCTTCAACTTCGTCAAAGATGATTGAATGATAGACAGCGATTCTTCAGCAGTCTCAACGAGAGAATTATACCGCAATGCCAGCATTTGTGCGAGGCCAGCTGCAAAGGCGTAAAATGTGAACACTGGTCCACAATGACAGAGCTCATCCCTGTTTAGGAGATCTTCGAATATTCCTGCCACGAAGGAGGATGCAACGAACGACATACTCATGGATTGCTTCCGTGCAGCCGAATGTCGAGACAGGATAAACAGAAGTACAAAATAGGGGACCAGGAGTTGTCTCCCCTCGAAATTATAGGGCCTTATCCGTTTTGGCGACCCATGAAAGAGATGGAATTCTGTTGGCAAATCTTTGATCCAGCGATAAAGGGCATTTTCCAAATTGGTCTGTGTCTTCATTGTCATAGTCTTCCGCCGGATATGTTCTGTTAAGTCTGCCAGGAGGCGAATGATGCCAGAGAATGCGACGAATAACCGCGATTTGGTATCTTGGACTGGAAAATCATCGGCTGTCAGAGCAACAACATCACTATCGTCAAGATTAATCGTCCTTGGCCTCCCTGTCCCTATAGAAATAATGTCATCGCGGCACTGTCACTAGTCAGTAAGCCGTCAAGATCATACTGGTAATGAGAGCAATTACCACAATTGACCACCACAACCTACGTCGGAGACTCTTATTTTTTTGCGCAACAGGGTCCTTGTGTAACCCAATTTGGTACGCCAATCCAACCGCAATCCGGATCCAGAACCCACTTGTACTGGTAGAAATGTGCTCGGGACCGGTGGGATTATACCACTGGAGCAATGTGACAGCGATTATGGAGCTAATCGCGTCTGTCTCATGGCCCAAGATAAACAGCAACCTGCTTTTGCGATAGAAATCCTCAGCCGAAGCCGACAGAATATTGCTTGATGCAACACGGCTGCCGGCGAGGAGTACGGCGTTGAGCAATAGAGGAGACGATCCGTTGCTCAGAAGTGCTTCCACATCTGGGGGTTCCAGGATAGGTGTCCATGGCGAGCAGTACTTGAAGTAGCTATCGATCAGACTTGCTAGGATCGACCTTTGCGGTAACTCGAACGCATTCTGTAGTTGAAGCAGCTCCAAGTCACTCTGAGACAACCGCGAAGTATCACTCCGAATATGCACCATTTCCTCGCGAAATATGATGTCGTGATTCCCAATATAGTCGCTTCTGCCTACATGGGTTTCTGTAGCTGCCACATATTCAGGCGACTCTATGGCTTCTCTCTGCGATATCTGTCCGAAATTTTCTGATACTGTCTCGATATCCGCGCTTTCCCACAGTCTCACACTCTGATGTGCCGATGCCTGAGTTCGGTTCTCTAACAGAGCAACTGGGTGAAAACTCTGCACCCCAGTCAGCACCGATTCTTCGTCACCCTTAAGGTAGCCGGAAGCCTCCTCGATTTGTACGCTCGTATGGCTTGTTGATAGGTATCGTGGGCGCTTTCTTTCATGTGGCTTGCATAGAAGCCCCCCTAACCTGCAATTGGTACATGGTTGATGGTGTGAACTGAGATCACATTTGATCTGTACGGTTCGTATCACTTCTCTGGATTTGACACTTTCGGGCATTCGGTACCTTTCTTCGATGGCATGTACCACATGCTTTCCTTGTCCTGCTTGGTGCTAACATTTGTGTCGCGTCTACCGGACAGAGTACGGGGGTTGCTCTCAAAAATGTTGAAATCGCCGAGCCGAGAAATACGAAACCCTTTAATGCAACTGAAGATACCTCCGACCAATTGTGGGGTTTCGGATTACGTGCCGAGACACGAAGGTCTGTAAAGACCCTTCTAAGCTTCATTGTGCCAATAGAACCCTAGCCCTCATGCGGCGGAAGCCAAGTGAAATGACCGCTAGATCCCCGCATCCCGAGAAAAAATTGTAAACCAAACCCCCTCTTTTAATACCTTTCAGAGATCGACCCCGTCGGGAAACCAGAGTTCGATGGCTACACGCGCCAATTTACCGCGAGCGGTGTAGCTGAAGCTTGTCCTTCACAAGAAATCTCATTAGGTAAGTGTCAAAGCTCTTTCCAGATGGATTTATGCTGTTCGGGCTTGAAAAATAAACTGATGGATGATTTCCTGAAAAATCGATCTCAAATTGAGCAGGAAGGTTTGTACTTATGGAGATGTAGCTTTCCCAAAGTATCTATATCGACTCAAAGTAACGCTGGCGATCCTGGCAATTTCTCTGGGCCTCTGTTGTCGATGGCTTGACTGCAAAAGCAGACTATGACACCAACATGGTGAAGGTTACTGTATCAATAAACAACGGTGAAGAAAGATAAGATCTGCCAATCATAGTCATTGTGTAAAAAACAGCACGACAAAGTCTGTGAACGATCTCATAACCTCGCGCGGACTCCCGGCTCGAGATGGTAAAAATGCCTGAAAGTCTCCAGGCAACCTGGATTTATCACGGTAGAGCTGGTCGTCCGTGGCAATTTCCCAGTTGAAATGACCTTTTTGACAAGCGTCTCGACTTTCTTCCCATTGGATGTCATCGGAATTTCCCTCACTTCAACCACAAAGCGCGGAACATGTCTTGAGCTAAGGGACTGGCGGATGGTGTCTTTCAGTAGCTTTTCCAAATCGCTGGTGAAAGGGTGCCCAGGACGCATGACGACAAAGAGGAAGACAGACTCGTCAAAGTCAAGCCCTCGCCTCTTTCGACCCACGCAGAGAGAGGTGGTAATCATGGTCAAGAATGGTGCAGCTTCTGTGATAGAATAGATTTCTGCGGAGCCGAATCGTATGCCTTGAGGGTTAAGAACCCCGTCGCTATTGGAGTTAGTTTTGATCCCTTCGGAGAGCACGACAACGCACCTTCTTCCGTGTACTATCCACCCCTTCGTGACAGGATTGACACTTGCCCAATCATGCTGCGCCCAACATGGGAACGAGTATCGACTGAAATACGATGCTCGGTACTTTTCGCCTTGTGAGTCTCCCCACAAGTAGACGGGCATCGAGGGGAACGGCTTTCGGCACACAAACTCTCCTGCTTCGCCAGTGTCTTTGATGGAATGGCCATCAACAGGATCTGCTATATCCACATCGTGTCCGAGAATGGGCATTTGGATTTCTCCCGCGAAAAGTGGTCCAGCAGGGTCCGTCCCACACCAGGAGGTCACCAAGTCAGTTCCTCCAGTTACGCTCGTAAGATGCACTTTTGAGGGAAACACCTTATAGAACCAGTGATACTGATCTGATGCTAGATGAGATCCTCCAGTTTGCACCATTCGGAGACTCGAAAGATCATATTCTGCCATGGGCGTGCAACCTGTTGATTCTAGCTCTTTGAGATATTTCGGAGAGGCCCCCCAGTAGTTCACCTTGAACTTTTCGACAATACTCAGCATGGTTTGAGGTTCTGGCCAGGTGGGGGACCCGTCGTATAAGATGAGGGTAGTCCCCATGGCCAAGTGGCCAACCATAATGTTCCAGAGGACCCAAGATGTGCTCGAATATTGAAAGACAACTTCGCCCGGCTTAAGTGAGTTATGAAGCTTTCCAATCTTTTTGTGTTGTATTATTGCAGCGTGGCTGTGAACAAGGCATTTCGGCTGACCAGAGGTTCCGCTGGAGTATAGAATGTATAGAGGTGATGTGAAAGGGAGCCTGGCGAACTCTAGGCCGTCTGTGTCATTCGACCTTTTAAGGAAGGCCGACAGGGGCGGGAAAGCTTCCGGAGCTCCTGTAGGTATAACAAATAGCTCTGGATTTGGTTTGAGTATTTTTAGGATTTCAGAAATCTTGGAGGCATTGGATCGCTGTTGGCCCTTGTAAGTGCAGTGGCTATCAGCAAACAATATAGATGGTTGCACTTGTTGCAACCGAGAAATGCATCCCTACTCGAGTTAAAATGTGCCACAGGAGCTCTTATCATGGGACCATACCTCAAGTCCAAGATCTGGAGCGATCGAAGTGAAAATGGCCCCGATGCTCGCAGAGGCAAGGAGTAAAGCAATTGACCAGACGGATGTAGATATAAGTGCAGCAACCCTATCACCCTTCTTAATGCCACTTCTAAGCAGAGCACTCCTAACTCTGCGCACATTAACCCTAAGCACTGACCACGTCCAGACCTCACCCTCCAGATTTTGACCCTCTCTTAACCCAATTAGAGCGGGGCTCCCGCTGTCAATAAGTGGTTGGATCAACACGTTCTCCGCGTAGTTAACCGTAGCTCCCTCGAAGAAGGGAGGTACTTCAGAAATGGAAACAGCTGGATTGTAAGCGCGCTTTATCCCAGGAGGCAAGGTAGGAATCAAGCCGACGAAATCCCAGAGATCAACCCAGAAAGCTTGAGGCTCTGTCACACTCCACTTCTGTAGGTCGTGGGAGTCTCTTAACAGAAGATGGAATTTATTGTTGACATGCTCTCTGTAAATATTCATAGGTATTTGGTTGGCAGGGATTGTTGGCTTCCATATAGGCGTAAGCAATGTTGAGTGGCATTTAAATCGATCTTGGGTAGGGCAGATAACGTTTACTGTAGAAGGCATCCTGATATCCATCCCGTGTGCTTAGAGGCTAAGAACATTTAGAAGTCAATACCTGCTTTATGACCTTTCTTCCCAAGGCCGGGGCAGAAGATAGCACCCCTCCAGATATCCGATAGAAGCCCAAAGTGCGTATAACCCGGCGTATTGTACTTGCCGCGTTACGCCGAGTGACAATTTCCGTAAGGTATTCTTGAGTTGTATTACCCTTTAAATGCCGAGCCGACGAATCGCGTAGTAACAGCCCCTTTTGGCGTTCCGGCATGGTAATTTAAAAGAAGGAGTATTTAGAACCCGCCAATCCCCTCAGAAACGGAAGGATTGTTAGATCATCAACGACAATCTCGCAAGCATGTCTCCTCTTAAGCCTTCCACTGTGGACAGTGGGTTCATCTTGGTTCCACCCGCTCTAGAGAATCCTTTCACATCGGATGAGTCGTACCAACGCGTTCTCGAGTGGTATCTCCCGCCAGATATCCTTGAAATCGTTAAACCCCGTCTCACCATTTTTGCGGAGGAGGCTATCTCACAAGAGATCCATGAATTGATATCGAACGCGGAGTCGCAGCAGCCATACGTTAAGACTCACAATGTATGGGGTGCCCGTTACCCTTATGATCGATTGGTGACAAGCTATGGGTGGAGTGAACTGGGAAAATGGGGGTCAAAGAATGGGTGAGATCTATTAATAAGTACTCCGTATCTTAAAGATGGGTACTAACGGTCACTGAAGTGTTATAGCAATTGGGTACGAGGAGGAGTTCGAACAATACCGAAGGCTCGTTCAACATGCGTTGTGAGTCTGGTTGTATACTCTGCCTACAATGATATTGCTGACGACACAGTAACTACACCTTTTCTGCCTCTTCTGCGGTATTCTCCTGCCCTGTTTCGATGACCAGCGGAGCGGCGCGACTCGTATCCAAGCAGCTAAGCTCCGTGGCAGCTGACCACCCACTTCACGAGATCTATCGTCTTCTCACTGCTCGACAAGGGAATTGGATTTCGTCTCAATGGATGACTGAGAGACCAGGTGGCAGCGATGTACAGAACTCGGAAACTATCGCTGTGCACTCACCGCTGCCTGAAAAGACAGGGCGCTATGGGAATATCGAAGAGGGAGACTATCTTATATCTGGATTCAAATTCTTTTCGTCGGCTACTGACTGCAACATGGCTCTTATTCTAGCCAAAACAGAATCCGGCCAACTCAGTCTCTTCGTTGCGCCAACCAGAAAGGCGGTGCTTGTCAATGGCCAAAAACAGCAGGTGTCCAACGGCATTCGAATCCATCGCCTCAAAAACAAGATGGGCACCAAAGAACTTCCGACAGCAGAATTAGAACTCAACAACGTAAGAGCCCATCTTATTGGACCCCTGGATCGCGGAGTCGCCACCATCGCACTTCTTTTGAATGTAACCAGAACTCATAACTTGATTACCGCGTTGTCTTGCTGGCGTCGGGGCATGGCTATTGCGAAGAATTTTGCCAAGGCTCGAACCACTATTAATCAGCCTTTGTGGACATTTCCGATGCACCTCCGCATGCTGGCGAAGATGGAGGTAAAGCACAGGGGTGCACTCCAACTCGCCTTCTTCACCACTGCGCTATTAAGTTTCGCAGATAACGGATTTCCCCCAGAGTATATTCAACAAGCAGGCTATGTGCCTCTACCATCTCCAGGAGAACAGACAGAAATCATCCTAAGGACTCTGACTGCGACGGCTAAGGCTGTTATTTGCAAGACAAGCACCTTGTCGCTGCAGGAATGTCAGGAAGCTATGGGCGGTGTCGGGTACATGGATGAGCCAGACGAGCCTGAATACAATATCTCACGCCTCATGCGTGACACAGCAGCCAACATGACATGGGAAGGTACCACAAATGTATTGAGCAGTGAGGTGGTCAGGCATCTCTTAAACAAGAATGGACAACATCTATCAACTTTCGGCGCTTGGATAATGCAAGCGATCTCCCGAGTCAAGGATTCTGAGCTGAGAAATGGGCTGAATCGCGCATGGACTGAGTTCTTCAAGACACTCAACAGCAGGCATAATGACCTGGTCTCTGCTCTCGCCATGGGACGGCAGGTAATGTTCACCCTTGCATGGATTGTGGCGGGCACGCTGCTTGCACTCGACGCTGAAAGAGATGCGAATACTTCTGCCATGGAGATTGCGCGACGATGGGTTCTAGAAGGTGAAGGAAATATAGGCGATTTTCATCTTCCGAATGTTGTGAAAGTATCGGAGCGTGTGCTGATAATTAGTGATCATGATAAGATCAACTGGGATTGCCGTATAGTCTGGGGTTTAAATCTACCTAAAGATGCCGCAAGAGGTTATCGTGAACTAAGTAGCCCGATATATAGGCCTAAACTATAAGTAGATATCGAAATATTATATAAGGAAGAGTAAGAAATTAATAGACGAATTAATAGAAATAATAATATAATCGATCATTCTTCCCGTGACGCATATTGTAATAAGGTAAAGTGGCTATGCTATACTATACTATGCAGGGTTAATAGAGTAATAGTAGAGAAAAGAGAAGTTATCTAAGTCATATATTAAACTAAAATGGGCTAAAAGAGAAAGTGCGAAACAGTTTATAGTACTAGTAGAGTGCTATTCTTTATAGTTTAAGCAGAGTATATAAATTTTATAATCTTTTAGTACTGTAATAAGGGGAGGTGGCTGTGCTGTGATGGGCTGTGCTGGGCTGGTAGAGCGGTGATAGGGAGGAAAAGTTATCTAGTCACATATCAAACCTAAATGGGCTGGCAGAGAAGGGGGTGCGGAACAGTTTATAGTGCTGGCAGTGTGCCATTCATTATAGTTTAAGCAGAGTATCATGAATTCTATGGCTTTTTAGCGCTATCTACCTAATTCCTGAGTATTATTAGTTCTGTCCTGTTCCTCGATACTGCCGCTGTGCTAGATATTTATAGCCCTAGCCGCTAGCTCTCTAGGTAGTGTTGGTGGTGTTATTGTTAGTATTAACTAGAAACGCGTTCTCGATTCCCGATCTACTGAATAGATCTCTATACGTTGTTATATATATACGTCGAACCCTAAAGTACTCTATTATAGTTAGCGACCGCGGGAAGATAATCTATTTATCGAAGATTCGAGCTCTTTACGACTATTGAACTGGGGCGAGGCTACTAGCCATGGGCATCAACTCGTACGGCGGTGGGCATAGTCTCTTCACAGCACGCACACTCAACCAAAGGAAGTTCTCTCTGTTCGTAACTTGATTGATTCCTTGATTGTCCATTCTATGAATGATAGTCCCCGAGGACTATATAAGAAGAACTCTAGTCTAGTGTCGACGCCCTAGCCAATCATAAAGCTATCCACTACTTTAAACTTCTCCCATTACACTATATCTTAATAAGATATTATATTAAGAATTACTAAAGTTAATACTAAAGAGTAAAAGATATAACTAAATAAGAATTCGAAGTTAACAATTAAAATTCGCGTAGATATCGATTTAACTCTAAAAGATAATAAGACTACTTATAGAGATAAAGTTCGCTAATTATTTAGAAAATCTTTTCTATAAAAGAGTTTAAAATCGAAATATTAAGAAGAATTTAAGATAAATAGCTCTTTAAAGAAATAAATTAATTAATCGCGAATAAAATACTATAGTGAAGATATTTTTAAAGAGAAAATACTTAATTAATAAAACGAAATATTATAATATTATAACAGAGCACTTTAGAGTTTAGCGTACACGTACAACAACGCACAGAGACCTGTCCAGCAGATCGGGAATCGAGAACGCGTTTCTAGTTAATACTGATAAGACAACACCACCAACACCACCTAGAGGGGCAGCGGCTAGAGCTACAAACACCTAGTACAGCGGGAGCATCGATAGATAGAATAGAACTAATAAAAAATACTTAGAAATTAAATAGACGGCGTTAAAAGCCATGGAATTTATAATACTCTGCTCAATCTCTAATGAATGACACACTATCAGCACTGTAAATTATTCTGTACTCTCTTCTGCTAGTTTATTTAGGTTTAATATATGACTAGATAACTTTTTCTCTCTACCACCGCTTTATTAGCCTAGTACGGCTCATTATAGTATAGCTATCTTACCTTATTATATCTCTTTCTCTTCCATTTATAGAACGACTTCATTCGATAGTATATAGTATACTTAAGAATTGTCTAACTCTATTATTATCTAGGGAGTAGGTCCGTAGTACTATAAGAAGAAGCTCGTAACGGGGGTAGATTCTCCTCTCTTATTAGATTTAGAATACGAACTAGAATATTATTAGTAAATATAATAGATCTACTTAGTCTATATAAGGACACCGAAGACGCTCTTAATATTTCGCTTTAATAACTACTTTATCTTAGACATCGGCAATTTTTCCCGCGGCCCAGAGCATTCCCGAATGCCGTGGTGGCCCAGCGAGCCCAGCGCCGCTCATGGGACGCTAAGCTAACATCTGTGAGAGCCCACGCCTACTATTAGTTATTAACGCCGCCCTACTATAACTATAAGTGCGCATCACATTGCTTAATATATCCTTGATCGATACTCGTAGTCATAAAAGGGCGGGCAGTGCTGAACAATTCACAGTGTTGGCTGTGTGCCATTCTTTACATATTTAACAGAGTATTCTATGTTTTTAATGTCGTCTACCTATTCCTGAGTGTTTCGTCGGCCCTTTCCTACTTCTTAACGCCGTCGCCGTGCTAGGCGCTCCCTGCCCTAGCCGCTGCCTCCCTAGGGGTGGTGTTAGTTGTGATGTTACCCTGTCAGCGTTAACCAGAAACGGGTTCTCAATTCCCGACCTACTGGACAGGCCTCTATACGTTGTTGTATATACACGCCGAACCCTGAAGTGCTCTATTACACTATATCTTAGTACATTCATTCGAAGCCTATAATTAAATCCGTACTTAGTTATATCTGGTCATATTAAGCACATTGTATTCCAGTATATATATGGAGTACTACTATATCTGTTTACATCTAGTTATTTCTATTCATATCCAGCATATTCGTATTCAATTATGCGTACTACCTACTGCTTAATCATCCACATCCGACACTGATCACCCACAGTAGCCTTAGTATTCCTTAGGTTATGGTAGTTTTGTTCTCTTAATCTAATCACGCTCATCATTCTCATTATCCGACAACACAATAGGTTTATCGTCATCAACATTCATCTTGTCACCCGCTCCACTTAACTCATCACTATCGTCTTCCTTCGAATCGTCGTTCGAGGTATCGGTAGTCACTATATCTACGATTTCATTCAGTGCCTACAAATTAATCCGGTTGGCGAATTCCTCTCGACCGAGTCTTCTTTAGTATAAGGCCACTTTAGACGAGAAGTTATCGCAGTACAATTTAAAGACATTAAGGTCATTCCAGTTAAAGTTACCTCTACGTAACATTCGACCGATCATTTACTCGTGTAGTCCGGGGTCGCCTTGCTATTCCATCAAGATAACGAATTAAGCTCTTATTAATGTTAGACCCGTACTCAATGCTTCTAACACACCAATAAGAACATTAACTTCATCCCCATCCTGGAAGTTAACTGATGTCTAGTGACGTAGGGCTTTATCCATAGAATCGTATACGAAGGCCGTAACAATCTTAAATGATAAAGCCTAAGCCATTACGTTCTTAATGTACTACACTCGGTTAGCCTCCAACCACAGTCATTTCTTTGACCCGAACATACCTTAAATATAACGAGGGTAGTTTCGTTATTCTTCGCGAAAACAATACCCTTCGAGGGTCTTCTAAGAAAGTCTATCTTCTAGAGCTACTCGATAAGAATAGACTATAGGATCGGGAATTTCGGAGCGTCATCTATTAGAAGTGTTAGATGTCGGTGGTACATACTTTTAGCCGCGTCGTCGATATTTTTAGTGAAGACTTTTCATTTCTTTATATATTTCACTCCGAAGTCGAATTTTTTAGAGCCATCTACGATCTTTAAGTACTTATTGTTAGCGTAGACTCTTGCGAGTCCCGGTAAAGTCGCATATTTCTGTAGGATCGAGGATAAACTACTAAATATCGGCTCGCTGCCCGTTATTCCATTCTTATTCTTAGCTACTTACAGTTTATCATTAAAACTTTTATGGAGTGTTATTTTAACGTAGTTTATATTTACCTTGCTTATCTGGACCGTATAAAGACGATAATGTATGCGCGGGAGCGGGAGGAGAATCTTTTCATCAAGCCACTTAGCATCTCTCGTACGCTGGATCATAATTACTAATAGTAACGTCATTCATTCCATCGTGCATTGCTTCTTCTCTCTTGGCCACCGAGTAGTCAGTTCGTACAGTCCGAACGGCGTGTACGATCTTCAGAAGTCGTTCTTCATACGTGACTCTATTTGCTACTAATTTTTGGGTTAGTTTAGCGACCTTAGAGTAACACCGTTTAGAAGTTCCTTACGTTTCTTAAGGTACGCGCAGAGTGTCCAGAGAGAAGATATCTCTACTAGGTCTCTTACGCCGAGTCGGATTGGTGTGCCTAACATCATTGTGATCTTAGGCGTTGTGAGACGATCCCATCTAGAGCGCTCGAAGATGAGTTCCCGCGCATTCGTCATTATTGAGTTCGAGATACTTAGTTCCTGATGAAATTCATCTTGAGCGTATCGGCCATATGGGAGTTTATAAATTCCGGTATTAACTATATTCGTCTTATATAATGGCGCGGCGGTAATGAAGACGTATCGACAAAGCTCGATGAGAGACTTTTCGGCTCGTGTGAAGAGAGTGCGGGCATCGTTCTTTTCCATATAGAGTTCCCGAACATTAGTTTTCACCACTTTATCACCCATCTATAGCCGAGCGCGTTGAGCCTTCTTACCCGACTCTTTAGTCATTTGTGCGTGGACGTAGAACTTAAATTTATTCGTCTTCATATTCACTTACTTATATCATTCTTTAATTATATTAATGAGAAGAGTATTAGGCACCACCAATGTCACCGTCCTTAGTGTAGGTCGCATCTTAGATGACGGGTTTCTCTCTACGTAAGGATAATAGACCGTGAATGACTTAAGCGAAGAATAGAATATATTTTTATCTTATTAGTAATTCCTTCCGGATACTAGTAAATACGTCGACTAAATTTGAGAGTCGGAGAATACCCGAGCTCTATCGACTTCGTTCTATGTCCTTTCTAAGAGCGTAGTCGTCGTAATAATCGTTGTAAATTAAGTAGACTTACTAAATCTAGATTAGTCTACTAATAGAACCGTGCCTGTCGAGGGAATAATAGTATCATCTACTTATCGAATATCGCGTAACTCGGTGCGTAGAGTGAAATAGATTCCGTACAGTTAGTATACTCGTAGTGAACGAAGTAT